CCTCTTCTGGGCCACTGATGGATCGACGGATTCAAATCCAGATGGATCCCTGCGCGTGGCCGAACTTCGTTGGTCCGGACGATTCCGAGATCCTCGTGGGTGTGGCCGTAGCAAAAGCGGGTGTGGCCCTAGTCTTCCCCTATATATATATATCGACACGTAGCCTGTCAATCTTATAACATAAATTTTGTTACTTAATTACTCAACTAAGTTAATTTGCATAGGATGTAGATTTAGTAAAATCAATCCAAAGAGTAGAAACTAGAACAATATCGCCCTTCCACAAAGTGGAAATGAGCGAAGAAACTACTTCCTACAGCAATTTGTTATTATAACGCATACAAAATGGCACCATACAAGATGACACCCCATAAACATTTCATTCATGTAGCGTACTTACTGTTGATGAGTGGTTGGGATGCTAAGGAGTATATAGACTTCTTAATAAAAATAGTTAGTACTTCATAGGTAAATTCGTACATATTTCTAGCTACATACTACCCGCTCTGTTTCATCAATGTAGGTCTTGATGGGGTCTTTCCACATTACTCGGTTTTCTATTGATGAAAGTAGGGAGAATGGAGTCGACGACCAAACACAAAGGAAGAAAAAGTTGGAACGGAGCGAATGATATAAATATTTATCAAGCGACTCAATGATCATGTAGAAGAGTTAATGCTTTGCTTGGATGTTTCCACAATAGATCGGTTAATGATAGAAGGAATGATTGTCTCAAAGTAGAAAGAGCAACGAGAAGCGACTCACAAGAACCACCAGTTCTTTTGAATATCGAGACTGAGTCGTTTGTAAGAAGGTTAATTGGCTGGTACGAGCCGAGTAGCCACATAGCAGGTGCAGCTCCTGTCAGACACTTTTCTTGTCCCATGACGTGTCGACACCGCCAAGTCTTAAATCTTAATACGCAGTTACTGTAATCTATAGTGTGCATCATGTCACAGGCACCTGGTCAGCGTGGTGTGAAGGCTAAGTTCGTTGTCTGCTAATCTTGGATGGGAATGCCCTGGATTCCTTAGTGCATCAGAAATGTTCCTTACTATTGCCCTGTTTCCCGGTTTAAAATCTACAAAGGAAGAAGAAGAAGAGGTAACACATGTCTTCTGTCTGTCAACTAGATAAACAGAGGGCAACCAGATAAAGCGTAGGCGGGAGAGAGTTTCTTCTCGACAAAAGAACACAAGCCTATCGTGAAGAAGTTGTCCAGAAAAGCCTCTACGTACTCCCCGGATGGCCCAGAAGATCTAATCCGCCGATGTGAGGCGAGGAAGGCTCTGACCACGTTCTGCTTACTAGGGAACTTGTGCAAGGAAGTTCCTATTAGGCATTAACCTTCAGTTTTTCCCGCGAACAAAATCCTGGATCTGCTCGGTGGATTGTCGCTGAGAACTTGCTGGAAGCTCGTAGCGAGAATCTGTGCACCTTCTCAAAATTGATGCGACAACGGGTGGTGGCGTGCGTTCCAACTTCCGGTGACTGCGAAGAAAGTTCTGACTGCGTCCATAAGTTCCGCTGCCCGATTCGGACGTCGGCGTTCTACGGCAGGGTTCAAACTTGTTTACGCATGTTGCCCAATCCAATGAAAAGGCCACACGCGGCAGATCCCGAACTCCTCTTTTGTACTGTACTGGGTGCATCCTCGTACGACTTTATGGGGTCGTCCCCTCGATTTTTGTATATTACTCACTACCCCCCATAATCTGAAGCAATTAAATGGATATCCAGTTCGTATTACACAAGGGCCATTACTGTGACCCACGTTGCGCTGCCGGATTAGGTGACTGGACACTTCGGGGCTATTTCTCCCCACAAGGCGTAAAATCACTACACGGTTGCTTGACCTGCCGCAACCTCTGGACATGTCACGCAAAGTACGTGTGAGCCCGAAATTGCCGTGACGGCCGGAAGTCTTTGTCTACTCTCGGGATGCAAAACTATCCAAGTGTGCGTCTGCAGTATCGGATTACGTGACTGTGCGTTGACGCGCGGCGGATGCGGCGTCGAATCTTCAAAATACGGTACAATATTGCCACACGCACAAGAGCTGCGGAGTTTCTTGGCCTGATGCGTCCCGGTCAATGTAGATTTGCGGTTCGAGTGAGAAGGCAGTTGGTCAGTGTTAGTTGAAGATGCCATGCCGGAAAGAAGGAAGCGATGCGCGTGGCAGGTGTACCAGAAACAAATTCGCGGAGTTCAAAATGTTAGCGTTCTGCGGCAACACGAAGGAGCTGGACGTGACGGAAAGTGGACGACGGAAATAGCTGTTACGCATTCGCGAACCCATGTGACTGGAGGAAGGATATAAAATTCCCACCGGTCTTATATTCCGTGTCGATAAGGATTTCCGAAAAGGTGTGTTGGGGTGCGGGCTTCAATGATAAGCAAGACACTGTACTGTACCGCATTGCGTGGGGTGACGGAGTGCAGCGGCTAACGTACCCGTCGCGCCTTCTTCTGAGCAATCTCCATGCCGGACCCACCCACGTCGCAACTGACCGCTTGTGGGTTCCCGGTCATGTCGCAAGTTCATCGCTTCAGAGCAGTTCCGGTAGGACTCGACTGCCTTATATTGCAGAAATATCACCGATATGTTCTTTGACCCATAGCTTGAGAACCAGTTTCTCGCCCGTCACAAACTTCTTTCCTCCACTGGTAGTAGTTCATAATTACATCTGTCCCTGTACAACAATCAGTACATAATAAAGATAAGAAGTGGCCCATAATAGAATTCATATGTGAGTCTTAATCGACCTCAACGTGTTACATCTTTTAGTCCTCATTTCATTTTAACAACGAGACAGTTCTTAGGTATTTATCATGCCCATCATGACTAAATGTGTCAATAAAGCACGGGATGTAACTAAGGGAGTGAAGTGGAGAGTGAAGATTAGGGTAGTACCTTGTGATGAGTTTTTCACTCATTGAATGATAATGCATGTTTTTTTCAAAAGTGTTTTTATCAGTATCTAAAATAAAAATCATTCAGAATTACACAATAATCTCTTTTTTTAGATTTTTGACCAATGGTTTATGACAAACGGTTTTAGTCTTTGTTCTTTGTTTTTGTGGTTCTATTGGGATCGTGTACACTATGTAGGATTAAAAAAATAAAATATAGGAAAAAATTTAATTTTATATAGTTTTTCTGTATGAGGTGGTACATACTTCCGTTTTCTATATATTTTGCATATGAGTAGAAACACACAGAAATACAATCTGTCCTAATGTGAATCTTTCTGCAATCTATAGTTTTGTTCATGGAATTGTGCTTGTGCAAATCAATTTGGATTACATCAAGTCAAATATATCATAATATTTCGCTTTGCAAGGGATGAAGACAAATAAGGATTAAAAAACTTATATCTATGATGCTCATTTGAGTAGTTTTTTATTGTAAAAGTTTTCAAATCATTCACAACAAATATTTCGTGCTTTAATTTTGTTGATGTTTGACTGAAATATTTGGCTAAATTGTTAGTATAACACTAAATTTGCATCAATCGTTGTGCATCTGGTTTTTTATTATAAAATAAACCATTATAATCATTTAACTTCCTTAAACATCCTTTAACATCATATCATTTTATGATGTTTAGGGATAATTTTATTCCATATAATCATAAAACCTGAAACAAAATTTCAACATGAAATCAATTGTATCAAAATAATTATCAATTTCTTGTATTTTTAAATTTATAAAAAGTTTATTCAATACAAGTAACATTCTAGTTTTTTTAATTTATTTTTCTAAAATATATTCATATTCACATGATTTATTTTTTAAAAAAAATATTGTCTAAGTTTTTGTTCAAATTAAAATGCATGCTAGTAACTTCTAACTTGATAATGCATTATTTACATACATCATCAATTAATTAATAAAAACTATTTTGCTTTTTTTTAATTATAGTTCTTTCATTTACATCCTTATTTATTATGTGTATTATTACATTGCTTTTGATGCACAATTTTGAGCTACAAGGATGTCAAGAAATGGCTTTGACACACAATGAGAGAATGCTCAAAATCATATCTTATCAAATGCAGAAAAGTTGCTTTATTTGATCAATCAACAGATCGATATTTCAATCAATCAATTCAGATATTTTCGTACTTTTACATGAAGTAGTAGTTCATACGATACATATTAGAGTAACTAAAATTAAAGCATGCACATATAGCATGATTACAATATTTCATCTAATTAGATAAGTATAAAAAAAGATATGATAGTTAAGACTTCATAATGTCATGATGTGTTAGATTTTATACAAATATTAAAGCAGATTAATGAAGATGAATCATATTCATAGAGATTAGAACATATTTGATTTTATCAAAATGGTATAGAACAATATGAAAAATTTATTTCATAGCAGTGATTTCGATTATGAATTTCAATTTGAGAAAAACGAGAATTTCATCTATGTTTTTTTAATCATATATTATTATGCATACACGTAAAACATTCATAAGATTACATTCACCTACTGTATATACTGGAATGTTTACACGTATCTTGTAAAGTTCGCAAACGAGGTTAAAGACGTGCAAAAGTCCAGCAAAGAGCAAATGTTGTTGAGGGAATGTGCATCCCCTCAACAGCATTTATGAGGCTACTCAAACAGCATGCTACTCGTGCCACATTCTTCCAACCGCGGTATACTGTGTGTCTCCAAAGGAAAGACCTACATTGGTCGCATGTGAGAACTGCGTCCAACTGCAATACCCGCCGAGTTCCAGTAGACAATCGAAAAGGTGCAACAATACTTTCCCAACCGCTGGAACTTATGACCGAGAACGGGAGCCAGTCACCAGGTACGAGGTGACCGGACAGGACAGGCATCATCACATTAGATTCTGACACTGCTGAGATGGAGGGACTGTCGGTAGGGGACTCGTCAGGCGAATTCAGCAAAACGGGCGCAGCCGCCGAAGAATAGCGACCCATCTCCGCGATATGCGAGCATGATCCAAGCTGCAGTCTCGAGTGCGGATTCATCGTGCACCTGGTGGCACATTTCGCGGCTTTCGCCATCGGAAAAGGCCGACATCGGCCGAGGAAACGGTCTTGAGGTGCCACATCCCAATCACCTTATCGCCGATTTGCACAGATGGCAATCATTGGCCGATCCCCCAGACTTCCCCGAGCTGGTCATGGTGCTATCATGGCGTGCCCGACGGAATTGACAGCCACTCCGACTATCTTTGGGCTATACTCGGCGGCGTGATATCAGGTGTCGTGGACTCGATCCCCCCGCAACACCCCTTCACGGTCTGCTGCATTCAAAGCTGCTCCTCCTTCCCGACGATAAAACCAACTGACCTTGCTCTCTCTTTCCATCGTCACCACCAGCTCCTCCACTGTTCCGCCAACCTCCGAGTTCGAAATCGTTCCCTAGCTCAGCCCAAAGTATCCTGAGAGCTGAAACATCCGCCACCATCACCGTCAGAGAGCTTCGCATCTGGAGCAAGAAGCTCGTGGCTTTCACTGCCCGACTGCCATTCTTAGAAGCAATTCTTAGCAATGGTGGGATTCAGGTGTAGGAATGTGTGTGCATTGGTGGTGATAGTGTCACTGGGGCTCATGATGGGCTCTTTCCTGCCCACGAATGCAGCTGATGAGGTCGTTCATCACCATCGGACTGAGTTCAGGCATCCTACTTCCACGGTGAAGCGGTTGGCTAATGTCGGGGGATTCAAGCTGGTGGACGAGCCAACTCTGATTCTGGACTACCATTTCGGGCCCGTGATGACAGGCAGGGAGAACATGATCAAGCTTTTCGTGATATACTACGGAGATTTCTCGGCGAAGCAAAAGGCCACACTCCACTCATTCTTCAGATCGTTCTGGCACCCAAAGACGCAGCCTCCAGCTAGCCATCCCACCGTGGAGAAGTGGTGGCAGATCGCTCGTTTGTACGTGGACTTGTACAACACTCCCGTGGGAGCTAACATTGTTGCCGCAGGAGAGATCGTCGACAAGTACTCGATGGGCAAGAACCTGAACCAGACTGACATTCAGACGCTTGTCGTGGACTCCATGACGACCTTCGGGGCCGACGCGCAGTCCATTTACCTAGTCCTCACGGCTGACGATGTCCTTGTGGAAGGATTCTGCATGAATGTCTGCGGCACGCACTACTACACCTTCCCTTCCGATGCCACCAACTCGCAGATGGTCCCCTACGGCTGGATCGGAAACCCAGGCAAGCAGTGCCCGGAATTCTGCAGCTGGCCTTATGCCGCAGGTGGTGGTCTCCAGAAGGGCCTCATCCCTCCCAATGGCGACGTCGGCGTCGATGGAATGATCATCACTGTAGCCAACATTCTCGCTGGAATGGCCACCAATCCTTATGGCAATGCCTACTACCAGGGCGACGCAGGGGCTCCCCTGGAGGCTGCGGGCGCCTGCCAAGGCACTTACGGCACTGGTGCTTATCCCGGCTACCCTGGTGAGCTGCTGGTCGACAACTCCACGGGTGCTAGCTTCAATGTCTACGGAGCGAAGAATGCCAAATTCCTCGTGCCCTGGATATGGCACCCATCCACTCTTCAGTGTGCGGGCCAGGTTTGAGAACCATACCAATGTGGAGCACCTCCGAGACAGCGCGGTCTCCACTATCACCTCATATACGATCATGTCAGTGGGTCCTTAGGATCCCGTTCCGAATTCGTGACCTGCGCATTTGCAGACGAGTTTTGATACATTCTGTCTTATGATCACATCCTCTGGTACCGTGACTGCATTTCAGGCACTCAAGACCCACGGTAAGGCTAGCACTACTGCCGACATGAGAACTGCAACTTCGATCGAGTCGATTGGTTGCACGTTAACTTTGCGCTCGATTTCGCTTCATCACCATCACTTTATATTATGGTTGTACATACATTATATGAGATTAGGTAGAGCTATATTTTTGTTGCCGAGAATTGATTCTTATCGAGAAGCCAGAAATCTGAAGCGTCTCTAGCAGTGACAGCCAAGGCATTGATGGGCAATATAAATTGTTTCTTTGAACCATGCGCTACTTTGGTTCTCAAGAGCAAACATAGCTCACAGCACATGTGCTATAGGTGGTCGTACCCAGCAGCTATCAAATGAAAGTGCTGTTGCTCGAAATTAGTTGAATACAATTTTACGAAATCGTTTCCTCTTCAATCCTGTACCTCGCCATCACCGACTACTTTGCTTTTATCTGGATATACATGTCGAGCCACTGAAAGCTACGAATGGATAGTCTTGACGCCCAAGTAGCCTAACCTTGGCAGTACTCCAATTGTGTATCATTCGGACATTTTCGTTTCCTGTCAATTCACAGAACGATAAAGACCATTGCAATGTTGCAAATGTACAGACTGGATCGTACATCATGGAACGAAACTGACATGTGCACACTCTATTCTTGCAGTTACCGAGTGCAGAACCTTACAACTTGATGTCTGCCATATTATCGGTGGAAGTGTAAGGTAACCTAATATAACAATTATGCGTCATTATTGTGTCCTAAACTAAAATAGTCAACCTATCGTGTTTGAACTCATTGTGAATGTAGTTACGAAGTATTAATATAACGTAAACTAAAAGAAATTCAAGAGTGAAAATAATTATCTTACTAATGTTTTTCAAATTGATTCGTACATTGGTTCTCAAAGTTCATAATATTGCTTCAAAACATTGACATTATCTATGTAAACACATCCAAGACCAAGCATTAAAATTTTTCAAATTCAATACTTCAAAAAATTAACCATCAAAAACTCATCAAAGATAAAACCAGGCTAAATCTACAAACAATCATCACTTAAAAATTTTAAAAGAAAAATGTTGTCCAAAATAGATTTAATAATTATCTGAAGGTATTTATGATGAACTCTTGTGCATTTTAAAAAACATGCCAAAAAACTTCCTTAGCTTCATATAGCTCTACCGCTAAAGCAACAAATACTTGAACTAACTATAAACATAATTCCGCAATTGCTTCTGCTACACTTGCTGCCCACATAAAACAATGATTAATGATCATTTATGCGATCAAGTAGATATCATGAATAACCCATTTAATTTATTGGTTTAAAACTAGATAATGGACATCTTTATAACAAAATGTATGTTGTGTTATTATATTGCTTAAAACATAAACATAAGTCATCTTTATTGTAGTTGGTAAGATAATGATTGATTAGGAATGTTAATCAATCAGTCAATCAATCCTAATCATTGAACTCCCAATCATCCTAATTTAGTATGATTGGAAACTCAATGTAAGATTGTTCATTGTCCACCATGAGTAATGATGGCAATTGCATAAAAATGCCACCTAGAGCCACTATTAATATTCGCCAACGTGCCACTATTAAGGGTTTGTGGCGCATTCCGTGAAGTGCCGTGGAACCAAGATGGTGACACTCACTATTGACTATTCAATTTGTTGGCTTATGTTGAGCTATGCATCCAAAGAAGCGAACTACACCATTCTAGAAAAGCCACGAGGTGACATATGGTCTACGAGTGACCGATGTTGATACCAAGACGAATATGGACTACAGTGTTGTTTGCCGATTTTGTGAAATTTTTGGTAGAGAGTAACAAGCTGGAAGGAAAAGAAAGGCAACGAGAAATGCCCAGTACTACACAACTCTGTTTAGGCTTGAGAGCTATCGCAAGCACAACGAGACACAACACACGTCCAATTGGAGGGAGAATCAAGCACTTGCGAATGACAAGAAGTGCAGCTTCTTTGACGGAGTAGTGCCAATCAAGAGTACTCTCCTTAACCACTTTAGGTTGGAAACTGTACCGTTACTCTTCAAAATTGATGTGACCATTGTCAACACAATCATTGACAACATGTATTTCGATGTTGACGATGAGTGTGATTTGGACGAAAAAGCCAACAAAGTGGAGGTCGCTCTCTGCAGAGATGGTTGCCGCCATCCGGACTTGACCCTTCGGAAATCTAGAAGCGAGCTTTGAGTATCTTCGTTCCGGTCCAAGATTCTTCTCTAAAGAATAATGAAAATGCTCATGTTGATGCGTACAAGGTAACAATCAAGAACAACTCCTTGTTTGATATTCTATATATTTATTTGTGTATGCAAAGCAGTAAACAAAAAATGCATCGTTTTGAAACGATTTTGCTTGACATGCAAGAGATACCCTACGTCTAGTGTATGTCTAGAAAATTAAGGTCATGTTAGCCGTACTTAGATATCAAATAGATTAAAATCGATCAATGACAATGAAGAATACAATCTTCTGAAGAATATGAGTGTACATTCAGGTCGGATTCGGAGGATACAGATGTCACCTTGAAGACGAAGATATATACAGAAGTTGTATGGACGTAAATTCTCTATAAGTGACGTCCATACAACTTCTGTTTAAGTGAAAAATCACTTCTTCATCGGTGAATTCTCATAAGATAAGTGTGGAGATCATGTAGAGAGCTCTCTTTGCCCGAAAAGCTTTAACATCAGTTGCTGCTAGGCATGTAGGCCTGATCTTCATCAGGTACACTAATTACTATCGAGTTCCTGTGAATGACCAACCGTCTGTATCTCGAAATGTGATTCATCCCCGTAGAGGCAAATCTGTGCGTAACTGGACCACAGGGGACACCGCAAGGTTCATGTATCACCGTCCAACGCATATGGGAAGTCATACGCTGATTTACCGATATGATGTTTGTATGGATCATTGGCACTCGCCTTTTCCTTGGTCCCGTCCCACTTGAGATTCGATTTATTCCGACAGTAACTTCAGAGGAGGTTTGTAAGTTTTGCATATATATATATATATATATATATATAACTGTCATCACAAAAAAAACATACATACCAATCATAATTATATGTTATAATATATATATTTCTGAAAGAGTAATTATAATGTTCACATTATTCATCATGTCATAATAAATCGTACTAAAATTGACATAGATGTGTTTTAAGTATTTCAAGTTCTCATACTACTCTCTGTAAAAGAACTCGTTTTCTAAGCCTCAAAAAAGAATGTCTATGTCTAACTCTTCAAATGAACGTCTTTTCCTAAGTTCGTGACATATGCACGCCGGAGTCCAAAAATTACCAATTGTTTGCAATGCTCGAATTAGTCTATAAACACGATCGATATCCCATATTGGAGTCTCTATGAAACTCTGAATGGAAGTTACAATGTCATGATGGTGCAATGTTAAAGTTCACCGCTAGGAGTCAGATCTCCTCTTGCTTAGTCACTAGCATGGCTCACGAGGAGCCCTCCCTCCACCTTTTTGCCCACCGGCGTTCACTCCTCAGACTCAGAGCTGCTGGGGCCTCTGGCACCAACATCTACCACAAGGTCGAGGTCAGCCACCTCCAGCCGACAGGATCTCAGAATCTGCACATTGCAGCTCCAGAAGAGCAGAGGTAAGCCTGGACCGACTGCGGCGCGGAGTCCGAGTTTGGAATCTCTGAAGTCGCTTCTCATCGCGAAGAAATCGTGCTCTGTGCACAATTTGGACGACAAAGTGCTTCACTGCAAAGCCAGTCTGGCTTGTCGGACTGGATGCTCAGCAAAAGCCCCCAATCACACCGCCCTCGAAGATGTCTTTATGGTAAGACGTGTAGACTAAGGAGGGGGGGTGATACATAAAGGCTCGACATCTGCCCTCTAGCTCCCCTCGGTTCTCATCAGTGCAGCCATCGTGTGTGCCCCTTTCCACTTTTGCTTTTAAATTGGTCGCAGAACTCCTCCAACTCAGGCCTCACTGGAGTTGATGGATTTTGCCTTATGGTGACTTATATTTCCAAGGATGTGATGTGATCTCATATGTGCTCTTGTGTCAGTTTCGATGGGTTGATGATGGACGTATGAGAATATCCGGGAGAATATTTACAGTCCGAATTTCGATCACGTCCGCATTAGGTCGTGACGCATCTTGATGCAGTTCTTGAACTCATTATCTTCCTCCTCCTTCGCATGCATAACTTTTTTCGCTGCCAGGTGGGGTTCAGTGAGAATGATTATCGTATTTTGTCTTCCTTACGACTTCCTTGATTTCAGGATGGACCAGCAATCCTGAGTGTGACCGTCGCCGTCCGACCATTTTGAAGGAGCTCAGGAGAAAACGTCTTCGCATTGTTGCCAGACGTGCGATCTAGACGCCCATTCATATTCTTCAATCTCTGGGTACAGGATTTGATATGCTTGTATCGATGATGATACTGCACAGGCTGTCTACCTAACCTAATTTCACGTTGACGAGATTTTTTACGGTTTTCCGTAAGAAGTTCTTGCCTATACCATCAGAACTATTGATGCTGCTGTGCCCTACGGAAATTGGGTCGACGTAATCGATCCACCGTAAGGTCATCACTGCCTTCGAAGCCAGACGATTCGCCTGACACCAGTCCACAATGCATAGACTTCAGTCCATGCTAGATGAAATCGAGAAGCTGGATGGATTGGCCCCGAGGGTCAATAGTCCTCAACCTCCGCTAGTTTTGAACGAATTTACTAGCGTCGAAGCCGTCATTTCAAATATGGAATTGGAGCTGGATGATTTGGATCCCGAAGGAGAATCGTCTCCAGAAAGAAAGTTTATCCGACGACACCTGGAACAACTTATAAAGGTACAAACCCCAAATAAAAAGCCTCCAATATCATCTTCGAATCAGGCAACTAGTTCATGGAACAATCCGAAATCTTACACCTCTTACCACAAGGGACCTCGCATATCCTTATTCTGCACATTCAGGGTTGGCTTCATTGGTGGAATGACTTGTGAAGATGAGGATTCCATCTTATTTCACATTCTCCAGGTTTTACGTATCCATCGGAGAAGAGTTTATTGTAATTTGTACAGATAGGTTTACGTTTGTACGAGGAGCTTGTCGTAGTGAGGGAAAGGGTGTCCGGTTTCCTCTAATTCATTCCAATCAACCTCATATTCTGTGCGTGGGTCGCCAAGTAGCACTCGACTCGATAGCACTCTGTGCACCGTATGAGTGTAGGTTTGCAAGATCTGGCTCCGGCTTTTCAGAGAAGTGATTTAGCTTCAAGGGATGCTTGTTGCGAAGCCCTAATTTGAATACCCTCTCTCTGTCTAAATACACTTGCGACAAGAATCAAAATTCTGACCACCATGAAACATCCGTATTCACAACTCGTACTCATGATCACTCTGTCAGTGACTGCGCGAGAAAATAGAATTGGAAGAAGCCTTCATGGTCGGTCTGCCAGAGGATATGCATAGACTGTAGTTCATGACTGGTTCGAGCTCTACTGTGGAATTCCTTTCACGAATATGTTGTAGGAACCCTTGGGATCGGAGTTAGATGGAACACAACCTTTCTATTGTGTAGCCCCATAATGTAATAGTTAAGCCACTTGACTTTGGATCCCCGACTCAAACTTCCATGAGGCCTTCTGTGAGAAGCTTGTCGCAGCCGTCTTTGAGCCGATTCATGTGGAAGCTTGATAGAATGCAAAGCGCGTAGTTAAAAAATGAATGTTGTTTCAAAGCTTTGCGGACGCTGAGCAGTTCTATTGCTCTGGTTTAGGAACGGAAGCAGAAGTCCACAGTCCATTTTTCCAACTTCTTGCTCGTTGCAGGTTTCTGCTTTTCCGGCTGTTCCTCCAACTGTTTGGATGCGTAATTACGTAATCTGTGATCTGATTTGAGTCCACAAGTAGTGACCAACCACGCATCAATTACTGGAAAGCTTGCAGGTTTTACTTACACGTGAGTGTGTCCTGATTCAAGAGATCGTTCCCTCTGGTCTCACATCTCTTCAGGTTGTGTAACTCTCTGGATAAACTTAGTGGAAGTACCTTCCGAGGCTTTCTCAATCGATTCTAAAGTACTTTTTTAATCAGCATCACCCGCTACGATCAGCAACTAACTAACGTGCTTTGTTCTTGGTCTCGAAGGTGGCAAGTGCAACAGAAACGAAGATCAGAGACTTGCAGGACGAGGTGAAAGAGAAGAGTGAAATCATCCACCTACTGCAGGAGACAGTTGGGTCTGCACTCGCTCTCCCTCTTCATAATATCTCAGCAAATCGGGCCAAATGCAGTCAAAGTCAACTACTAGTTCTTGCCAAATTGAATACTACTAATATTTCCAGTTGCTTTGGCGAGACACCAATCAGATCTCCCACGTTTTGATGAGGAAGTGATTTTGGAGAGTGATCCCAATACCTCGCAGTCGTAAACACTGCAATATCTTCCCCATTCATGCCCCAACGTGTTAACGTTGATAGGTTGATATGCGTATAAGATTCGTATGAGTTGCCCACATGAGCTGAATTCTACTTTCATTCTTTGACATGGATATGAGAGGCACCCTGAGAGTCCATGTTTAACTTCATGGATGTTATGACGGTCTATACAGTCCAGAAAATACGGAACGCTTTACATGCCTCGAGTGCTCAAGCGATAATGGTTCCACGAATGAAATCAGGTAAATAACATGCGGGAGAAGAAGCCTAAAACAAAGGGCTCGACACAGAGGAGTTGTTCTCCTGCACAGAGTACCTCGTCGAGAAAGAGGGCAGTTCCTGCAGCCGGTTCGTCCGAATGCAGCAGATGTAAGGGGAATGTTCAAGAAGCAGAAGATGCAGTGAGCTGCATAGAACCCTTCGCCAATAAGGTCTTCGAAGTCACGAGACAGAAGGTCATCAATAAAAATAATTATTCTTTCCAAATGCCGCCTGAACCTGGACCTTGGAGAACGGCGACGGACAGATCACAGGGCATCTGGGATCGAGAGATAATAGAAAAGTTGGAAGACCATGTCAAACTTTCAAAGGAAGTGGAAATTCTCAGGAGAAAGCTTGAAGAATACAAGCAAGTGTTGTCTACTAGTGAGTATCAACGAGGCAGTGCTCAGGCCACCGTACAAAACCTGAAAGAGGAGGTGAAAAGATGTCGAGAAGCTCTGGAGCAAAAGGACAGACTCCGCAAGAAGAAGAAGGCCAAACCCTCTCTTCGCAAGTAAGCAATGAAACTCACCCAATCTTCTTCAATATACCGAAGAAAATCCCTTATTCTTGAAACGCAATAAGTCTGAGCTGTAGTTTGCTTCTGAATTATTGTGAGATACCCATCAATGAACAAATTTTAGTCGCACGGGTACGTCTTAATTAGCACATGTTATTGAAAGCCGCAAGCCCATGGTTATCGCTCTCTGGGTGGCCTTTGCAAGTGACTCTTCCAATGCAACTTTGTCATCATTGTGCGTCAAAAGTCCGATGAATTGCTCTCACGAATGAAATGGTTTGCTCACCATGAACTGGTAACTGAAATTGCCAGAAGTGGGAAAAAACAAATGGCGCAACTGATTATCAAGGTGTGCAAATTGGAGAACGTGGACACAGCAGCTTCGAATTCAATTATAACTCAAAGCAGTGATCCTCCTGTCAGCATGATACTTTCTAGCTGAGATATTCCAGTGGCCCAGACACACGATCCAAGACACGCAAACCAAGTCAAAAAAATTTAGACTCACAATCATAATCTCTGATTTTTTGTTTTTGCTATAATACTGCTTAATTTTTCCCCTTTTGCACATTTACTGAAACTTCGCACACATCCAGTGTCGTAGGGGTTCGGTCTTATGACTCACTACTGCCCTAACAATTGGATGAACTAAATATGAATTCTTTAAGATTTATTATCTCTCACCAGTAGTCTTCCACGGTTTTACGGCCAGTTATTGTCATCGGATGGTGGCCGATCTGCTCTTTCTAAGATCCAATGCGTGGACAGGAACGCTTGTCCATCATGATGCCACAATGCGGGACTACTTACTACCTCTTCATGGCCCTGCATGTCACCTGTCTTAAGTTTTCTTTCTCTTACCTCCAATCTCTTTCGTTTGGATGACTCGCCACCAGCAGGCATTTGTGGTTTCTGCATCGTGTTCTTCTTTTCTTGTTCCCAAAATACAATTTCTTGTTGCTCACCTCTCGCCTACAGCTTTGTGTATCTCGGCCCCAATTCCTCTGCTCTAGTGGATTTTACATGTATATATATCGATCTAAGCGGGTTAAAAAAATAAATTTATAACGTTCTGCTTGATCCCTTCAGGCGAACTCTGCAGGTAACTTACAGGCAATTTCTTTTCACTCAAGAACACCTTGTACATCAGAAGGCACAAGGAACCCAAAAGACGAGAAGGGTTTTCCACTATACTACCAAAACATGGAACTCGTGGCTGCTCACATCACGCAGCTAGAAGAATTCTTGTCTATCAGAATGGTGTAGATCTATTCAAACGCAACGTTTACATGAGAGGAGATCAACGTCGCTCAGGGATGTCGTCAACGAGCTCTGTATAACCAGGTGCTACATTAGGGTAGGCATGAAGGTAGAACGCATGAACCGAAGGACGCAAAAATCTTGCCAAGGAGATCATTACACTTCAATATTCTAGCTGCTCCCATCTACCGTACTCCGCAGAAATTACATTAGATGAAGGAATCAATGATCCGGCTTCTCCCATTTAGAAAAATCTTACCCAAGACGCAGAGAAATTGACAACCTGACAGGTAATGAAGTCAGATCTAGTTGATTTTGAGTCCTGCAAACCCGAGAGTTACTCGATCCAAGTTTTCACCTCGTTTACAGATTATGATTACTCAAGATCAACTTCTAGAGGAAGGTATGGATCTCGAGTCGACGGTAGATCGCCACCGACCTTAACACGTTGTCAAGTTGATTTAGGCCTTAAACCCTAATGAGCTAAACCATGGCGGTCAGATTGCATATGGGAGAAGAGCGTATTAGTAAATGAGAGTTCTGTTTGAGAGATTCACAGAGCCGACGTGTCGAAACGGTTTCTGTACGAAGATAAAAGAGAAGCCACGAGTTGCATTCCTGCCGAATCGATCTTGAAACTTTTTCGGTATAAGTTAATTCGTAGAACAAACCCAGGTATTTACTCCTCCAATTCCACTCTTGGAGTGATTCTGTAGATGTTATTAAAACGTAGATCTTGTGCTGAGTGCATCAACCTCTAAAAATGAATTACCTCCGGTTGGTGAAATATGAGTCTCTACGCACAAGTCTCCTTAGACAACATGCCTATGATCATTCTCAAAGTTGAGAAAAGCTGTAGATTATCCCCTTTTCAGCTTCCCTTCGGTCCATTTTCAATTCATTGAGAAGATATGTCAGTCTTAAACTCGAAAGATTCAGACTGGCATATCTCCTCAGCTAAATATAATTCACGGCTTGACTATGCTCGAAAGGAGGTAGACGATAGACATCAAGGTCTCTGTCCATTCTAGAGGGAAGACTGAATTATCTTCTGTGTATTCTCCTTGATCTTCCGTTTCATCTGGTCGTGCAGTTTTTTTTCATTGAGTATTCAAGCTAAAAAACAAATTTGATTGTACTCTACCTCGATGTGTAAATTAAATGGGAGTTCCGGTGGTGTTCTTAACTTTCACATTTTGTTCGTCTTCTTTAGTTCTAATAGCAAACCTTTCCTAAATATTGCAACCTTCTTGTAGTTGTCTTCATCCCTGTCACAGTTCTGCATACACTGCAGTAGTCAATGGGCGGAGGGTCGATTCAGAAATCCTGACTTTCAATTTGATCATGACTGTAATTCACATGAATGCGGTTAACTATTGGTACCAAGTAGTACAGAATGGGAAGACTGCATCACTCGTGTAGGGATGTAAATCTCGTAGCATGGTGCTTGGCCCCAAGAGCATCACAATGACATATTTCTTATTGTTTAATATCCAAATGAATCGTTCAACATACTCAAAAGCATCCTAAGTAAGATGCATCACTTTATGTGATTAGTCTCTTATGAATTGCAACAACATGCACTTTTTCGGAGCAATGAATATACACGGTTTTCTTGTCAGATTTCTGGCCACGATCCGAACAGTGAACTTAAACCATCAACAAATACCGAAAGGACTATAAATGAGATGTTAAATTATCCTGCTATCATATGCCTCGAATAATCTAAAAAGGGAACACCGTACATTTATGATCCTTGCAAGCTAAGCAAACGTAAGATTTTCTAGACCTGAAAAAAGAACGTAATGGATATTGAGCCGGCCTCTTAGGGTCATACTCTTCATCGTATAAATAAGCCTATTTTATTAACAAAACTTATTGTATAATCTTATGTTAAGCTTATAACATAAGAATAACAGAAGAAGGCAGATTATTGGGTGCTAGGTGATGACAGGAAAAGCTTCATAATCCGAGAAGATAGAGTTAGCTGCACCCTTCTACAACAAGGTCCAAACGACAAAGATGTAACTGTATGGCAAACGAATAAAATTTTGAAAATGCATGGCTGCTTGTCTAAACTTAAATGACCTCCACTATATTAAACAGCACACTAAAGGGATTGATCCAAGCTTGATCGTATGCAAGATACGTCAGATCATCGAAAAATTTGACAGCAGTGATTTGTTTTCATCTCGTCTGATAGCATGCTACATCTCATTGGTGATGGAGAGTTCTGAAACTTTTGATCTCTTCCCCGGAATTCATGATGGAAAAAGCTGAAATTGCTAATCTCTTCTACTCTTGTCCACAATATGCACTAGTTTTCATCCTTGCTCTCATAGCAATTGTGAAGATCAAGTTGATCTTCGAAGCACATCCAACATGCACTGGGACAAAAGAGATTGTTTCACTGAAATTCGAAGTACATACATATCCGTTATTGTATATTGATCAAAGAAATATACATATATCAATAAAAATTTAGAAATAGCTTGATGTATGAAATTAAGTGGTGAAATTAAATAAGGTTAGAAGTAAACAAGTTGAATTTACACGATCACCGTTTTGTAAATTAACGTAGACATTACATCAAAGTTGATGATGCAAGTCAATGAAGTCTGGTTCTCCGTACATGTCGTAAAGAGAGTAGTCACACATTACAGATATTTCATGCATAGCTCTGAAATTTTTTACATCGTGCTTATCGTTGACGCCAAACTTTAGGCGTCTGAAAAAGACAGAATCTTTGCGACGTTGAGAAGGGAATACTTGAATAGTCGATTTTGCAGCTCATACTAATCACGAGTTACGTTGTGCCATATATCTCTGTTGAAAATTATTCGGTCATCACACTTTCATCCACAAGTGTATACATCTCATCACATCTTGAAAGCTGCTTCATGTGAAATCTCTTAGTCAGTTGAATAGCAGTTTGAAAACAGATGCGAGGGGATGGACAGACTTCGTGGGAGGCACACTTGTGTGGATTGAACTTCGAGAAAAGGTGTGCAAGGGCAGATTTTGCACTCTTTACAGCATGCCCCTGAACTTAGGACATCAAGTCCTTAACAAACTACTGTGGTGATACAATGTCATATTCCAAGATTAATGAGGAATAAACTCATTAATGTATACAACCTCACTGAAGTATCTACACTGAAACAACCACTCACATACTGTGTATCCATTTCACGCCCAACTTGAAACGACCTATACTCCACAGAAGCGTAATTTAGTGTTGGACATTCTACTGATAAAATATTGTATTAATTTCCAATTAGTGCATACACCCTACAATATATAAGTTTCAGGTCGGCCTGGGTGTACGTCCGGACGAATCTCAATCTACCCTCCAGCTCTTGGTAGATGTCCGTGCAATATCTTTGGGTCAGGCATGTCGTGAGCTTCGCATACTCGGAAAATGAGCCCCTGTTGGCAGCAGTGTCATACGAAGCATAAAGACTTCAAATCATTCACTCTGCTGCTCTTGAGCTTGACTTCGAGCTCCAAAAGTGACTTGTCCGCTGTCGTGCTCCAAAAGTGACTCACAGTACAGGGCTACGGTGATGCCCCAACGCGTGCCAGTTCTTGCTTCCAACATTGGTGGGCAGACATTCTTCAGTCACTCTGCTTGACGTGGCTTTGGAACGGCCTTGTACTCAAATGCATTGATGTCCACTTTTAGTTGAAAGGCCTGCGCATTGCACAAGCATGGTAGTTACAGAATTCGACTCGGTAACGACGAAGTAATTATTTACTTTCATCAGAATTCAGGTGCAATATAAGTGCTGCAGTCCGTGCCATTCTCAAAGAAAGGTCTGACTCCAGCTACAACACCAATTCAAGGAACAGCTCTACTTCGCCTCATGGACACTAATTGATCACCTTCACAACCGTGAGAGCGGATCATGTACAAACGTGCAAGGCAATTTGAAGCTCTCAGTGTAAACTCATCATTTTGTTCACACACCTTGAGCTCTTCTTCCAGATCAATGTGCTTCTTCTTCTTGGATTCAAAATCAGCCAGAGGCCCTTCCCGGGACAAAGACCGCTGCTGGGCTATGGCTTCCCACTGCCGATCGTCACGTGCATTTGCAACATCTTTCCTGTGAACCCACAGGAAGTACAACCACATAAAATCAAGTTCCCACACAAGGGAAAAGGAAGAGCTGATCGCATTAACTTAGTCACGAGAACCTTGGGATTCTTGGGGCATTTGATGTGAGAAAAATTGGACGTACCGGCCTTGTTGAAGGTGAGAAAGACCCAGAGATCCCAACACGGTGAGTGTTATCATAGGCATTCCATACCGCATGAATGGGTTCATGCGGCCCATCCTCTTGTACAGGCTAGCTCCGGCCATGGATTCAGCTCGACAAAGATTTTCTCGTGTATTACTGGAATATATACACCAACTGTTAGAGGTACTTCAAGATCAGTTGTATTTCAAGGGAAGTAGACAAAGAGCGAGTTCAGTTTTCACCCCAGTTCTGGCTGAAACGCATCAAAAAGTAAGGAGATGATCGAACAAGGCATGCGGCATGTGTACAAAGTAGAGAGTCAGAAGGTTGGGGAATCCACACAGGTATGTGGATTCCCCATAAGTTTTGAACTGAATGTTGACAACTTAAATATTTTCTTTCCCAGTTTCTGCATGATTCAAGTGCATAATTCACAGGCAGCTGTTACACTAGTGATTCTCTACTGTGAGAATTAAAATTATCAAGCCAAATTCAATCGAGATCCGATCTGACATTGATACAATTGCTTCACTGCCCTAAAGGTTCGATCACAGCCCTAACCCTAGATTCGAATTCATGCGAATCAATCTAGGCCTCGCCCGTCCAAAAATGTTGGGAATTCTCACTTTAATTCATGATGTCAATCTCTCAAGATTCGTAGCTCGCTGCCTTCCGCAGCCGAAGGAAGAGCTCCAGTCGTTCCAAACTTTCGACTCATGCACAGCTCCGGTGCTACCGCCTACGGCAGCAACGACAAGCATTTCAGCTCCGAGCACTTCGAATCTTCAACCCACGAAATCGGAACAGTCGATCAAATTTTTCCGCCGAACATTCGATCTCGATGCCGAATGGAAGGATTGAGAATTCCATGCGACAAAAATTTGAATTATTTGCAAGTTTGCAGAACTGCTGTCTGTCACAGACCGAGTGCTGGTACCAGAGCACGACAGACCGGGTCTCCGTACTTTTCTTTACCACCCGGGCTACGAAGATCACGGGTATCTAGAGCTGACCGTGATCTTCCCCGACATAAAAATGCCGGGCCTGGCTTCTCAATGAAGCAATCGCTGGTAGGAGTCGACGAAATAATACGGACCCAAATGTCTTTGTCCTCTCTTGAGAACAATACCGGCTCTTTCTGAATGTACGGTCCTCCCGGAAATGGAAGAAGGTCCCTCTTTGAAGATATGGTCGTCAAAGACAGACAGCGAATCTAATGATCGATCAAGTAGAAAAAGGGGGACATTTATAGAAGCAAAAAGGATGGAAGAATGTCCCACGCAGTATAAGAGAAGTCGTAATATCCACTAGATCCTAAATGTTTGATATTACATCTAACATATACAAATTATCAAGACAAATGATATCTTTTAAAAAAAAAAATCTACTAATGATATTGTTCTCCCGTAGATATCATAATACAGCAATATATGTAGAAGATGAAAATACATTGAGTGAAAGAATTCACGATAAGGTAAAGATAATGATACCTTTGCTGTACAATGCGGTAGGTTCATGTGCATTCTCTTTCATAATATCAAGGTTTTCATTCAATGTAATTATTAGATTGGACTTAAAAAATCTGATTTTTAGTAAATTTATCTATACTTAGAAAAGTCGGTTGAAAAATGCCTGTTCATTTTAAAAATCTAGAAATTTTATCATCATTATTTTAAAAATTGTGTGACATGTGAAATAAGTAATCACCACATCTGAAGATTGATAATATGGAATTAAAAATATATCAAAACCTCAACCTTATGCAAGTCACATCAATCTTCTCTAAATACAAGGTCTGCATCTCATTAGCCATAACATCATAAGTGTCATAACAAACGCCAACTTTCTTACAGAAGAATGGATAATTTTGTTGTTATTTTTTATATATTAGACAAATTATGTTCAAGCATAGTGCAGTTAAAGTCTTTCGACTATTTTCTATATATATATATATATATATATCGCTAAATCATGTTTAGCTACAACCTCATCACTCTCGAATTTTCTTTCCTTTTAAAGAAAAAAATTATGATTGATTTTAAGAACCATAAATTATCAAAGCAAAATATGAAAATTATTCCTTTCTGAAATAGGAGTATTAAATTTTAATATATTGAACCAGAGTCTGTATGTACGGTTAATCAATTCAAAATTTATCAAAACAAAATACATATCTGCAAACATCTGAAAAAGTTTGAAAATTTCAAGTTGTGTATTTGAGTGGGACGTGTGACATCTCATTTTTTAATGATCCATGACATGTTTGAATATATTTTTTAATCACCTCCTTTGTCTTTGTCTGTTTATCTAATAATGTGGTGAAACCCACGGCTCAATGGTGGAAATGATCATGGAACCAAGCAAGTGTGGGAAATCATTAAATTAAGAGGACTAGGTGCTAAAGCCTGAGAGTGAACTGATATTCTCGTACACCTCATTGCAGGCTGAAGGATTTTTCAGACATCAAAGTGGATGGATGTTTCCAGCTGGAGCTAAACTCTCGTTGGACGATGCCTGCTTATATTTTCTTCTTCTCGAAATCAATATTTTTGTCTCTTGAAGTATGGGCACGGTAGAACAAAAGAGATTTATGACTTTTATGTCACGCCTTCGATGTGCCCAGCACCGAAACCCGAGTTTCCCTCTTTGCAACATTCAGTGTCTGTCTCTCTCGATCGATCACGTGTTAATGATGTGAGCGAGTTATGATAGTATATTATTTTCATGTCCAGTATTTCCAGCAATTGAGTATTCCAAAGTTCACATTAAGCACAACTCATTTGATAAACGAGGTCACCGATTCGATCGTTACAACTGTCGTCCTGGATGACGATCCACGGTGCCACAACATCCATTTCTGGGAGCAATCATACAAGACACAGCGCGAGTGGTGGACCATGATGACTCGAGAAACGTTGCGGTATGAATAGGCAATGATTTCCACAGTTTTCTACACCACGTAAAGAGCTAAGTTTAGGGTCACGCTCAATCAGCAGGAAACACAGCGCGAATCTCTCGTGGCGCTATCCATTAGGAGAAGCATAACGCGGAGGAATTAGATCAGAAGTCGACGCATCTCGCGCTCGACATTACTTGGAAGTGAGTCCGAACTCTGCAAAGTTTTTTTCAGAAATCCGAGTCACGCAAAGTATCTCTCACGGAAGAGCCTATTAGAGAAAACCCACCAAGAAAGCTTCATGCTCAAGGTCGTCGAGCACCCAGATCGCCCTGGCACTGAGACAGACCATGCCTGCTAATGTCGACTCCTGTACGCGCCACAAAAAGTCGGCAATCAGACATTCTTTATTGGAAGTACAGGCCCAAATTACCTGACAACTGCTACAACTTTGACTCGGGGTCGCAAATAGATATGGAAAAGTAGCCCAGAAGGACATCTGGAGGCGGACCTACGAGAGCGGAGCCCAGTGGGCACTTTTCTTCGGCAACAGCGCCCAATTGGCGACCGTACTCTGCAACAGGGGCTAATACACGCATCGTCGTATGCAACACAGGCGCTGCGCGTGCGACTGCCCATCCGGCGAGCGCTAGCTTCGAATTTCTTCGCTTCGGAGAGCGCCAACGGTGTGCTCGGTCCTCTTTTGGAAAACGACAAACGTGCTTTTGCTTGGCGTGACCATAACACCGAGAATTGATCGGATTGTGCGGGAACGGGGTCTCCGTTCCTGCCGTGTTTACTGCCGGATAACCTTCTTTCCCGGTCCCCCGTCCCTCCGAGGAAAGAAGGCCAGGCTTCAGTGGATTGTTGTCGCTTTAGTCTCGCTTACCGGATTTGCCCTTGGTTGCAATCCGGTCTCTCCTCTCAAGTCCCACCTGTCTCACGTCCGCAGCAAGATTTTCTGGACCTCAACATCCTTCCGGATTATTTCAACTTCGCATATAATACAAGTAGCACAAAGTTTAGATATTTCATTGACATAGAGGAAAGGAAAATGGGGTCACAAGGATATAAAAAAACGATATAAAGACGAAGTTACAAAACATCTACATATGAGCTAGGCCTCATGATGAGCTATATGACTACATCACCTATATAATCTCAATTACCAACATCAAAAGGTGTACATCCATCAAGAGACTCTATGAAGCTTCAAAGAGACATATAAAGAGAAGAGAATGAACCAACAGAGGGTCAGAGAAACCCATAATCATCTTGACAGGTGAAGCGGTGTGGCTGGCGAAAATTTGTGTAGGATTAACGGATTGCCTGTCACAAAGTCATATCTCCTAGCAATTGTGGATAATCAAGCCAGTGAAAAGCAAATTTTAGCTAGATTATGTTTTGGAGATGTGTCATCGGGAACTGGTTGTAATTGTAGGGAAAGTGTTCTCTCTACTTGTTGTGAAAAATTACATGGAGAGGAGGAAGTGATTAAAATTTCGATTTATAGAAAGAACTGGTTTTCTACATGAGTGAGTTCTTGGCTAGTGAGGCTTTGAAATTCACAGCCCTCTTGTCATAGTTTACATACAAGACTCGCATGCTAAAGAGTCTCATGCGAGTTTCATGATTGTCATCCTTTTGGAAATACAAAGTTGAAACCCTTGCTTTTATGCAAACAAACATGACTTTATACTTTGAAACTCACTCTAAACGTATGGCATCATGATATAAATCACCGTAATGTCAAACATCTATCATATAAATTTTTAAACATCAACGAATATATAAACTTGGATAATTAAGGAGCACACTAACTTCAGTTTATTGGATAAAGATATCGGTAGTTTTAATTGGTCAACCCATTAGGAAGATATAATCTACATCCACAACTATCATTGGATTTAAAGAAAGTATGCAGTGATTAGTCTTGATTTTAAAATATCTAGGTGGAAAATTGTGGTTAAGAACTTCTAACCTTTGTTTGGAGTTGCTAGTGATGCATCCACATTATACATCATACATATGGTGTTGATTATGCAATTGCACGCTTATAATTTAATAATTTTATAAGAGCTCTTCAACGTGGTAGCATGTGTAGTTGTTGTCATAACAGACAAAAGCTATCAAATTCAGAATAAAATTTAAAATACTAAATTTTTTCCACTAGTCACTTCACTCCATATCGAGAATCTCAAATGCTCATTTTTAAACTAAAAGCAATGGTTGATGCCTTGTGGCGGCTCGACGAATGTAACAACTCAAACATTTACTATTTATCACCCGAAGTTCATTCGGCAATTGTAATTTTTTCAAAACCTTGGCAAATCAATTATGAGCCGAAGTAAATGAAGATGCGTTTCTGGGAAATGGTTCCATCTGCAGCGAAGTTGTTTATTTGTGATGAATAAATACTTGGAAAGGAGAAAGGGAAAGTGAGTCACAAGTACAAGGGAGATAAACCGCCACTCCAAGTAATCAGTTTTGCAACACAAGACAGCTCCACAGGAAAACTGCCACCGGGCAAGGCGCGGAGAGCAGACATGGGCCGAAAGAAAATATCTGGAAAAGTAGTTGAAGTGCGTGACGGCCAATCGCGAGCTCGTGTACCAAGCGACTCGATTCCTCATGTGGTGCGCTGTTAGTGTTGTTGTTGTTGCACCCGACTCTTGTGCTGGGAGATGGCTTCCACTGCCGACAAATCGATGACGACAGATGAACATGTCACCACCTTCCTTCGTTGGCATATTTCTTGGCGGTCAGCACGAGCAAAGAAGACTGCGGGGCCCACGAGTGACTGGTGATGGCCCGATGGTGTTGATGTGGGTGTAAAGCTTTCAATCAGTAAAGTGTGCCATACCCGGCTACAGGCTGCATGACAATGTTTCTAAAAGAAGTGATGGACGGTTTACTTTTCTCCACTAACATCACGAGGTAAATACCTTACTAAAACTCTAGACTCGTGAGAGCAAGAAGGAAATTGACTGATTGCGGCGAAGCTTGCTCACTCCGCACTTGACTTCTTGAGTTCATGAGACAGGACAAAGTGTAGTTTGAATTCGTTGACTCCTCCCACATATCATATTTTGCGACCGTCCTTTACCTTTAGCATGGTGTCGAAGCGGTATGCTGGGTACTCGACATACATTTCTGCCATGAAGACCGAAGCTTTCGCGCTGAGAAACATCTCGGCAGAGCTGAGTGGCGAGTCCCAAACTGCCAGACCGATCGCGAAGGCTAACTTCATTTTCGAGTCTTCAAAACCATCGCAATAATGCGAGAAATATCGTTCATGAGAGCGGAACATTCATGTTCATCACGGACACGTCATGAACCATATACGCCCTCAAACATGCTGAGGTGCCTAAAGAAGTGGTAAATTTCTGACGCCAATATCCAGGTTTCAGAACATAAGAGGAGGACGAAGCTGTTGATAGAAAGTAGGGAAGGCAGCAAACTATCACAACACAACAGAGAACTAGACAACAGATATCTGTTTGCACCGAAACGAACGCGGGACTGGAGTTGAAGCTGGACCATCAGCTTTACCATTATACAACAGAGAACACAAGATATGAGGAAGCACGAATCAATTCGGCTTCACGCATCCAAAAAATATTGTCCAAGAAATGTGCCTTCAAAAGCTGGATTGGCATGGTGAGAGTTGTGTGATCCCAAAATACTGATCATTTGATTCACACTCTGTACAGCACGTTTTTCAAGCTGACAAAACTTTGAAAGTGAAGAGTTGTCATAGATTATTCACAACTCTTGCCTACGAATGCAGAGGACTAATGCTACTCTAATCTAATTTCTATAGCGGAAGTGAGTCTCCCAATCTAATAAATGTATCCCTTATTGTCCTCTCTGATAGTATTACAACAACTTGCCTTCGCGAAGATCTGACACCTCAAAATCCGGACACGATCACGCGCAACGACTCCTCTTTTTGCCAGAAGAAATTTTGAGCAGCTTCGTACGGCAATCAGAAACGCGCTTGGGGAGAAGAGCGCTCAATGGATAAAAATGGCTTCATAAAGACCTCGCGCACTTGGGTCATCTAACAGAATCGAAGTCTTGTCTCGGCCTTTCCTACCGATGTAAAGGCTTTCAAGAATCAAGGCCTGCAGGACGACTGGCATGAGCATAAACGAATGCATGCATGATCGAGGGCGTGGATAAACACGACGCCGCTCTACTTGGCCGATGCGAATTCGCCGTCCCTGCTAAACTTTCCGTACTTCTCCTTCATTTTATCAGCGAGCTTGGCAGCGTTGGAGTCGCTCTTTTTCGATGCGCGCTTCGCCGATTCCTCTGCCATTCCGTTAAGATTGGCTCCTCTGTTGGCCATTTCCAGGTCCTCGTAGTAATCGACGAACTCACAGCAGCTGGCGATGATCGCAAGAATCAAAATAACCCCTTGCACACATCCTGCGATAAAAAAGATAGCTCCCATGAGCTTCAGCAGTTTCTTGGAATCCGACTGGTTGCGCTTTGAGTCCATGTTCCTGAGCACCTGGTCCACCTTGATGAAGATAACGAGTCCGGCAGAGATGAGACCTCCCAGGGAGAACAGGAGAGCGATGAGATGCCATGAGAAACACCCGACCGACTTGGCAGCGCGTATGCCGAACAGCCCCGCAAGAACAGAGACAATCGACACTGCGAGGAACAGCCATCCGATCCTACTGGGAGGACGTTCCAGGAACACTTCGATGACAATCGTGGCAATGGCCGCAAGAACAATTCCGATGTTCAAAATGGTGAGAAGCCCGGTCGACGCGCTGGCCAAACATCCCTTGAATGATCTCTTCATGGTTACAGACTTCCGACTATCCTCGACTGAGCACTAATCCGACGACAACGAAGTCTCAATAAACTGACAACTAAAACTTCCTCCTCCTTCCTTTCTCTTTTCTTCGGTTTTACGACCTCTTGACGACCTTCAATGGTGTCCCTGGTGCTTTCTTTCCAACAGAATGTCACCAATTTGATAACTACACCGCTCCCTGTCGAAGCTAACAAACAAACAACCGACAAAACACAACCCACACCACACAAACTCCTGAAACTTTTTTTTTCGGAATTTACAGATCTGACAACAAGAATCCCAAGAGGAGCAGAAGCTCTTCGGATCGATCGATGACAACAGCTCAAGAGCAACCCAGAGCAGGAATCAGTCTCTGTATCTTCCTGGTGACAGATATTCCAGGAGAAGGAGAGCAGATGGAGCCGAGGACTGCCTGTGCCTCTGTCCCTCTCTGTCTGAAGGGCGAGGGAAGAGGTGAGAAGAAGGACGGATCGCTGGAGGGGAAGAGGCCACTGTAGTTCTCCGGCAAATCTACTCCGAACCTCCAACGGACCACTTTTCCCTGTTTATATTAAGCGTCCTAGTTGAGTCCAATCACGCCTCCTAATTCCGCACCACGTCTACTAAACCCGGACGGTATCCGTTAACGATCACTAAATCGGAGAATCTGCGACTAATAATATCCTCCCCTCCCAACGGTTACCGCTCCCTGCCCGTCGCTGCGTCGGAAAGCATTCTGGCGCTCATTATAGTCACTGTCGGGGAGATCTTTACTTCCCTGTTTCCTCCCCGGTGAGGAAGTTGCAGTTCTCGGCTCACTGGCTCTCACCGGTGGATCCCGCGTCAGCGATGGGACGTGGAAGCGTCAGCGATGGGACGTGGAAGGATCGAAACCGTTGAGCCCGAGCAGACCGTGCTTCGCACGGCAGCGATGGCCTGCTTCTGCGCATCTGCAGGTGGCAACGGTCTTGTGGAAGCGGGACCGGCAATAGCCGGTCGGTATACCACCACACGGACGGAGTAGGGGTGTTCAACTGGGGCGAAACTGGACAACAGTCTTGCGGACTGAGTTCGACTGACTTCTGGGTACTGCGTAAAGTTTAGGGTTTGTGAAGCTGTCCACTGTCTGGCGGAAGAGAGCACTTCGAGGAAGGGATGCGGACGCGTTGGCGTGAGCTCGAAGACCGGGGCCGTCCTTTATTATCCAGCTTCGAAGACGGGATTGCCTGCTCTTTCGGCTGTGGAAAATTGATTCCACGTGTTGATTCTTTTCAGCTCGTAGCAGCTGCGAGCGATCCTTCTTCTTCCTCTCCTCCTGTTTATCGAGGTAGGTCGGGTTTGTGGTCGTTGTACCTCTTCCTCCATATCATGGTCAAGTCTGAAGACCGTGAAATGTCGGCAATGGCTGTCGACTTTCTCGTAAGTAAGATATGCCTGCATCGGTTTGGGGAAGGTTTGGGGAGGTGTCCCGTTGGTTGTGGTAAGTGCGATCTGCTTTCATGTCAGCATTGTAGAAGAGTGGATTGAAACCTGCCGAATGGCCTGGAGCGAGTGCCCTTGTGGTGCTTATGTTAATTTTCCCGTATGACGTGTCGAGAACGAATTGTTAGGTCAGGCAAGGTTTAGCAGACTGAGCAGGATTTGAAACCTTCGTTGAATTTCTTGGTGTTTAATTCAGTCCTCGGTGGACCAACGGCTTAAGTGTCGTATGGTTTGGGATCCAGTGACTTGCATAAAGCCCACTTTTCTGGTAGATTGCCACACGGCGATTTGTGATAGTTGTCCATCCGCGTCGTTGTCGGTAAGGGTAGCTGGTTTGTAAGCCAGTACTTGACGCACCGCTCGCGAACTACGTCAAGTACGAATGCCTGTGACGAGCGTCCTAGCGTGATGCTGAAAGCACCAGGTTGCTTTGAACTCGTATAGTTGACGTCTGTTTTCTTAATCTTGGAATGTTCATATCGTGTAAGGAATGTCGAGATAGTCAGTGTGATTAAGCCATTCTTTGGGGTTTTAATGCGAGAATCCATTCCTTATGTAAAGTTTCCCATTTAGATTTATCTTACGATATCCCTTTCACTGTACTCAAATGTCCCACTCAAACCTTGAATTCACAGGTAGTTTTACTATTCGCTGACTCCTAGCAGACGCGATTCTGGATGATGAGACTTTCTACTGGATGACGCTGATGTGGATCAAACAGTAAGACACTCTAATTTTTTCCTGACAGAATTGCCACTAGTTCCTCTCCTCAGAAGCCTGTCTCATCCACTCGTGATTGATGTCTCCAGCTGAGGATAGTCAAGTTGTTCGTTTCCACCTGTCATATCGTGATTGGAAACATGAAGCCTAGGAATCTCACATCTACAAGCATCATCTGATGTTGACAGTCCACCCACAGAAAAAAAATTTCAGTTCCGTAGTAGAACTGGATTACCAAGAATGTAGCAGGCAGATGAATATATTAGAGGTTGCGCTAGCTGCATTGTGTCGGATTGGATTGGACGATCGGGAATATTGTAAAATTCGAATATTCAGTTCATATTTTGTGTCGCACATTAGTAGCTGCGGAAGTGAAGCATTCAGTATACTTTCTAGCGTATGAGTCTTCCCTGAAAGATCTTTTTCCTGGTGCGAGGCGTCGTATCGGGTGGCTTTGGTCATTCTCTGTCAATCACTCGACTTTCATCTTGGTGTTGTGGCCTACACTTGGCCGCACAATGCTTAAATTCCTCTTTCCACATTGTGGGATCTGAGCTATCAATTTTCAAGCGAACCTGTTGTTGGACTTACTACAGCCGTATTTCCTGTCTGGCTTGAACTCTAATGACTGCGATTCATACCTCTGGTGTAATTGACAACTCGTCACTAGGGGTCTGACCTTCGATGCGATCGTCTTGCAGACGTGAGTGAGTAACCTGAAGGGCTGCTCTATCGCATTGCTTTACAGGCTTCCGTTTTTCTCTGGTGTATTTATTCGATGGCAGATCCTAAGGTGGCTCACGCTGATGATATCGATGACTGTTCACTGTATGGGTACGTCCGTCATTCTTCGATTTTCTCTTGAATTTCTGTTTTGCGAATTGTGAACGCTCTTAGTCTGTCTTTGAAAGTCAGAATCCGCCGCTATCTGCGGCTCTGGATGCATTGATTGGCTAACGGCATTTTTGAATGATGAGATAACTACTGGATGATTTACCATGGATCTATCAGTAAGACACTCTAATTTTTTCCTGACAAAACTGCCGCACTTCAGCCTACTATCTTTGTTCTAGTTCCTCGTCAAGTTGTCCTAGCTATGGAGTGTTGATCTCTCGGTCTTTCATAGCTTTCTAACCATGAAATCAATTAATTGGCTGCAGTTCCTGGATTTGGTCTGTTGCTGGGGCTCTAGTGGCCATACCGGTCGGGATAAAGAAGAAAAGTTTGGCTCCTTTAGTCTTTTATGGCTCAACTGGTGCCATGATTGACATCTGGGTTGGCTTATCCAATTGCGAGAGAGCAAAGCAAGAACAAATTCAAGCTCGGGCTGCTGCCGATGAGACTATTCTGAAGGATGTGTACGAAGATTAGATGGAGTAAAGGAGTTATCTTCAACCCTGTTATACATTTTTCCGTTAGCACTCGAGACGTCGAAAGCTATGACGTTGCTGTACAAAGTAGCGACGAAAATTACCTACAATTGTTCCTAAATGCTTTGTCATACGCCACTGATCAGGACTGAGCATGGTTATTGAATCCCCGCTCGCGTGGTAGTTATACTGACAAATTGATCCGAAATTTGGATTTGTCATTTCAGTTACACGTTCCATTCAGAGCCGTGGAACTCCACCGGACAGCATCTGCACGAAAGCAGTCCTTGCGGGCTTAGTGACTTTTTGCCCCACTTATTTTTTCGTGCCAAACATCTAGCCGAGGCAAGAATGTGCTGTGAAATTCAAGTCTGACCTGGTTAGTATCGATGCCGTTTTACAAGCGCCGGTCAGTAGAAGGTACGCATTCGCTGAGCAATAGGTAAATATTGATAAGTCGAAATAAGAAAACCTTCACCAAGTATTTGGAAAGGAGTATGTACAGACAATGCAAATTTGCAGAGACGTCAGATGGATTAGCAAGAGAAATACTCTTGTACAAGATGATGACTCGTCATGTGGAAGTGAAATAGGCGAAGTTAATTTGTGGTGTGTGAAATAGTGCGAGGAAAAAAAGACTGTCAACTAGAATGTGAAAATTAAATGTAGAAATGAGCGGTGGAAAGTAGCACAATGGTGTACGTGACCATCGCTACTTCTCACTCGGCCATGTATTGGGGACCTTGAGTTGATATCTACTCCACCCTCCAGCACTTTCTCCAAGCTTCTCATCAGTCGCCCGTCCTTCTCGCCAAGCCCAGTACCGGCTGCCACCATTCATCTGCAATGGGTCGATGATTTTTGACTTTTGATGCCACCACCGTGCCATCATAGTCGAAAATCATCGACAGATTGTCGATGTCGTACTCTGATTTCAGCTGCTCGTCCTTGCCAAGCCAAGTACAGGCTGCCACCATCGCGAATCTGCAACCAACGTGCATCTGCAATGCGTCGATGATTTTTTACTTTTGATGCCACCACCGTGCCATCAAAATCGAAAATCATAGACAGATTGTCGATGTTCTACTCAGGCTTTAGCTGGGATACGTCATTGGCGGCTGAGACTTGGCGCGAAGATCCGATGAGGCGTACGAGTAGCCTACGAGAGGATGAGGTGAGCATTATGAGCTGCTGAGAAATGACGCTGGCGCTTGCACATAAGGGCTGATTGGTCTGATAGTTTGTTACTGTGTGTGCTTTCCTTTGAACTCTGTTCTTAACGAAGCACACGTTCTATGTTGATCAACTATGCCATCAGTCGGGAGATTGTTGTCACGAGGTGAAAGCGATGTGGTGTGTAGCATGGGAATGCTGTGTCCGGAGCTGCCAGCAAGTCTTTGTACCTGTCGGGGTTGTGCATTAGGAGTGCCCCGAAACATGGGGTTTGGGCCAGAATTAACAGACTTGATGTAGCGTTTGCCATTAGGGGATGCTGTGGCTCGAGGCAAGGCCTCTGTGCAGCCGTCTCGGCGTTTGGTCGTTCAGGCAGAGCGGGCAGCAATCATGCGCCATTCAGTCGTATGTATTTCTTTCATCGGCTTTTCTGTGGCTGCATTTTGCTGCTTCGGTGGGTTTGCTTACGGTTTGCTTTGCTGCAGGCGTATCCCAGCTCAAGCCTGAGACCGTGAAGGAGATTCAGGAAAACATCGGCAATCTGTTGATGATTTATACTTCGATGACGAAAAAAAACGAAATAACAACAGTTCAGCCGTAGAAGAACAGTAGCAAACTTCTCAGAATTTACACATTAAAGAAAGAAAACTAATATCAATCAATACTTTGTTCCGAAACAAATCCGCAACAAACGGAAAGGAAGGAAGGAGAATGTTGTAATCTCTACCCACACTTGCAACCAGTACTGTCCACAACAGACTGAAACCTTGGTGTAGAATTATATACTGAAAGAACAATGAAATCGCGTTATAAACGTAATGAAAACGATTATCACTTATATAAAACTACAATAACGAAGAAAATACAAATAGTACTTTAATCAATATACACACTATGCAAATCACCGAGTCATACAATGATAAAATCATCAACTCGCTGTCAATACATCAATTTCATGTAAACTTGATGAAATTACCCATCATGCAAATAAATCACAAAGCTGGGTAGACAGTTCTGGAGCAAAATACGTGAAACATTATCCTGTTAAGAAATGAAGATGAAAAGATTAAACCTCTATCTAATGTACATCTAAGATGGAACAATTATACCATTCAGAAACCCATGCGAAAAGTAATTTGCTTGATGAGACCCCTCAGGTTTGGTTCTGCCCGATGGGATTCCAACGACGGTGTGCCGTCGTACATAGTTCTTGTAACTACGATTACTACAAGATCAATCCGTGATTATAATTTTTGGTGGATTATCACGGGGACAAATATCGATTTTGCTCGAAGTGCAATTTTTTGTGCTTCAATTCTTCCGATCGCAAAGATTCGCGGATATTTCTGTTGACTCCCACCTGGACACTCTTTCCGTAACCCAACGTGGTCCGAGCTCAAGTCTCGCGATCACTCATTTGTGGCGAACAAATAAACTCCGGATGAACATTTCTTGCTCGTCTCTTTGGAGAGTGGCCGGATACATAATGACAACATAAAAACGAGTGTGATGGAGTGCGAAGTCCACTCTGTATGCGGGTGCGGTGGACTCGTTGCACTCTCTCTAGTTGTTATTAGAACATGGGTGACGGTGCATCGTTCATGGGGTCCCATCGGGTAAAATGAAACCTGAAGGGTCCCATCAAGCAAATCTCTCAACTCATCCCTACAGTATTATTTTAAACCCACACTGTGAAACTTGCTAGATCAATGTGTCAACAATGGTTAAAAATTTGTGCATTATTTGCTAAAAAAAGAAAATCTTGCATGGTCAAACCACGTGACATCAAAAAGAAGATTGGGAAAATCTTGCATGGCCAAACCACAGTACATCAAAGCTCTGTCAATAATTGTGGTAAGGAAAAATTACTTCAAAGTATTTTCGTATCAAATCCCTGCATTGAAGTTTTAAGCAGTGAACTTTTCTTAGAAAAATGTTATATTAAAAAACGATAGAACCTATAATAAATGAATGAATGAAGGTCTATAAATAAACATTTGTGTTGAGTTATATTGACTCATAATTCCATATACAAGCACTCCAAATTGATGTAAAAAAAGTCATAGATTAAATAATAAATGATGCTACTTATTTAGGATTTAGGCCAAAACTTGATGAAACTTGTTAGTTGTATCGTTCTTTGACAACAATACAAGTAACAAGTTTCTACAATGTCATTTGATAGTAAATGATCTAATGCTACTAGGTTTTTTTTCCATCGCCAAAAGTCATCTAAACCTTGTAATGATAAGAAAACATTGTGTATAACTTTATATAATTTATCTTGCTTGCATGAACGAAATAACTTAACACTACATCATTATAATTCCTACACAACAAGATTCACACACGGAGATTCATCTCCACATGAGTTTAACTCAAAGTCCGATATAGAAGTTGCACTAAAGTAAGAATTTTATATCAATACTCCATAGTCAAACTCTCGACTATCTCTATCTATCAAGTGTACATGTCATACTAAACTTAAATGTGTTGATCCTAGGTCTAAGTACCCAAAATCCTAACTTGAAGTCAAGCCTAACAAACTTAACTACAGTAAACAAAATGTGGATTAACCTTACAAACTTCACTTTGACTCAAGTCTTAAAGTAGGTAATTTCTACTGTCCATATATAGTTTCAGCGACAACTTCTAGAAGGTAAAACTAAACCATAGATTTTTTCATGTGAACAAGGGTTAAGTAGATTTAAGCCGTAGTTGAGAGCATTTCAAAGAAAAACTACATACATAGAAAAAATCATGTAATGTAAATCACTGATGCAAAATGTGCAGAGTTGCACATTATCACTTTGGTATAGTCATTACTCCAATCAAGATCTCCATCAATCTTGATGAGCTTAAACGCGTTTTCAGACACACTCAGTCCCATAAAATGGTACCTTATGTGAATGAAGTTCATGCTACTATCCATCACTTGGCAAGTTGAAGCGCTCTTTTATTATCACAATGAAAATTGACGTCATAATCCGACAATCCCATATTATTAATAAGTTCCCTCAACCAAATTGTTTTCTTAGTTTACTTTGCTATTGCAACTTATTGAACATACATTGATGACAAGTAAATGCAATTTTGAAAAATAGCACTTATAAGAGTGGAAGCATATCCAATTGTTGAGTACTTGTCCAAGACTTCTCCGTGATCACCATGCACATGTCTCAAAGGTGACTTGTCATTCATTGTTTTGTCATCAAATAATAAGCCATGTCGTGTAAATTTGTTAAGATACCTAAGTATCCACTTCACTACTTTCCAATGCACATCTGACATGTACATGTTCATCTTATCTATAGCAAATGTTATATCAGATTATGTGCGTACTGCAATCTTTGGGTTGATTCTCACTCATGTTTACATCTGATAGCTTTTTGATAGCTCATCAGGTAACTAGAAGGTTAAGATTTCTTCTCATGTTCATGTCACAAACACCCTTTCACATAATCCCTCCATTCATCACACATATCGACATTCTTTCATTGATAAACAAGTCTCTACACAATGAATTCTTTGTCATGTATTTTTGTATATGCTATATTTAGCCGTTGACCTAGTATTATCGTTCGGAGAGCATAGATGAAGACGACTTGAAGAACGTTAAGTTCTTCAAGTCGAACCTGTAGCATTGGGACTAGTGAGTAAGCGTCAGCCTAGATTTTCAAGACGAGTTGGTTGGACTCGACTACATGTATGTGTGACTGTCGTGTTTGCTAGTGGGTTAATCACGACTGATGTGTTTGCCAGTGCGATAATCACGTTCAATTTCAGTTGTTGTACATTTGAGTGTGTACGCTCTCGTGTCCTATGTGTGTTTGTATGTGAGTAGCATGTTAGCGATGTAGAGTGTATGGCGATACATATTCACACGACATCTCCAAACTTGCTTGAGAGTTTCTTCCCTTACTCTCTACCTATATTAATTTAATAATTACCATAAATTATCTCCCAACTTATTTTCAGTATAATAAACTTTGATAGTTTGACTAATTCTCCAAAACCTTCTAGAAGCTTTTTAATTCTGAGGTTGAAGTGTCAACATGTCATTGGAAGCTTTCAAACTTCTAGAAGCTTCTTTGACTCTAAGTCAACATTGGTCTTAGTGTAACCAATGATCTTTCGTATACTAGGTCAAACCAATCAAATTTAATCTTGTAATTAAAAGTCTTTAGTGTTAGAATCTATAGTTACATTAGAGACAAAATAGAAGTGTTTGCTACAATCTTCTAGAACTCATCTAATTATTTTTCCAAGTGTAGATCTTATAGCTAAATTTAGATAAATTTAGTTATAACTAGCTAGATCTAGCTATGTCTAGGCTAATCATACTCCACTCTTTGGCTATTTCTAAAACTATAACAAACATATAACAACAAGTTTTACAATACTATGAAATATATTTTAGTATTTACTACACTCTCGTAGTAAATAATAAACATCAAGTATTTTGCAACATCATCCATAGAACATTGCGCTACTGAATGTTAAATATGAGCAATCAATGAAATACTCACATGTTTAGTTTAAACCATGTTGAAATTAGTAAGCACTTTCTGTGTATATTTTTGTTGAGATTATCAAAACTTTTCTGTCTTGTGATACCATAATATCTCCATGTCAAAAATCTTCTTGATTGAAGCTAGATATTTCATGCTAAAAGTTAAGTTCAACTAAGTTTTAACTTATCAACAATGTATCTCCTTAGAGTTGCAATAAACATATCATCAACATACAATACAAGAATAATAAACCCAATTGTCACATTGAAAAACTTCGTGTAGTAAGACAAATTTCATATGCACTCAGGAAGAATTCTTGTGAATGCATGAAATTGTTGAAAAGTTGTTTAATTGTTTGAAACTTTGATTCAAACAATATAACAAGTTAAACATGTGTATCATGATTTACTTTCTTATCATGAAAAAACCGTGCGGTTGTTGCATGAATATCATTTCATTGAGTAGTTCATATCATTGTGACAACATTCATCTGATCAAACATCTTCTCATATAAAATCACAAGATGACATAGCAAACATATTATAAAATACTTTGCTTCTGGTACAAAAACTTCATTGTAATTTATATTTTAGCGTTGTGTGAATTACTTGGCTATCAATCTAGCCTTAAAGATTTTTTCATTTGAATCCATGGATACATTCTTCTTCATCTAGATCCATTTACAATTCACAATTCTTACTTCTTTTGCATCGCTGCATTTCATTCTTGCTTCACACTAAAAGCTAGAGCTTTAGAGAAAGAAGATGTATACTCATCTTCAAAAATCACTTGAATCTTTATAAAAATGATTGTGTTTAAAATGACTAAAAAATCTGATCAAAGCATCACCTAAATTCTCAGCATCAATTTGAATATCGTCAATGATTGAAGAATCAAACCAAGTGTTAATTCTAGCAAGAGCTTGACATTCAATTGCACTTTGCAACTACTGTCATGACGAAAATTTTGCTTGTTTAATTGGTGTTGATATTAAGTATGGCTCATCAACAATCAGCTCTTGTTGATACACAACAAGTGGGATATCTCATTGTGACCATCATGAGTGATGTCAAGCACAATCTCAACTTGAACATTATCTAGGACAAGAGCCTTGTCTTTGTCAATAACTGAATTGCGCACTTTCTATTCCTCATTCAATGATCTCGATTCATTAAATGAAACATACCCTTTACACAATGAAGTTACAAACATTAACATAACACGATTTATATCTTCACTACTTTTTGATAACCAAGAAATACACAATTCTTGGTTTTAAAATCAAACTTAGTGATCTTATTCTTTGCACTTACATCATAAGCATCACAATCCAAAAACTTCAACATAGAGTTATCAACTAACTGTTGTATCACAATTCAAATAGTGTGTTATAAGAGATAGTTTTACTAAGTTACTTTACCCAAAAATGTATGTGATTAATCAACATACATTTTGAAAAGTTAATTCTTTGCGAGTTTTTAATAACCATTCACAAAAATTACATTTTATAATTTCCAGAATGTGAGAAAAAAATTAAATCATCCACTCATCAGATTAAATGTAATCAAAAATATTGTGTGAGTTATGCGTTCCAACGCTGAATGGAGCTCTTGTTTGTTGGCCAAATACACTGTGATCACGTAATTCTAGCTTTACTTGTCTCATCTTGAAAAATAAACTCTATTTGTGTACGAAGTCCAATCTTTTCTCACTCATGTTATCCAATCGGTTGTGTCATAAATGGAAACTCAAATACGAAGATGAAGTAGCATGTGATTCTTCAAAGATCATTGTATATTCCAAGATATATAGATTCTTCAACCTTGAGCTCCTTATGAGAATGTGTGAATCATCCATCATATTCAACACTTCATTGTCAGTTCTTCATTTGAACATTTTCAAGTTCAATTCTCCAAATGAGATCAAGTTCTCCCATATATTATAAGCCGCACCACACATTGTTTAAGATATAAATCACCCTATCAAACATTTGAATTTTCATAGATCTAATGCCAACAATTTTGCAAGGTGGAATCTATTTCATAGAAAACTGTATTGATTGACGAAGTGTAAAAACTAAAGAGATCTTTAACGTGACAAATATGATAAGAGCAAGTTGAATCCAAAGTCTATTCATCAGTTCAAACATGTACAGAAGTACAAAAAACATAACCAAAATCTTTGATTACAATCAAGCTTATCGAGTATTCAACGTTTGCCATACTACAACAATTTTTGCAAATGTGGTCAGATTTGTTACATTTTCAGCACTTAATATTCACACCATCTTTAGATTTAAACCTAGATCTAGACTTGATTTTGATCTTTCTTTTGACTTCTTCCATAGTAGACGTCTTATCACAAGAGGCTATAAAGGAAATGGACAATGAAGTCAATTGATTGAAAGAGTTATAAACAAACATCAACAGCTTTTGTTGCAAGTCCTCGGTCAATAAAGCAGTAACAACTTTATTGTAAATGATTATCTCTTCGTTACAGTGAAACAACATACGTGACAGATATTGGAATCAGATCGGCAAAAAGCTTTGCTACCAAATTGCTTTCCGCTCATCATTCAAATCTACTACAAAATTTTCAAGATACACAACCAAATCATAAAAAACATACCACATGATATTGCATATTAGTATCTTCTATTATACTTATGAGCTTCAAAAACGTGAACAACAAGTTTGAGTTCTTCTTTTTATGATACTTTTCACGCAATGTCGCAAATAAATCTGCTACCGTTGGCACCTACTACATTTTTGTAAGACATTGGACTTGAAATATAATACCCCATTAATCATTGTTTGGTATTGAATGTCACTCCAATCATCATAATCTACATTGTTGATCGTGACTTACGCACATTGTCCCAAGTCCAAGAGTATACTAATGACTTTTGTCAAAGTCCATTGCACCAAGTATACTAGTGACTTGATGTTGCCACAAGACATAATTGTCATTGTCATGGGTCATTTAACCTCTAGAAATATAATATGAGGTTTGCTAGTAATGTTCGATTCTCTTTTTGATGCACTTGAGTTGCTTTTAAAATCTCTCAAACAACTCATTCCTTAAGAAGTTGGCAAAAATCTAGTTTCATCAAACCAAACCAAAAATCAACTTCCATAGATGTAATTTGCAGAAGTTGGCAAAAATCTAGTTTCATCAAACCAAACCAAAAATCAACTTCCATAGATGTAATTTGCAGCATCTGAATGCTTCAGCACGCATCGGAACAAAAAGTATATCCCTCCAATCTGAGAACTTCAACGCACTCACTCTGTCGAACCTTTTTCCAGATGTCTTAGAAGACACAGGTTTCACCAACTGTGAAAGAATGTTAGTAAGATCTAGAACTTGGTTGCAATAAATAACCTCCTAGGCAGTCAAGATATGAAACCGTCAGGATCTCGGAATCTGGTCCGATTAGAGGCTGAAAAATCATGATACCTCCGCTAATGGAGCCAAAAGCTCTTGAAGCTATATTCCCCGCCATGCATCTCCAAGAATAGCAACTCGACAAAATGAGAGAATTGGATACAACCTACTTCACAGATGTGAACGACGGAGATTTCCAGTTGATGATGCTGTTATATTCAAAATTTCACCCACGCAGCTCTGAAATCTAATGTATGTGCTGGTGCGTGCATGAAAAGAACCTGAACGATCCAAGATTCAAACTGCTACGATCAGAATACAACACGAACTCCAAATCCAATCTTGCGATCACCCCTACAAGCGAGCAATCCTCTGATCTCTAACGATAGCACTAGAACCCGCGTATTCGCACCAGAAGTTTTCCGCCAATCGAGTCCGACCTGTTACGTTTCGATACCAGTTGTATGTCGGATACAACAAGAATTATACACCTTCAACTTCATAAGAAATTACAATCACGATCGTAATAGAAATTTCATTAAACTGCAAATATCACATTGAATCTCCATAATCAATATTTCAATTCTATTATGTGGATTGAAAGAGAGTTCTACAATGGATATATCCATACCCATGGATAAATGAATGAATATAGACTAGTTCCCATGGATGGATACAAGGAATGGGTGGACAATTGAAAGAGAGTTCTACAATGTATATCCATACCCATGGATATGGACTAGTATCCATGGATGGGTATGAGGAATGGATGGCTACGATGGAGATAGTCTTTAAACTATTGAATTAAATAATTTGGCTCTCGGATTATGCTATGCTAATAGTTATTACTTGCTGATTAATTATTATTTATCATAAATCGAAAAATCTAAATGAAATTCAAATGTTCTTAAGAAGTAAAATTATTTAAAGAACATGATAGGTACAAACAAGGTGCCATGGATAGAAAATGATTATGGAAAAGTTACCATAGGTGGTTAACGGTTGGATAAAATCTGACTATGGCTTGGGTGTAGATAAAGTTTTGAAATCCAATGCAAGACTCGGGTATATATCGAACGTGTTCATAATCAAATTCCCCAAAAGATAACTAGAATTCAAACCTAGCGAACCATAACTAGAGACAAAGACTAACTAGCTTAACAACTAACTAACTTTACAATCTTACCTCAAATGGATAAATGATTTGACTCTCAAACCAACTATACCTAAGGCAATTTCGAAATAATGATAACTTTCAGAATATCACCAGATAATACTCGGCACATTAGTCCATTTAAGTTGCTACAAGTTTTAACTTAGTCTAGTATACATATGTAAGATGTAATTTCAAATTAAATACTGCTTTATTCTCAGAAGTAAAACTCTGAGAATATGAAGATGGAAGTAAATTCGTCTGAGAATATAAGTCAGTCATGACACTGAAAGTCAGTAAGTCAGTCATGACTATTGGTTGCAGAAATTACAATTATAAGAATTAGATCTAACACGTGAACATTAAATTTGTCGGTGAATAATAAATCTTAGTAAGAAAGGTCTCGTACTTAATTTTAACGGGTCTTGGGCTCGTTATGTGTGATTCAGTGTCCAAGTTGTGATTAACGAACCTTATATTACTAACTGTACGAACACAGCTTAGTGAACACACCTTATCACTTTTTACTTATTCAAGTAAATCCACAGCTCTGAAAGTTGTATCGTGTCGTTGAAAAATGATGTAGAGGTAACACTCTATTTGGAATAAAAATTGATGTCGCGCAAGCGTATGAGCTCGAATCTCAATCAATGTGTAATTTCAGTGTAGCCCACTTCAGGATAAGGTGACTGATATCTATCAAGCTATAGCTTCATCAAAAGAAGCATCAAGCATGGAGAAAAGCCCACTAAGCCAGCGTCTCGAGCGCGCAGGTGACATCCTTGAGGGGGTCTTGTCCAGAGAAACGCGCACTTCAGTTCCTCGGCCGCCACGACGGCATCGGCTTCATTAAGGGGAGCATAAAGCACTGTTGATGCATCTACGACACATCTTAGTCAATAGCTGCAACATTGTTCATAAAATCAAGAGTATTTAACGCGACAAAAAAAGAGCCGATGCATATATACTGGAAGTGACTTAGTACATCAAAAATACATACATCAAGAAAAACCTCAAATGATTACGCTATGAGGAACCTGAGCCTGGACTATCTAGCTGTAAACTTCAGAGATCTTCATCCACTACTCAGGAAGGGCTATGAAGTGCATCTTCATGAACTATTGCAGTTTGCAACTACAGCAACATCAAGTACTGTCAGGACGTACCTTTACACCTTCTTGTTAGATTTGGTGCTCGAATGGGTGCGGACATACACGACTTCCATGTGCTAGAATTTTTGAAGTAAAGATACGGGGGAATCATATTTTACAAAAAAAACGAACTCTCGACATGATGTGTTCAACACATTTTAATACCGGCAGCAAAACCTGTAAGGAAGAAATTAAACCGAGTACCAAGTGGTCATCATGAACATTCAAAACCATCTCGAAGTGTGAATCAGGGCGCAACGATCCGGCCAAACTTACATCCCAACCCGAACCTGCATCATATATTCTGGTGAAGAACGCAGAAAGGTAATCAGCTGATTAGATACATTTACAAATTGAAACGTTCATCAATGGTATCAAGCAACCGAAAAACAACATCAGTGTAAGCGCACATATGCTTTGTCTACTCGTTGCCATCGTGATCCTTCAACAGAATCTGATTAATCTTCGGAGTTTTCTCAATACATTTGAGGTAATTGCACAAGGTAAATGGAACAGCGATGACTTTCTACCCACTGCAAAGATGGAATAAAAGACGCAGAACTGATTGTTCGGTGCTCATCAACTGCTAGCATATGCTACAACTTCATCTGACACTTGTAGACGCAACGTTCCTGAATTAAATTTTCCTATCCTGGACTACGTCACAACGAAAGAGTATTTATACAATCACCCTGGACTTGGACCAGAGGAAAACTTCGAGAGACACAGTGCTAACTGAACGATCCATCCACCGGTTCTACTTTCAAAACATCTCACGGTGGTCGAGCTCCTATTTTGTCTGGAGTTAATGGTGAGGCCTCCATCGCAAACCTCACCTCCTCAACTCAATTTCCCCTCATGGGGTTAAGGCACTCTCAGTGGGGGAGGGGAAGGTCATGGGCGAAAGAATTTGTTTCCTATCTAAACACTGCATGTACAAGTAAGAAAAGTCCAGTCTACTACACTTAAAACCGATTTACATATTAAAAGAATGACATGAATGGAAGGAGCATAATGGAAGTGAATTCAGCTGACTTGGATTGATGCGCAATTTGAAGAACGAAACCACTACGAGTTGGACTTTAGAAGTTCCTCTAGCTGGTTGTATGAGACATATCGCAAGGAACATTCCAGATGTTCAAAGTTGCGCAGCTGGAACGGCACCAGAGTTAGACACACCCGTTAGTGACGTGGATCCAGTAATCTTAGTTTTCGCTGACAGCGGTATAGGTGTTAACCCTGTGGCATGAACGGCTTGAGCGACAGGATGTGCTGGGGAAGGAACAGGACGCAAAACGCGAATGGCATCACCAAGGACCTGATTTCTCTTCAGGTTCTGGATCATTTCCGATCGTAGAGTATCCTTCTCAAAACTGGAAACTGCAAAACGTTACCACAATTGCAAAGTGAGATATGATTGTATATCACTGCTTGATAATGTACTTTCCGTTTGTGCTTATCGTCCATGTTTCACGAAGACTTGACATCTCCAAATCACATTGACAAGAATCGTAAAACAAATCACACAAATTATCAGGTGTAGAAACGATATTGTAAGATCTCAAGTCTACTGAATAACGGCATGATCGAACCCAGATTGATGTTACAGTCTCTCACACAAAGCGACAACATAATAGACAGTGACGGGTGATGATTCCTTTTGCTGATCATGTACACTGTCAGTATAATCCAAAGAATTTAGTAAAAATCAACTCCGCGAACAGACATAGACGGTGAGCTTAGCGAAAGAGGTATCTCAAAGTCAAACCACAAAGTCCCAGGTGACCTGTGAAGGGCAACGATTCGAGCACGAATATACACGGAGATTGTATATCCTTGCTGCACAAATCACCATGCACCTTTCCAATAGAGATTACCAGAACAACTTGATAAGACAAAGAAATCACTACAGGGATTACACCCGGACTCCATCGGCGTCCATAATTAAGTCAATGGGTAAGAGCAAGTAGCCCTTGTGAGGAGTTTCTGAATGATACAACTAAAGCGAACTCCGGGCAACCGGTTGAGTAAATCTGTTCTCTTTTTCATATTCCTCCTTGACATGCCTTATTAGCTTCAAGATTAATATCCTATCATCCATTGAACAAGTAATACATGTGAATGTCATGAATTGTATGCACTTAAAATTACAGTCTACTGGATTGATGTGAGAATTTCGTAAACCGAGAATTCAACAGTGCTCATGCGCACGTCATACGTAAATTCATAAGCTCCGCACCATGCCTGAACAGAGCTCGAGTAAAAAAGAATGAGTAGCTAGAGAAGACGGTACAGAAGAGAGTAAAAGGAGAGAGAACTACTTGGTAATGAGAGGATATCTCTACTAATGAGATTCCACCAAAGGACAAGGGAAAAATCTGCTGCAGCTAAGCTCTTTCCTGCATCAAAAGTGCAATTCTAGAAACTAAAGCCGAGAGCAGAAACAGGAATAACATTGCACTAAGCGTTGCAACCGAATCAGTGCTAGTACAATGTGCAGTAAAAACGTCAAGGAGTGCTGGCACGAATTCTCCATCAGATATCATCAAAGAATAAATTATGCAACCCGTAGAAATACTAGGATCGAAAACCGGCAAAAACTACAACCACTACAATGAAGTGTAAAGAAAGCCACGACAGCCGGGCTCTTACCGAAGCTCAGCCACTGTAAGAATGAACTTTCTATCTGCAGGATTCAGAGAATTGAAGCATTTGAAAGTAACATGGCGAATGCATAATATGAGACAAAGAGACAAGCAAGGACGGAGGAAAGAAAACTCTCAGAAGTTCCTTTCCTCTGGACATAAGAAGACATTTAGAGGGAAGAGACTATAATGCCATATGAAAGAAAACTTGAGTAGAAAACCTAGTATTAATTGAACCACCAGACTCTAGGCTCGGCTCGTAAAAGAAAACTAAAAAACAGGAAAAGCAGTAAGAGCATACTGGGAAACCCTGACCAGGTTTCAATAAGAACAGGAGTCATCTCATGTTCTCATTGAGAAATTTCTTCTGTCGAAAAAAGGTTGTAAAAAAACACGAGGAACTCCTCACAAAGTCAGTAAAGGATATTCAAGTAAGAAGAAGCAAAATAAGGAAGTTGGGAGACTGGTTAAGCATGAGAAAACTCTTGAATAACGAAAAACTTTACTTCCACTCGCACGACTCTCTTGTTTGTATAATTGTCTGTAGTTCACAAAGACGATGAGACCTATATTTCCTCCTGCATTGTCTAATTTTTTCGGATGAATAAAATGAAGCATGAGAAAAAATGCTAGAATCTAGGTTACCAATGTAACCACAATGTCATGATTGACAATGTGTAGAGTTATACATGGCCTAAATCGTATGGGTGGCATGACTCAAAGCACTTTGTGCCAATCGATTGCTCGAACGCCTTCCCGCATACACGAGGTCACGGGTAAACAAGCTGGTTGAGCTCCAGAGAGGAAAAGCCTCAAAGTTGTCAATGCTTAATTCTTCAGTCCGCACAATGAGCTAGAACTACTTGAGGAATTCCACGAAGATATCAAATCAAAGCATGAGTTCAGACAACAAGTTCAGTAGAATTGAAAACTAGTTGTAGAGCAATCAAGAATTTACCTCGCCTTTTGCCGACGGACACAATGCTCCGCAAGCAGTCTCTGAACTCTGACAAGATTACACGCTCCCGTTCTGCGATCAAACTCGGATAAGGTCCAGCTGAAAAAAGGCCTCCTGAAGGTGAGGGAGGGGCGGTAAAGAGGGTATCTTGCTCGTCGCACATCAAAGCTAATGTTCCCGGTGACATTGCACGCTTCTTGCGTCCATTCTCCATGTCTCCATCTTCAGCACCTGAGTTTGGTTCACCGATTGCGATTTCGCCGGTACTAGTACTGGCTTTTTCCTCAGTACCTGCTTCGTTTTCAAGCTGTGTCTTTTCCTCTTCTTTCGTTGCGACTGAAGGGATTTCTATACTTGGCTTTGAGGCTCCATTGTCTCCTGTTTGTGTTGTGCCAGACTCTGGCAAGCTCCCTAGTATCAAAAGTACATATTTAGTATCGGGGTAACAAACAGCATCATGAAGTTGAAAAAGCCATGATTGTGGACGAGAAGGATATGCAGACAGCGATGAAAAGAACCCTTTTTTCAAATACCTAAAAGCCGTTTATGAGTCTCATTCTCCACAATGACAAGCAGTTTGCAGAGTTCATGAACTGCGTCTTGTTGTATTACACCCGCCAGTAGTGACCTACATAAGAAATCCCAAAGTAGAAGATCATTGATCCATTTGTTAGATGTCTCCATATGTTCACTAGAGCATTTTATCAATTGAAGCCTTGTTTGGGAGTTTACTACCATAATAATTGGGAATACCTCGGGATAATCTGCATTGTAGGAGTAAGAACATTATTTCCTCGAGCTATTGGAACCAAAATTGGTGCAGCTGGATTGATAGTTGTTGTAGCCATTTTGGCGGTACATGGCTGCAACCACAGGAGAAGATCGTCAGAAATTTCAGAAGTGTGTCCGGTCATCATGAATTAACATGTGATCTCCTAAGAACCGAGTAGTTCACCAGACACCATGAGTTCGTAGTGCTCAAAAAACCCAAAACCCTGACGGGAATTATGTTACGTTAGATTAACCTGATTAAGTTGTAAAACACGAGAAATTACTATTCAGGGGTTGCGTTCAATCCAACAATACCTGCAAAACCACAGCTTGGGGAACTCTGCGGGGAGGAGCTTGTTCCTTTAAGCCCTGTTGACCAACAAACACAAGATCATGGGTTCTTCTTCGTTTCATTGGCGATGGGGTAAAGCCTCCAGTGCCAGATGACGTAGCTACTGGACCAGCAGCAACCGACCCATTTGACGTCATGTGAGAATAGTTAATTCCCACATTATGGTCTCCGTGAAAGAGAGCTCGTCTTTCTTCACTACCTTCATAGTTCTTACAGTCGATACATTTACAATTTTCCGAACATAGAATATTGGCTTGAAAGCATTCGCAATACTTTTTCAAGCATCCTGATTTCTTGCAGTGGCAACCTTTGTTATGCTTCCCTGCAACCGGATGTTCGCCGTTGTCCTCCTGCAGTTGAAAGAACATATTTATAAAAACATTGTAAAGGCTTGACGACTGCCAGTTTTGAAGGAACTTGTGACAGTAAGAATAATTGACAACTTCAAAAGAAAGTTTAGTTCCTTCGTGAACACTCGATAACATCTTGCAGTGGTGAAAGTTGGCGGATTTGCAGAATCAATCCATGAGACCCGATACCACCACGATGGTCATACATCAAGGTTGTATGGAGTACAAATAAATCTGAAAAAATTGGTGGTGTTTATAGATGAAAGTTACAGATCTAACCCGACTATCTCGTAGAAGAGCACTTGGACTACTCGCAATCTTGGGCCTAAAGGCATTTGGGTTGCGCTCAAGAATAGTCTCCACCGCTTCTTGTCGGACAGATTCATTGTCGACATTGTTGCAACAATTGACACAGTTGCACCCATCGCAATACGTGCCAGATGCAAAACATTCACAGTATCTGAAGAAACAGAAAATCCAAACAAGTAGTCAAGGTCAGCATGTTTATGATGTGTTCTGTGCAGCTAAACTAGAGCCAACAAGGAGATGAAGTGTAGAACTGAAACACAATTAGCAAGTTCATTAACAGCAAACTTGAATTCCACTTGAATGGGACACACTGTCCGCAGTAAGCTGCAAAAAAAGGAATCACTTTAAAGAGATCTTTCCAGAACTTGAACCCTCGATATGACGGTTTTAATGGAGAATCCATAGGTAAACTCACAAATTTTAGAAGGCAGATAAGAGATGTCCTTACAACTTAAGGCAGCGAGAGTTTTTGCAATTGCACTGTTTGCATTTCTTGGGAGTCCCATCCTTCGGCTCAAAAACAGCTCGGGGCCTGTGTCCAGCTCTGGGAGACCCGTGCTTCCTGCTAAACCATCAATAAATCGGATTTGACTCATCAATACCGTTTCCACATAATGTGCAGTTCGGTGTTAAAAGCTTTCCTTCCTCGTTTAGTGCTTACGAAGAGAGCTGCCCGTGAAGAACAAACGATGGACTGGGATGACACATAATGCTCCTGATGATGTACTTCCCAGCATACAATGATCAAATCTGAGGCTCAGGCTGATCATCTGAAACAACAATAGGCCTTACTTTAGGTGGATACACTTATCACTATCGGTTGTAAAATTTGATTCATTAGTCAGTAAATGTAAAGCTATTATTGCTACTTTAGAAACTATCAAAAAATCGATGTGGGATAGGGAGCAGAGGAGTCGTTTGGGTTTCTACAGAAGGAGATTAAAAAAAAAGCCGCCCAATTCAAACTCGACTTTGATTCCACATTTCATCATTGCCCGTTGATCCGTATCCGAATCGTGGTCATCGTGACGCACAAAGAAGTATTAGCAGATCAACAACGTTGCTTCTTCTCACACGTCCTCAGTACTTGGTGTGTACCCACAGAGTTGAATTGACCTCAAACTTTGAAAAAGCTTCAGCTCTTTCGCAAAATATTTCGTATTAGCATAAGCATGTTCAAACAAAAGCATAGTGCAAAATATATTGCAATGATTCCCCACAGACCGAGGACATCGTATAAGCGGCGAGATGGTATGACGACCGATTAATGGAACAACCACTTTGAACACGCAAATGGTGATGATAATTAACAAGTAGACATTCTTCCTAGGTCGTATTCTAGGGGCGATTGACACCCATGCCAAGTTGGTCAAAAGTCCCAGCATCACCTGGCAGGAGAGTTCACTGGTGATGGAGGCCGTGTACTGTACAAGTTGGATTGCCCAGAGCGTAAGGACGTTTCAGATGAAGTGGCAGCGGCATTGCCATACATGGAGGTGAAGTCCAATTGTCTTACTGGCTTCCTGGTGAGCTGTTCACTAGAGGCCATTGATCCAGCTGGTACCACGGCCAGAGAAAGCGATGCGGACGGATGGGAGGAATCCATGGGAGAAGTTGCTCCCACCGTCTTCATCAGGCAGACCGACGTCTACAAAGTTTTGTGGTTAATCAGTTGGTGAGTCAGTCACACCACGATGAACACATCCTCCATCAAGAATCGGTTGTCCTCAGACCAACGAGCAAAAGCAGCAGCTTCATGTCTCCACCCATCGTGAGTTTGGATCAACCCCACCACCCCAGAATTCAGTTCCAGCGGCACAGGAGCTGATATTCAACCCCTTTCCATCATCTTCACGACCACCCTTCCATTCCTCGACCCTGACCTCCTCCTCCGCGTGCCCATGCACTCCGACTCGCAGCACACACAAAATAATCCTTTTCTAATTATTCTGGCCTTCCTCTATACCTCCAACAATACCCAGATCTCCACAAACCCACAATTTTTCACCACCACCTCCGGCTTTCCTTCACCGCCATTCTGACAATTTGACAAATCCTATCGTTTCCCGTCTTTCGCACGAATCCTCCTAACCCAAAGCTGGCCTCGACCTCTTCCTGCTCCACCCCACTCTAAATTTCAAATCTATTCTCTTCACAGAAAAATCTACTGTCGTTCCTACCTTACTCCCTTCCGTCCTACTTCTCTGCGTCATCCGCACTCTGCTTTCCCCTGGAACCTGTTCAAGTCGGGTCTTGGTGCGAGGAATGGATGATGATCTTCTTTTCTCTGCGTTCTTCTCCTGCGGCGTCGTCGAGAGTTCAAAAGTGCCTGTCCACTTCACGACCAACAGCGAGCGAGCGAGCGAGCAAAGGGCGACGAGGACTATCGAGGACCTGAACTTCTCGTCCTGGAGATGAATGGCATGAATGCCCACTAGCTGTCGCACTGGTTTTCTTCAATTCTTCGTCTGGCTGCTCCTTTTCCTCTCTCTGCTGCTGATGCTGGTGTCCTTCCTGCCTTCCTTCCTTCCTTCCTTGGGCTACTTCAACGACGGGTCCTTGCCTCCACTTTAAACTCCACGGGAGCTCCCGTCGCAGGGGAGCCTACATGTATTGCCCACGTAGAGATTGTGCACGCCAATCCGTTAGGGCACACGCGCTGACAACTCTCGACGGCGGGAGATGTCGGGCTTTCTGCAAAGCAGTCTCTGAGGTCCTCTACCGGAGGACCTCCATTCGAAATCGAAGTCGCTTGTGAGCTCCTGCGTTGAGGTCAATCGTTCTTTGAAGGAGTGCGAGAAGCCTTCCGCTTTTAAAATTTTAAATTAATCAGAATTTGAATTGTAGGTTTGCCCGGGGAATCTGACGCGTCCATCGGAGGTACGCGTCCCTAACCTCACCGCTTTCCCGGATAGTTCGAACCTTCGCCGAACCTCTAATAGTTACTGATTGCGTGGTATGCGAAATTGGATTCTTCACATTCGGTGACAGCTAAATGCAGTTGTGACATATTTACTTGCCCCCCGTTTTTCACCGGAAACTAGGGCCATACTTGTACGCACGGAATCTTTTGCCCATTCTGAGATTTGGATCGTATTGATACGGATATATCTTCTTGATCAAAAAGCCCCAAATTATTGGAGTTTGAGATCTGTTGAATGTTATGAATTTCAAAATAGGATTTACACGATAATTGACATGGATCCACAGAAAGAAAATTGGACAAATCTGATGAGTCTAACCACAAGTAAAAAAACTTACCAATTGCAGTGAAAAAAAGTTTGCGTGAAATCTGAAAATAGCTATGATTGATCTTACCACATAAGAAATCCAAAAACCTAGTAAAACAAGAAAACTACTCGTTAACAAATTCTCATCAGGTAGAAACGAAATATTTCAACCAACTTGACACAATCCAATCTATCAATATTCACTTCCCATCCCTTCAGTAGTGATTTATTTGTAACAAATCATTTAAGATTGTGATTGAGTTTTCATGTAAACACATCAAACTTTTACTCATGTAATATATACAATTTTTACATATAAAATAAGATTATATCATGATATATATCTTTAAGCTTATTTTATTAAAAAAAAAATATTATATATCATCCATAAAAATAATCAGTAGCACGTGATAATATTTAATTTTTTATATTTTATTTAAAATTCTTTACACATAACAAAAAAATTTAATCTAAGCAGTTGAAGTTGTTATCAATTATATCATAATGTCTTGAAATAATTTTCTTCAGTTTAAAAAATATTCAAATTAGATCATATACATATATAAATGATTAAAAGTGATATTCAGTTAAAACATTGAAAATTAAAATATTTTTAATAATAATTTCATCTTCATTGCTGTATGAATAGATTTTGAAATTTTAATGATTTCAGTGATCGAGATTAGATTTTGATGTATATTTCTGTATTTATTTGTCATCTGAAAAATCTAATAGATTGAAATCCAATGTGTATTAACTTCTAAGAATCGTCAGATAGCTGATTAAAAATTTCAGAATTGATTGATATATAGAACGACGATAAGATTTCAAGTAATGGTATGCATTTACAAATGCTTTCTAATGTATCTGTAGTCATGTGACACTAAACACAATTTTTAGCTAACTAATGTAGACATGCATTCTGATAAACGATGAAGCCATCTACGTCAAGTTTACTAAATTCACTACAATTGACTTCACTTTACATTTAACTTGTGCGCGATTTGAAATTTAATCTATTCAAATCTGTCGTTCGAAAATAACAAAAATTTGATTGAGTTGAGAGCAAAATATTTGGTCACTACTGATTGATTTCCATTCTATGCGTTTGAGGTAGAGTATTGGGTCTCTGATATGGATTGAGTTCTATATTCGGAATCAACCTTTTGTGTAGATCTAGTCTACGTCGAGTAGTGTGGCTTCAAGCCTTGTATACATTCCTAAATCTCAACCAGAAACGAATATGTGATGCACGGAGGTGTCAAGCTAACTGGGAGCGAAATGTACAGTGTAGCATTCTGTTCAATGCTTCACCACGAGGTTCACTTGGGGAATTCAGACACTTCTCTAACATAGTGACGAGTCACGTTGCGAACGTTTCGCCAGCCCACGATGAGTGTCAGAACTTTAATGAATTTTAATTCACGTTACGACTGTAGGAAGATTTCGAGCCGTGCACCTGAAAACTGAAAACACAAAGATGTCGTACAAGGCGTGTGCTGAGAATCCTTCTTCTCTCGCACTTGCATATTCGGGTAGATCTTCATCCGCTACTCCAAGCGGTCAAGATGGCTCTTTCATCAGAGTTTATGGTGACACTCCAGCAAACTTTTGTGTAACATCTTCCTAGTTGGATTTCTCGCACTTTCCAATGATCACCCACTGTCGTGAGCAATATTTGTTCATCGAGTTCCGCGCTTCATGTTTTGATAAAGATTACATTCATAGACATTGGACGCTACTACTTAGTTGTAACATTAGGCATTCTCTTCTCCGGTATTTGATACTTGCTCATTTACACTGGAACGGTCATGTAAGCCCAGTCAGATAGATCTACCTGTGCACTTCTTTACAATAAAACTTTTCAATGTGTACATGAAGGAATATGTACATGATTCATTGGGATTCGTTAGAAATTCATTCCATCAGAAAACAGTCAGATGTGCGAGCTACTGAAACAGGGTTCGACAGAGATGAATTCCGAAGGCATTGAGGAAGGGAATATGGACAGAACCCTTAGACTACATCATTGCCTCAATGTTCATAGTCATTGGCCCGACTGTCTCTCATAATATCTCATAACAAAACTGGTGAATTAACGTTTCCCATAATGCGTCATAACATCTACAATTTAGGTTATATCTAGGTTGACTTACAGAACTTGGTACACAGGTATGCAACAAAGGCCATTTCTTTTCGCCTGCAGGCATTGGACAAATTACCACTGTTCTATCCGAATCTGCGTGCTCGTCCACAACAGGCGTTGCATTTGAGATTGTATACACTGAAGTCCGCGTGACGATGAAAAATAGGTCTACTCCGCTCCTAAAACCCTTCGTCTAATTTGGAATTTACCGTGATCAAACAATTTGAGTTGACTTGTTCAAGATAACTCCCTCGTATTTAACCTGGAACCACTTCATTGAGTCCTCCTTGGTGACTCTGTGCTGGATTCCAACTCTAGACTTCGCTCTCCTTCTCCTGCCAACTCTGTATCCGGGTCGTTCCAACACGACGTAGAAGTCCATACCGTAAATTCCGGTGGAGGGGTCGTACCTGGATGACAACAAAAGAAACCAGCGAATTTTCTCAGCAACCCATTGAACCATTAAAAAGGCGCGGCGCTCCTGATCGGTAATCTGCTGTAGTAAAGCTCAATTGGTGTTTTCGGAACCCTTATTTATCGACTAGGAAGAAGAAAGTGCAAAATGGAGCAATGTGCGGAGACATTCGCTCAGACAGCAATGCTCCAAATTTTGATACGCAACTATGAGAACTTACTTGATACCAAGATCAATGTGCTCCTGGATACCGAAACCGAAGCAGCCGGTGTCAGAAAAGTTTCTGCGGAGGAGTTCGTACTCCTTCACCTTCAAGCCACTCTCCAACAACTGCATAGCCTTCTCGCCTCGCACGGTAACATAGCATGCGATCTTCTCGTTACGTCGGATACCGAAGGACCTCACAGTGTACCTAGCCTTGGAGAACACAGGTGATTGCCCGCTGAGCTGCTCCAACACCTGCACACACCTTCATAATCTCAGCGAGTGTGAACGTAGGACGGTTGACAGCAAATAGGGGGCAGAGATTGCTGTGAAAACTCACCCTGAACGCAAAATAGCCTGGACTTGTTTGATCCAAGCTTCAGGAAAAACTTAACCACGATGAACAGCAAATTTTACCTTGGCAGCGCGAGTGAGACGATCCCCACTTTCTCCAACGGAAATGTTCAGCACGAGCTTCTGAACCTTGATTTCTCGCATGCAATTCTGCATTTTCTTCTCGGAAGCCTATTACCAAAAAATCGCCAACTCACATCCGTCATTTGATTGGCCTTTCGCAATCATCAAAACATAGGGACAATGTATGAGACATGAAGCTCAATTTGTGCAATCGGTCACAGCTGTGGTCTTCAACACATTTCCGCGTGGTAATTAAATCACTCGACTCGTAGGTCGAGGTAGAAATCATAACATTCGTATTTGGAACACCAGTTCCATACCAAATTGGCTAATAAACTTGACATACGCGAATTATCCAATATCTTCACGAATTTTCGGTGCAGGACTATTTTCATTTGAAAGGGCGGGTGGCCATAGGAATTTTGTGCAGCGAATTGGTCATCGATTCAGACATATTGACAGTCTCCTAGACGTGTAAAATTTCTACAGCATAACAAGTGTATAGGAAAATTCCGCTGATCAAAACGTTAAACAACACTCATTTTACATCGATCACAGCACAATGTCGGAAATTACGCACCATTGCAACAGCAGGACGATCCAAAATTACGACACCCCGCGTTCGGTCGAAAGAAAGGGGAGGGAGAAAGACTCGCTCAAATGGACGGAACGAGGAAAAGCCCCACACCACTGCAAACGAGAAGTTTGACAAACCCTAATCAGAGAACTTCTGAGCCATCGATTTATACCACGATGGCCTCGATCTGAAGGCTAAGATCAGAAGAAAGCCTATCCTGTACTCAACTGTAATTTGAGAAAACCTACTGCTCTGTGCAACTGCGCGCATCTTCCTCTAATGAGGTATTCTTTCTAGCTAATTCATAATTTGTGGTAAAGTGACTTATATGCGGCTTCCCATAGTTGTTCGCTATAAATCTCATATACGCTATTTTCATTGATGTACCAAATTTGCTATTACTTCCCACATATATTATTTGTTACATCTTCTTGTTCGAAAGACCAAGTACTGCTTTTCAACTCTATTCCACTTACAGTTTACTTGATTCAAGACAATTATATCATTCAAGCATAAGATGAGGAGTTCCAATATTTTGTTGCATCTTGCTATTTATGAGGTTCACTATTTTCACTCTGCAAACATAATTTCTATTACGTTTTTTGTACAATATGTTTTAACGGCCTTACAGTTGATTTAAAAAAATGAGCATTCTTCATCTACCATAATTTACTGTACAGTTCATAATAAACAAAAAATGTTCAATTTGTTTTCAACAAATTGAACAAGTCAATCATATCCACTGCCACTCCGTTGAGTTAGATGTAATGGTTCACCTTTCAAAACTAGTTTATTGGCCTAATAGATTCATTTTACTTATTTGATATACATGTAAGTATATTTAAAAGTGTGTATAACCACCCACAATCTATGACTAGTGAGATTTACATAAAATGTCACTTTGTTCGTGATGTCTAACATAGGGGAAAAAAAAAACTCAAAATAGACAACTACCAATTTTTATTGCAAGACGTGAATAGGAATGAAGAAAAAATCATTTTAGTTAAAGGTCTTAAAATTCTTAAGAATTCTACTCAGTGTTGTTAGTTGTAAATCCCATCAACATTAGATTCATGTGAGATTTACAGAATTTAAAATTATCATTTTTTGCTTACAAATAATGCAGATATCAATTTTGATTTTGTGATAATCAACAATACAAATTGTGCTAATATATTTGAAAAAATAATTTAATCTAGCATTATAAATTAAACCAAAAATTGATATACTATATCAAATGATCGAATGCTATATTGTCAAATTTTTAAAATAATATTTGAGATAAATATTTCCAGAAAAATTATTACGTTGCTTATACATGAAGAAAATATAAAAAAACTAAACTTGGCGTAAAGCATAACATCTCATACTACATATTGTTATTTATATTACATCGGATTTTAAACTAATCTAATTGCAAAAAAATCAATGATGTTAATTTCATCACTCATGGATACAACATGTATGTAATAGATTTTCTTGAATATATTTATAGCAAATGAAAAGGATTTAAAAAAATTATACATTGTCATGATCAATTTGTAGCAAAATTATTAAAAGAAACTGAAATTTTTAACTATTAATGTTAAATAAAGATAATTAATAAACTGCTATTTTTCATAATTTTATTTAAGCATGACATTTAGATAATTATATCAATCTTCTCAACTCATTTTTCTCCATGATTTTATATGTTTTTAAGATAAAAATCTTGTAAGCTATGATTACTTTTGAATACTACTTAACTTTAACAAATCAAACAACTGAAATAATCTTTGATCTTTGCTATTTGAATAATTATAAATTTGATATTATATTTCAGTATTGAAACGTTCAACATCAAAATTTATAAATAAAAAATATCATGTATGAATAATGTTCAAATGCGAATGATTTAAAATGCAAATGCATTTGATTAGTGATAATTATTGTTAAATCAATAATAAATTATTTATTATTAATTAAAAACTCATTATTTATATAATTAAATTTAATTTATCAAAAATTGACGTCTACAAAATATGATATTTGCGAGTATTAAGAAATGAATTTTTATTCAATATTACAATAATATAAGTTATGAAACATTTTTTTAATAAATGTTTTAGATATTTTGAAAAAAAAACCTTTTACACATGAAAAACAAAATTTTGTTATATATGCAAAAAATGCTATCAATAATACAATTTTGGCTTTGAATTTATGCATAAGTACAATGATCATGATTTTATACAATTTTCAACTACATACAAGGTATGAGCAATGATATAGATTGAAAACATAACTTTCATCTCAATTTTAGAACCATGAGGTAATGATAGATTTTTCAAAAAATATAAAAATCAATGTTTAGATTCAATATAAAATATGTAATATACATATTTATTTATGACTTCTGGTTACATAAAAATATTCATGCAACTTCATATGCTTTATTTCAAACAATTATTTTTTCCCTTGACATGATTGCTTTGATCTATTTCAAAGTAAAGATATATTTTGAACATAAAGCTTTAGATCAAAAACATGCAAAAATGACTTCAATGAATTGTTTATTCACATGCATGAAAAAAACATGACTTTTGGATATAGATGAGAGGAAAAAAATTATTTGATGGTACTTCATCGTAATAAAAATAACTTGATGGTATCCATCAAGTATTGTTTAACACAATGGAATCCCACATCTGTCACATATTCATCAAGTTCTAAAAACTATTCATGTTTAAAACATGTTGCAGACTATAGTTTGAGGAAATAATCTTATGGAAATTTCAACTTTTGAGTACTCACGGTGACTGGCATTGTATTCAATTAGTTCGAGATTATGTGACCTAATATGTGAGTACTACCAACCAATAAAGCAATTTTTTAGCTACTAATGTCATCATGGCAGAATCAAATTATACAAGTGATAGAAATCTATTCAAATCTCAAACAATCTTTTTCATCAATTTGAATTACGATTGTGCGATTTGTGTTGTAAGATCAATGTATGCTTCTTTATCCTTGAAATTATCGTTCAAAATGATGAGAAGTAGCATTTGGCTTAATCTTGTTTGCTTTATGTGTGTTATCTTTTTGTTGGATATTTTTTATTGTAAAACTTTTAATCTTGAAGTAAATTTCATTCGAACACGTCTAGTTATGATTAAAAAGTCTTCATGCTTGATCCGTTTATTCTAGATGCACAAACTTGATTAAAGTGAGCACTCAAAAGTTATTTTCAATTTTCAAAATGTCTCATTGAAAAAAAATGTCTTTGATCAAGGGTCTATCCTCATTATTTGATCCGATATAGCTCGTTATTACTCTTGCACGGTTATAGTTTTGCAACATTGGTCAAAAATAAAACATGGATCACAAATGTCGTAGATGGTATCTCATCGTATGAAACTATAACTGTTGGGTTCCAGTAAGCTGTTTGTGTTGTGATGGAGTATAATCGAGTAATTCACTCGTTGAAAGTCTGTGCTACTTGGAAAACAATAGACAATGCAAATGACATTATGGATGGGATGAGAGAGACTTTTGCATATTCGAGTTGACAAAGTGTAGATTCAATATAACATATGCAACACAATATAGAATAAAATCATACTCATTTTAAATTGTGACATTCAATTTGCAAAAAATTATGTGCATAGCTATTGATTAGTTTCGAAAGAGAAATGCAAGATTCTGCTTCAGTAAGATTTTCTTTGTTGATATCTCTTAAAACTTGTAATCAATACTTTTATATGATACAATCTACTAATATAAAGAAAATAAATAAATTTGATATATCTTTTCAAGATATAACACATCATGATTTTTCAATTTTAAATATGATTAGTATATGATTTATTTTTTATATATTTTTCTTATATAGATTATATAGTTTTCATGTTTTGATTTCTTTCAATTTAATTTGTATATCTCACATGTTAAAGCGCAACATGATTGATGTTGAATATATAGATATAGATATATATATATATATATTTAATATCAGTTTATGAACTTTGAAAATTCTTACAATTGTAATTGGAATTGCATACATTAAATGTGATTTTTTTAGCTAAAATTCATGCTCAGTGTTTTTTTATTGAAATATTAAAATTAAAACTTTATGAATATATTATAAAATTACATTGATTATAAGATATTTGATAAAAATATGGAAATATAAAATAGCATATTTGAACAGTAAATTGTGATATGTAATAGTGAAATAATGTTCCATCACTTATGGTTCAACAACTTCAAAAACAATTGAATCTATCAATATGTAATAAAATAAATAAATTCAAAATGAATAAAATCATCTCCTTATTTTGATATCAAATTGGATATAGTCTAATTAGATGACATCAATATTTTACTTTATTTTAGACTCTATAGAGTTTAGATTAATCGCAATATAAAATATATAAATAAGAACAAAATAATCATTGATGATGAGATTAATATTGGTAATATTATTATAATCAAATTTATTCAATTTCATCAAAATTTGAACAATTTTACGAAATTAGGAATATCAATTAAGGGTTAACAAATGAAGGAAGCAGTAGTATAAGGTTTGAATATGTCATTACCAAATTTGAACATACATTTGTTACAATGTAAGAGTTTAGGATTTTTTCTATTGTATAGCATACAAGAATATACATATGTACATTTGATATTTAATGTCTTATAATGTTCAACCTTTTTATACAAAATACAGTTTTTGTTTTATTCGATAAGATATAGATATATTTCACGGCTTAAATTCAAGGAATATTGAAATTGAAGATGTTATAGGCAAAGGTTTTTCAACAAAAATCTGCAATCAGAAAAAATCTATTAGTAAATTATATTTAGATTAATTGAAACAATTTTGCTTGAAAAAAGTGGAAATAATTTTATCATAGTGGATTAAATATCTTAATTTTCTTCAAATCAACGAAACGACTAAGAATTAGTTTCAATGTTGAATATATTCTTACAAATGAAAATGGGAACGGATTTGTGCGCTTGCTATATTTAGTAAACAGCGAGACTGCTGAATGTCAGATATAGCATTATTGTGATTCACTAGTGGTACAAGTTATATATGATGGGACAATTTATAAAATAATTATTTCGTCGTATACAGTTCAGGAGCATATTTTTGGTATTCTTGTGCACAATGTGAGCAATATTTTCTACCCTTTCTCGGGCATTGCTATTGATGTTAGGAACATATATATCATATTAAAGCAATAGAGAGAGGGACTATATTCATTCATGACCAATGAGCGCGGTATGGCTCTCAATCAGAAACAGAGCCGAGCGCGGACTTCCGTGTTCTGGTAACAGGAAAGTTTGAATGAGAGGAATGTGCTAGCCTCTGCTCGTTTGAAATTTCGGCCATCTGCTCCTGCTCTTCTGCCATCGCCCTCACCGCGCCAGTGGGATTGCACGTATGCGATACTAATTGTGGCCCAAGTAGAAATTCAGGTGTGTTCGTTGTTCTTCTTTCTTTCTAATAGTCAGGTTTTTATGCCGCCAGTAAACCGGTACTTTATTCATCCTTCTGGAGCCACATTATAATCCAAGAGAAAAGAATTCGACAGCACTGTTATGGACAATGTGGACAATTTGAGATGACGCCTGGTGCTCGCGGGACTCCCCTTGCTCTGCAATATCTTTAATTTCAGACAAAGTGGCAATTGGCCAATTCATATTCCTGCAACAGGTTCTTACATATTATTTTGATTTTTTGTTTAAACGTTCAAACGATTTTTTGTCTTCCCTGTGACAGATTTCAGGTGAAACTTGGAATATTGAGAGTAAGAAAATGTCAAAGAGCGTTTTTCCGCAGGATCTGTCGCATTCTGTCTTGTCATTCCTCGCACTAAATTCTAGCTGATTGTTGCCGAAATTTTCAGTACAGATGTACCATGTGCATACGAATCCATCTCCTTGCTCGTCAATCTTAAATATCGGCGTTTATAGCTTCGACTGGCACTTGTTTTTCAGGTTAATCACTCTGGAGCCAGCATAATCCGAGCTCTGTATTGGGAATTGGTTCAAAATTTTCGTGGCCACTTGCATGTAATTTTATTGCACACACGTCATTGAGTTGGAATCACTCTGACGTGCTGCTCTGGACTGTTGCGTGAAGAATTCTCACGAGATATGAGCTCGCGATTGGGCTTGAAATTTTGCTGCGATATGTTGATTCATTTTTTCTCTTATTAATCGAATATGTGATTGCAGAATGTACGACGGTGGGAACTTGATGAGCTACACAACTTGACTCCATGAGCTTCAGAGATTCCCAGGAGGATGTAGTCATGGACGACCAAGCGGACGCGGAGGACACATCGGGAACACTGTCTTTTTCACTATTACTTGACAAGTCTCTTCCGTCACTGGTACGTTGTCTTGAGTTTGTCATTGTTCACCTCTAAATATTAGACTTAAACGACGGGGTATTATAACTAAGCACAGCGAAGTCGAAGTCGAAGCGTTGAAGCTTACCGATACCGTATCTTATCTGGTGGCAGGTAGTAATAGCAGCATGGAATCCTGGAAAGGATTTGCTGGCTATGGTTACCATGGATCATCAACTGATCGTGCACCGATTGAATTGGCAGAGACTTTGGGCTATATCACCAGGCATGTTCTCAAATCATCCTCCACTTCCATTTTGTTTCCTTCTTAACAAATAACCTTTTCTTATGAAGCGCTATGCTGTGAAGCTAATTCACATCTTTGTAATTCAGATCTAACCGTCACGTCAATCTGCTGGCGGCCGGATGGGAAAGCGCTTGCTGTGGGTCACATCAATGGTAGCATTGCTATTCACGATGTCGAGGTTTGTTCTACATCCTTTTTCAGTGAGAATACACCTGAATCACGTATCCTTCGCCTGGCTTACACGTACGACCAGCAGTACTCCTTTTGGAATCTGCTCTATCAGTGGGTTGAAAACGCAGTTCAAGTATATCGTTGGCCACTTTTAGAGGAAAACTTGCTCTGCTTCTCTCTCTAATATTCGAGGCTTACCCAAAAGAATCCGTATGCTTTTAGAGGAGTTTTCCAGTATGGAGATGCTGGAAACAATATAGAAATAATACACGCCCGGCTGTTTGATCCACAATTTTGTAGTTGGGGTATTAGACGTAAAAGTTTTGAAACTAGTTGGCCGCACTAGCTCAAATTTACCGAATCTTCTCAGTGACTATAGAAGTCTGTCAACTGACTTTTTCCCTTAATTTTCCAGAACGGTGATGTTCTACGCAAAACAGGGACACATCAGGTGGCCGTGGAGTGCTTGTACTGGGCTGAGGAAGGCCAGAATATCACGGTGGGTCAAAAGTCCTCAAAGCAAGCTTAAAGTTTGGAGGTGCTTTTGTAAGTCTTGCAGAGTGTCTAGCTTACGTGAACCTCTCAGTTTCCTTCATATTCACCGAGCAAGGACCGTCTAAATATCATACGTAGAAGCTGTCTTCAACAAATATTTTGAGTTGCATCTTGTTCTTATGTGAAGGATAACGAAGACGAAATATTTCTCTATGAAGATCGCACTCCTCGGTTCTTCCCTCCCCCACCTAAACCTCCTTCCATGCCCGGCACTGCCCCATCCTTTGACATGTCATCTGTTCTCGGATCCGCCATGGAAGACCTCGGAGGCGGCAGTTTGAAAGGGGCAACTCAAGATGTGAAGCATGGTTTAGATGTACTTTGCAGTGGAGATAAAGATGGCGTTATATGCTTGAGTGCGTTCGGTGTGTTTCCAATCGGAAAACTGGTAACTTCTTCCCTCCCCAGCTAAATCATATGTCTCTATGTCAGTTCTTTTTATATTATGCCACTCACTCATGCCGTGTTCATCTACACAAAAACTGGTGAGGAGGGCTACTTGTTGTAGCCCGAATACCTCGACATATTGATGGGCGTTGGTGAAGTCGTTTTGTTTACAATAGCTTTACATTCTTGCAACGTCGAACTGTTAGGTACTTCATGGTGGGGATATTTTCTTCCATGAGCATACAGGCTCATCGTGTTGCTCTTCCCAGGCTAGAGGGTGGTTTCTTCTCAAAAAATTGGATCTTAGCCTTGAATCTAGATTCTCTGAGCTTTGGTGTTTGTCCGAAAAATGTTAGTCTGCATGCTCTGCGTTGTGGAATCTCGCTATTTGCGTGTTCGCTCTTGGTGGCGCTCATTTGCTGTTCCTTGTGTGTACTTCTAGTATTACGAATATCTGCATGCGACATTCATCAATTTATCACGTTAGATTAGAGCTTTTTTTTATACTTGAATGTCTATTCTGTTGCAATCTCTTGGTGTGAGATCATAGAGAGCAGTTTTGTTATTCTCCGATGCACCTTATGGTGTTGAGTGGGTACTGAATTCGTTGCAATTACAAAAGAAACCCATCTATCCATTTACAAGGCATCTTAATTGCTTGTCGCTTTACTGAGACTTGTTCAAGCTTTATTGAGCTGTAGGACGTGAGAGAACTTGTAGTCAACGAGATGGCATCCGGCACCAAAGGCGATGAAAAGTCATCAGAGCAACTGTTAAATGCTTCTGCATTTCAGGTCCTATATGCCTCACCATTCAAAGAAAATATTTCTTCTGGTTGATGCTTTCAAAATAGAAAATTGCTAGCCAGTTACCTGATGTTGGTTCAGTTATATACATCTCCTTTTAGGATTGTGTAAATAGTTTGAGTGAAATCACGAGCTTTACTTCAGTAAACTGAGTTTATACAGGTTTAGCTTTTTTTGTGAAGGTACATACTTTCTGTTGTCTTGGGTCGGGGAAGAAGTTATGTATTTCATGTATCAGCAACAGAGGAAAAACATCCTTGTTTGAGGGTACAGTGGACTTATGAATCTCGACATTGTTGAAAGGGTATAGAACACAGTAGTAGTGTTTCATTCTAGTTTTTGTTTTAGAAGTTTGAGAGCTGAGTGAATTTCTTCTTACACGGTTTCCCAATTCAAGTTCAGGTATCTCTGTCATCTGATCTTCGACATATGACAGTTGTCTGTACGGGTACTAGTACGGTTGATGGCCGTACTCGAAGCACGAGTTCAGGAAATTATTGCCTCTCGGTGAACACTGCAATCCTTGGAGACAGGTATGTTTCAATTTGCCCTTTGAATTTTCTGTTCCCCACGAGGCATTGTAGCTTTGAATATGCCAGCATAGTTTTTTGAAGTAAATTCATAAGTTTGTCGGTCAAGCTATTCTTTGCAAAGGAATGGGACAGAGACAAATATTGAATATTGTTTTTGGATAACAAATATTGAACCTATCTTTCAAACTATTGTTGGTCACATAAGTCGCTTTCGGCCTAAGGCCATGGCCATGGCATTTGCTTCTTGCATATGATGAATCAATGAACTGGTTTGCCACGTTTAAGTACCCCATGAAAATTACAGGAGAAAGGAGCTTCGTCAAGTTGCCCTACAAGCTTCTAGTATTGAGGAGCTCATCGACGTTCTTCAGACGTCCCTATCCGTGATGGAGAAGCAATGGTCGGAGGCAATCACAGCTGTGTATGAGAAATTTAATGGCTTTACGCAGTTACTTCGTGAACATGGTAAGCCCATAATGTATTGATGTCAAAACTTCTCTTCAGATTGAAATTTGCAGATGGATGGAGGAACACTCTAATGGAAAGTCCACATGCAGGATCCAATGTTAGTCCACAGGACGAGTTACTTGGTCTTCTAACATGCGGATATGCGAGTCCAGCCCTCCATCAGTTTCTCGCTGCGTCTGTGGGGGAAGGGGTGAGATTTGTGCTCTATATTCGATAATTTTTACATTTTTGGCTGCTCTTTGTGGTTGTTTGATGTATCGTGGAATATGCCAAAGTTGCGTTAACTTCTGTATACGCTTCTTCTTAGGTTTAACAACTGCAGCTATTTCTGAGAAGCTTGAGCTTCTTAGAAAATTTCCTGTTCGTGAGCTTCTTGCTTGCGCACTCTGTGACTCGACACTCATCACAAAACCACACTTCGTGCCCTTCTCTTATCATTCGCATGATTACCCGTTACTCAGAGAGGACATCCATAAGAACGGAGGTCTGCTGTGGGTTGATTGCAGGGTTTGAAGCGACTTGCGAAGAGCATAGATACCGCTTCTAAAGAGCTGTACAGTGTTCTCTCTGAACACATGCAGGTTAGTTCTGACGTCTTTTATTCAAGGTTCGAACACTTAGATTGTGTTATTGACAAAGCTTGAAGGCTTTTCTGAATACTCAAACGGTCGAGAAACTGAAATGTAGAGCTTCTGTCAACTGGTGTTTGCAGCCAGCAGCAGAAATCATTGCGTTCAGGTTAGGGGAGCTGCGAGGTCTAGCTCGATGGCACGCACGTCTTGCCTGCGTTGGTCTCGAGGAATCTTTGATGGATCGAGCTTTAGAGCATGCTGGTATGCTATTAGTACAACTGGAACGTCTTCTGCGCATTGTTTCAGAAACCACAGGAGGGGTGAGTTTCTGATTTGACCATTTATTTTTAATGTGTGGCTAGAGGTATTCATATCAACATGATGTCCAGTTCAGGGGTTTGATGACGAGGACAATTTAGCCCCGATGTAGTGGACCAAGGGCTTACAAAGTTCAAGGTGGTGCCCATGACCCTGCATATGATTTGTGACTATTAGCCCATGTAAAAGGCAACGTTTTGCGTGCTAAGCTTGTCCGAATGTTTCTTCTCAAGAGTTGTGTGCTGTTGATTTGCAGTTTCGCCTGTTCTTTGTTTGGCTCCTGAAGGCACTTCGGCAACTTAATAGAGAAACATTGTCACAAGCAGAAACACTGCCAAATGTTGACAGGTGGGATTTTTGGGGGTTTTTGTCTTCTGTGAATTTTTTTTAACGACGATATCTTATCAGTCGGATGTAAACATTTTTCCAGAAGTTGTTCACATCTCCACTTGACTTGATGAAGTTTCTAAGAGATCAATATAGAGTTCCCTTTCTCCTCTCTGCCGCCATCTGTACACTGTCTAGAAGTTCAGGTTATTGCGAAGGTATGGAAGCGCTGCTAAGGTGAGGAAAAAGGTTTCGATTGTCCTAATACCCAGTTTCTGTGAACAGTATGGCGGTAGCAAACTTTCTGCAGACAGACTTTGAGAAAGATCCAATTGGCTTACATCTCAGCAACTCTGTAAATGTGATAGTGGACGTTCCAAAGTAAGTTCTAACCTCTTCGTTGTCCAGTTTATGTTTGAGAAACTACTTCGTATCTCTAGCAGCCTCCAGAAACTCGTTGTTGTTTTCCAGATATTAGTTTGAATATGTCCTAGCCTTTTTGGTATAGCCTGTAGAATACTTTCGATGTCATGGAGTAAGAAGGCGATTATCTGGCTTTAACCATACTATGCCTATGGACATGAAGCTTGTGTATCCAAGCATCTGACGCCATCGGAGAAAAGTGTACGAAAACTTTGATCTGCATTTATAGAAGTAGTGTGCCTCATGGTCACGCAGTAGAAGAGGCAAATTGTAATTCTTTTCCCTATGTAGAGAAATTGAAGAGCTGATGGACGAGGTTGCTGCCATGGGTGGATTTAAAGATTCCAAGTTTTTACAACGTACCCTGGCGCAAGAGATTGACCTGCTTACCATCTGGTAAGGAGTTTCATCAAACTATATGGATTACTTTGAGTGGTAAGGAGTACGCTAATAATGTATTCGGCTTCACTCGTTCCATGCAAATCAGTTGACTTTTACTTGGTCTGAGCAGGTTAATTTTCTTTGAGACCTGTGTGTTATCCGCATTCTTAATAATAAATGATGTATTTTGCAGTTGCCATGAAGCGTTTGCCATGCCTCTAAAGGTTGTGTCTCCACAATTGGGTTCACCATGCATGATACTTTTATGCAACACAGCGATATCCCCTATAGCGAGAATACCTGTGTCTTCGACCTACTTCGAGGTATGGTTTGTTTCGCCTCTAGTTTGTGATCAGGTGACACGTGACAACGGCATGTAGGGTCCACAAGTGGACTTGATCATTTCTATTTTCTCTACAGTACCGTTCGACTCAAGCAGATGACACTTACAAATTCATCATAGTAAAAGCTTGTGGACCTCGTGGAAATGGTAGTCTTTTTGTCCATGTTTTCAATGCCTTTCATACCTCAGGGTTACTATTAGAATTCTGAACCAGTCAAGATGGGCCTCTCAGTTTCTTCCGTCCTACTTTCTATGAGGGGAGAGAGGGCATGTCTAGATGCATGGTAGTCCCGGTTTGGTTTTTCTAGCCATTATAGCTCTTTCCTCGTCATATAACATGGTTCACTATCTGATTCTGTTACTCTTTCAGATAAAGCAAGACGACGGTGTTCTTGCAGTTGAGCAAGATGACGAGTTGCTTGTGAGTCAATATATCTGCTTCCGGGTAAACGATAATGGTTCACCGGATGACCCAAGCGTCGTAGGGATCTTACGTGGATTCGGACCAAATCACGGAAGTCAAGATAAGAGGATATTTCGTGAAGCAGTTTCATTTCAGCTGGACTCCAGTTTACGATGTAACGACATCGCACTCTATAAGGTTGTAGCTCTGCCCACGCCGTGAAACTAATTGTGACTGATCTCAGACTTCCAGGAAGTATCGGAATATATCTTAATCATCACTGTTGAGTACCATCTCGTGGTCGTCGTCCAGGATCTTCTAAAAAAATGTGTGATTTATGATGAGAAAATAATGGGGACGTAGGGCTAAACTAAGTATTATAGCTCCTTATATATATCTGACGTACTTGTTAACAGCAACGACAACTGGTGCTGTTGGTCACGGAACGAGATCTCGAAACCGGAGACTGGACAGGACAAACATGGATCATGCTGTTGCAGTTGGATGATCTTCCTTTCCACATACTGGAAACACCCGAGTCGGGTGCCAATCTGGACCTATTGCACCTTTGCTCTTCTAAGGTACATTTGAATATGTTATATGTAATTTGCTAATTCGCTTCTCGAGAGTATTCGCACTTACTTAGATGTTTCCGATAAAGTGCCGTAACGTCTAACTTATTTCTGCAGTGCGTAGTCTTTCAGCCTTTTATAGTTTTCTGATCATACTTATTTGGCAACTTGCCTTGTAGATTCATAAGTGTGTTCTGTCTAACGTGCGTTCTATGATGTAGCATTTGCCGATCGACGGTTGTGTTTTTAAGATGTTTGAGTGTCCGTTTCTGTTCAGGGATCTCCATCTGATATAAGCTTAAGACATGGAAAAGTACGAGCACTTCCGCAGTCAGATGTTGTGATGCCATTAGCTGTCAGCGGTATGATTTTAACCATCTCGCCTCTATGTTTTGTGACACATGAATTCTCTTAGTGCATCTCAAAATAGCTAGGCTGTTTTTGGCTTCGATAGTTCTCGCTCATTTCAACTCAATTTGGTTGGAAGGCCAAATTGGGGACCGTTTGATTTTTGTGACTCGCCGGTTTCAGTTTCATGTTTTTTCTGCTTATGGAGAACTTTGTTCTGCCACAGCATCGAGAGGACTCGCATGTGTGTTCACAAGTCAAAGGCGCGTATTCCTTTATGACCTCGAGGAAGATGAGGAAGCCAAGGATGAAGACATGGAGTGAATAATTATCGAGTAAAAGCTTTTCGCTTTCATTGCCGCAATCGATTTATACTTGGGATCCTCATTGTCGGCCTTTTTGAGGACATACATGGACCTGAACTAGTTATCCACCGAATGATCATGAATATGCTCTAGCGGTGTATGAAAACTCCAAACTATGAAGCAGAGGGAGAGCTTGGTGTCGTCATAGGTCGATGTTGTCTATAGCAGTCAGATATGTAGCTGGACTTAGTACTAGCTTGAGGCGCATATCTGGCAGGGACAAAAATATGAGCATAGGAGTGCTCAAATGGTTAAGACAGCAAAACACAGGAACTTTGACATGCGAAATTTGAGATAGTTTCTTGGTCGTTCAGCGGGTCGTAAATGACGGATCACTGTTGAAGTTTCTTGCTGTAGCCGGTGATGAAGGAAGCAGTGATTTTAGTTTATTTCTGCATCTGTGCTTTGCGCAGACGGTGACGCTGTATCAACACAATTATACCCTCAAGGGATGAAAAATAATTCATTAAATCAGCTGAGTTTTTTGAGCACACCAATGTTTCCAGAATTGTATGGATGTCAGAAGTCATGGAGGTTTGGGTAGCCAGCAACTTTCCTTCCATCGAACAACGTTCAATTACAGTCTATTACACCAAAGCACTGTGCTGTGTAAGAATTCTCTCGTAAGGGGGTTTCTGCTACATACGGAGTGCACCAAGTTATATAGTAAAAACTATGGGAGTACCCCGTCAAGTCTGAAAAGGAGTGATATCAGTGGTGTAGGACGGGGCCAGGCCCGATCGCATAGCAATGAGAAAACACTCAGTCTTCGTCTGATATACCCTTAACTATCCACTTTAAACGGAAAAAAAAGACGGTAAAATTCAAAAAAGTCGGGCAACTTAGTCTAACTTGACTGTCTTCTACGGATCCCACTTGCGGATTGCATCGGCGATTGCTCTCCGGTGGAGAAATGGATGTGCTACTGTGCCTAAATAGGAATAGATTAAGATGAAGAAATTTATACCCCTTGTAGCATACATTAATTGTATCTCGCTATCTCTCTCACTGATCGTTTAAGTTGTTTACCATAATTACATAACTCCCAATGATGAATGGACATAGACATGTCGTATAATTATAATCCTATAATCTGAAAACCTTGTTGTTGCTGCTCCAAATTCCACATGTTACTTATCCAAGAAGATAGTAGTCACTAACATAAAAAATATCAATGTAGGATTTTTAATAACAAGAATCAAAATAATAATTTGATTCCACAACATTAATACATATCTTTTTACTTAATTGAGTTGACTGCACTATGAATGAACTAAAAAACCATTGAACTTGACTTTAAAAATGATAGATTTTTTTTTTTTAGCTAATCTGACTTACTTTGAGAATGCATGTGATTTAATCAGTGTTTGAGAACTCGATGTTTGTGCATACATCGAATTATTAAATTTAAATACAGGGTACTCATATATTTTTTCCTTGCGGGATAAAGCGTAATTGACATTTGCTCAATGATTTATAACAGATCTTTAATAATTTGATTATAAGTAGTACAAATTGAACAATAGTTACATATCCTATCTTCTACCTTCTACAAATTCATAGCACTCGTGATTGAGAATCTTAAAAAACCACAAATTTATATTTCTATATCCACATATTTTTGAAACCAAATAAAATTGAAACGAAGAATTTTTGTTTCTTAAAGTTATTTTTTCGTTTCATTTTTATTTGAAAAATTAAATTTAAGAAAAAAAATTGGGGTAATAAAAACTGTATCCATATGGCGGATTTCCAGAACCATTTACTGATCTACTAACATTTTTTTAATTGAACACATATTTTTTACGTTAGATACCGATTGAAACAAAATAAAAAAATGAGAAATTCACAATCAAAATTTCGGCAAATCGGCAGAAAAACTGCTCATGTACTGAAAAGCTAATTTCCCCACTCCCCAGCACGCTGTCATGCAGAGGCATGGCAGCATTGTGGCAACCGCCACTGTCATCCACATGCACACTCTGCTCAGTGAAGAAAAGTCACACCGACCAGGTTGTCACAGCATGCAGTCTTTTGACCTTCATCGATATCTGTCTCCAAGTCTAAACAAGGCAGACCATCATCTTCTTGGTATTCATGACTTGAAAATAGAAACCGGACGTAATCACAAAGAACCCATGTTTTCCGCGTTCCTGGTCTTTCCAAGACCCAGTGCCTGCTGAAGTCTGGAGCCTGTAGCAGGTTTCCCGTCCTCCCTCGATAGATGTCACGCCCTCATAGAACGCTCCAAGGAGATAGAGTAACAATAGCTGAAATCTTCCGGTCAAATATCTTAAAGGTGCGGAGCAAGATACTGCATGGGGTTGTACACGCTTGGGGATCACTCAACCCCGAGACCAGTAACATCCTTTGCAAGTACATGTTGTCTGATCTCTGCTTCTTGCTTTGAAAACTCCAGTTAGAGGGCTTGATGGGTCCCTATCCCTTTTGCTATTTAGTTATTACCCCGATGTTAGACATTGTTGCTTGAGGTCAAACTGATCTTGCTTTGGCTCGAGATAGGTTTAACTGATATCAGGAAAATCAAGACAAGCATGGGCAAATGAGAATATTCTTTCCTAAGTTTCACAAATTTTTTAATACCATAGTCTCATAAGACGGTGTTCGTTTACCTTGATGTGCGCATGTGTTCTTTAAATAACGTATTGTGACGAATTAAATTTAAGCCATGATATCCATTTTTGTGAGCTGCTTTTGCTTTTTTCATGGATAGAGATCCATGATGTTCAATATGATGCATTGAAGCCCATGGTTAATGAATTGTTCAAAAAAAGTGTATTAATTGTTCACGTATGTTGCTGCAAAAAACTGTTTTGTCTTCCATTATTTTGATGAACTTTCCCAATGTTGAAGAAGATTCACATAATGTATCTTGATGATTGTCTAACAAATTTAAATCTATTCAGCTACAGGAAAAAACATTTAATGACTTAAGTGATTTTAAGGTGTATTGTGCGTAATTTTTATTGAAGGTTCTCATATATCTATTGATGATAAAATATAATGAAAGCTAAATACAGTAAGTGAAGAATAGTACGGTGAAATTGGGTTTCGCACAAAAAATATAATCAAGCAAAGAAGGAACTTGTATTAGAATGCATATTTTGGATATATTCAGTTTTTCTTCAAGAATCTCAAGACTGTTTTAACCAAAGAAACGACTGTTGGATTGAAGAATGAGTCAATTTGTTAATAAAATGAAGTAATACACTTTCAAATCAATTTTTTTGATATTGAAAGCCAATATTGTCAACACATCGTTGTGATAGGGCAGTTATGCTAACGAAGGGAATACTGATACATAAACAAGATCCATACCCGTATTTGAGCGTGATACCAATTTGAGGAGGATAGCTGACTGACGGGAGAATGACGAAGTCCCAAAACCTTGGACTTTGCACTAAATTAATTATCTTACAGCAGTCAGTCTCCGATTCAGCTTACTCCATCTATGTATTACTCCGATGTGAATATTGTCTTCACTTAGACAGAACAACTGGTCATCTTACGTGTTGCCTTTCAGAATATATGCTGAGGTGAGCTATCTGTACTTGCAACGTTGTGGGAATAGAGCTTCGTAAACGTTGTGATTATAAGTTATACACATGACACAATCTCATACGCTATGAATACTCATACTCTAATGAACAACATGTGCAATGGTAGCAGCTAACATGTTCAAATATAGAGGTTTATGCAATGATTTCGACTGTTTGTTATTCTAATTCGATGAAGCTATTGACCCTCCCTAAAGATCACAGTTGATGATTCTTAGGAGCAATGTTGTTTGGAATGTTGTGTGTATCTTGGATAAATTGCTAAACTCGAAGTGTGACATGATTCCATTGTAATTATAATAATTCTAATAGGGCTAGCCTTTATATTCATATATTCAAAACTTGAATTGATGGGGTATACCCATCCTTCTTGTTCTTTAAATTTGTAGTCTTTGTGGGCTGCTCCCAAAACTACAGGAGCCACGTCCTCCGTACTCGTCGACGAGGATGTTATCTCAAGCAGCAGCGCGATGATCGTCATCAATGACAACAGCAGCCAGTCCCCTCTCTCCGCGCCTGTCTTCGAGTCTCATTCTCTCAAGCTGGCACGCTCGTCGCTCACGCTTTCTGCGACTCAGTGACTCTGTCTTTCTCCAGTCGTCGTCGACTGATTTCCGCTCCTCCGCTTGCTTCCCTCCTTCCCTTTTCGCTGCTTTCCGGCACCTTCGAACGATCGCTCTGGTCTCTGGGATGATCTCCTGACTTCGCGCCCGCGCTCGCTCTCTCGCTCCTGTTCCGATGCCGTTTTGCCCAAGTCACTGACGGACCCCCTCCGCTCTCCAACTGCTCGCTCGCGCGCTCGCTTTCCTGGCTTTGTCCCATTTCGCTTGCATTGCACTGATTAGCGGCCCTCCCGGGAGCGTGACGAGGAAGTGGATCTTTCGATTGAGATTGTCCAATGCTGTGGAGGTCGTGCAAAGCTGGTGCTGTTGATTTTTCATGTTCGAGAACGGGGCTTTGAGGATTTGGGTTTGGGCTTCGATCTCGTAGTCTGCGGGTGGACGGGGATAGTTGGGGTACGAATTGGAGCCGACTCGGGGGAAGGTGAGAGTGAGGGTGAGGTTGAGAGGGAAAGGGAGAAGAAATGGCTTATGTAGATCGGACGTTTTCCATCAGCGATGATGACACCGGGACATTTATCGTGCACAATCGACCTCCCATTAAGGAGATTGGCCTCGCTATCTCGTTGCTCGTAATTGGCGCCGTGGGTATCATTGCCGGCCTGGTAATGATAGTCAACAAGACCGGTGGCGACCGGGGTCATGGTATGCTCTTTCCTTTCCTCATCCTTCCGTTCCTTCCATTCTGTCATGTGGTGCATCGTAGTCTGGGTAATCCCACTGTTTATTCACCACCTGCATGACGATTGATAGCAGTACCCATGGACCGGGCTGCCATATTCGATCGACATGCACATCTCTCCCGAGTAAGTGGAAGTCAACTTCCTCATGCTTGGGCATGAGCAGGCGATAAATTAGTGGAGGTAGATTTGTGCATAGTTTCTACTTTGTGCCTCCAAGTCAAGGACTAGTATTTATGGTCGTTAGAAGGGTGCTGGCCACACTTCTCGTGGGAAGAAGTAATTCCTGGACTCCCATACCTGATCCAGATTTCGATTCTCCTACCAGTGGTTTCACACGGATGACTAAGTTCTGAGGCCAAGGTTTCAGATGAACAGAGAGCAGCTCAGAGGCTTAGAGAATGGACAATTTGGATACTGCCCTTGAACCCAACTTACCCGGGGAAGGGATGACAAGGGCGAAGAATTGGTAAACAGCTTTCTAAATGTCGTACTTTGTGTTCTACAGGCATTGCGTTTTCAATTCTGGGAGCCCTGTTATTCATGCCGGGCTTCTACTACTCGAGGATTGCCTACTACGCGTACAAAGGCTACAAGGGCTTTTCGTTTTCCAATATTCCTGCAGTCTGAGGGGAGTGCCATGGTCCAAAGTAAAATCACAGATGCACGTCAGTTTGAATTGTACAATTGTCATCATCTCTAAACCCTCCAAGTGGGTTTGTTACAGTTGCTCCTCTTTATGTAGCTAGTAGCTGCGGAAATCTGAAGATGTTTGATTGTATTGTTGCATTTCCGAGAGGGGAGTAGTGTACAGTGACACCTTTCTGGCAGTGCTTATCATTTCAACCGGCGAACGATCTATCGATTCATTTGCGAGCTTTGAGAAGTTAGGACATCATTGTAGAAGGGGTTCTTAGCGATGGTCAAAGCTGGCCAACGAAAGTACCGGTCGGCGGAATATTGCAGGCTTTGCGTAAGTTCTCGCGGGAGAAGCTTTTTCCACGCACGATGCGGAATCACAAACTAGTTGCTACCTCTGCAGGCGTCCAGGTATATAGAAATTGAAAGCGAGGAATGGTGTGACCAACTCTGCACGGAAAGTTTGCAGCTGGATAAGAGTAGGTTTGTTTTACCTACCTAAATTTGTAACATCATATCTGATCTCTCAAGATTAGCACCGGCTGGATATTCTTAGGACGGGAGCCTATCAGGACAAATCGATGAATTTGCTTTTATTGGCGAATGTTTATCTACCAATCGATGTCCAGGCAAATCTGAAAATGGTTACGTATGTTACCTGTGTATCATCTCTACTTTTCTCATAAAATCTAATTCCTCTTCTGGTCTATATCTTTATGAAATTGGCACCAGTGATGTGGTGCCTACGACCTCAGATGTCATGCCAACATGATTTGTCTTTCAATTATGTAGACCTCACCCACATGTACTCGTCGAATCTAATGGAAACGAGTGTTGCGTCCTTTTGCATCTTGTATGCAATATTAACTTGAACTTTGAGATCTTACAGTAGTTTCTTCATAACATGACCTTTTCCTGTCGAGGTTTCGCATGAATGAGGCCCTTTTGTTTAGGTAGTGGTGGCGATTTCAGTATTTGACAAATAGCGAAATGATTCAATGATAATTTTGCAACTGCCGGCAGCACCAGCAAGTGGTACTTAGACGAATGAGAGTTATATGTACACAGGACTTACCTCTTTGGTCCAAGAAACGATCCTGTTCGATGCTTGAGGGACGAGTAGACAACAACGGAATGAACTAGGAAGATAGTAAAAAGGATGGGAAAAACCCTTAAATTGGTAGATGATGAAATCAAAAGGTTCGGATTGAGTCAGGCGCTGTGCAGACAACCAGCCAACTAGGAGTACAAACTCCAGAGGGCAAGGTGGTATGCGAACAAGATGACAGTACTCTTCCAGCACCAGAGTACTGAGCGACCTTGCAGCATGATGGTTTCCCTCCGATCATGTCCTCAATCTCCAAGACATAAAATCCAATGGAATCATAAGCATCCGCTCAACCTCACTGTAAACTTCTACAAAATGGTATAAACATCACATATTTCCCTGGTCTAGCTTTATTGCTATCAGAGTGAATCCTCCAACCCCGCTACGAACACATGAAATTGCCACATGAAAGTGCCAAACTATGAGATCATCAGCGTTTCACAGCTAGAGAACAATGAATATTATTTTTGGAAGAATGTAGAAACTACCTTTGCGTTGTGATAGTTACATTTCAACAGTACACCATGTACTTATGTATGATGTAAAATGCAAAGGATAAAAGCTTTATCTCATCATCTGGTTACAAAACATCTATGAGGTTGTGATATAATAATTATTGTGAATATGATTAAGAGAGGAATCTATATTCAAAACTTGATGGTTAAAATATCTGGTGTAATTCATTTTTTAAATGTTTGTTTGAACACGAGTCATGGTATGTTGCAACGTGTGTCCTAGTAAATCTTACGAAGAGAGCTTTCGATTGATATTACTTAATAGATGAAGCTTTTCATTAACAACAATCTTATCACTTTGCATATTATTTTGAAAAATGTGGTTCTAGATTTTGGACATGATAAAAAATTTAACATAAAAGTAGCTTTGTGAATTTTGTTTATGTTAATTCTAATGATGGAAAATGTTGAATATCTTGATATGAGTTTGGAATATAAATAATATACATACATAAGGTTTTGGTTCTTTTGAACTACTTTAATGATGTAAACAAGATATCTTTAGTCAGATGAAAAAATCAAACTCAAATTGAGTTTCAGTGTCTCATAGTTATAATATATGATATAGAATTTGAGTTTCCCGATTGCATAATTTTAGTTTAAATTTACTTTGTACTATATATGATATATAATAATTTTTTTCAGTATTATTGTCAAATGTCAATGGATACTAATGCTGGAGATGTCTGATTCTTTAAGTCAGATATTATATATATATATATATATATGGTAATTACTTGAATGTCATATTTATTAGTACATAAAATATCACAGGTAAAATTTTTTGTTCAGAAATTTGATTTAACCTGTCCAATTAAATAAATATATATATATAATATTTTATTCATAAAAAAAAGTAAATGTATATTATCTCATGAGATATATATGAGATGATCTGATGTTTTAGACGGGTAATAATTAATATTCCTTGATGGACGGTAAATCGAATGACATGAATTAAAGTATTCAAGTCGATAGAATTGTGAACAATCTGCAGATTTTACTTAAATTTAACAATAATTGATTTATTTTTCTATTTGCAACATATTGTAACCTACCATTCATAGGGTATCACTGTCTTCAGTTTATTGTGCAATATGTTATAGACAGCTTGTTTGTATAGTCCTACTATGTTTCCACTACACCAGTTGACGTAGATAATAGAATAAGTATTATGTTAGAGCATAATTAGTATAAATAATAATCTTATTGGAACCTACGCCCATATTGATGATTTGGTCTCATCTATCGCACTAGTTGATGTAAACTTAAGAACATTAACCATGTCACATCATGATTATTGAACAAAATATGCTAATGGAACCTAGCGCCATATCAGGGCTTTGATTTGATGCATGTACTTCTTTATGGGGCCTCACTTTTCTTTTTGTTTTGGTACGTTATTCACGTTGTAGTAATCAATGGTCTCTCTATTAAGGTTTCTCTTTCCTGCAGTATCGGTGTTATATGCTAAATACGGAGGGGAAAGTCTTCTGACATTAAGGCATTGTTGCTGCGTAATCATTTGCCAAAGTGTCCTATATGTAATCATATTATGGGATGTTTGCACCATGAAGGTTGTAAGACTTTACGTACATCAACGCCTTTCAGCTTAGCCGTCCAAAGTCCCAGGTGAATTCGTATCAAATGTTACAATTCACACATTGGCCCATACAAGGCCAATGTGAACTGTTCTACAAAATATACGGTTTGAGTTGCTGACTTGCCCGCAGACAACTGCTTGCTTTGATCTTAACTGGTGCTAGAAAGATTTACTTTCAACTTTGTCTCACGGACATTGTCTAACCTCACGAATTTCGACTGTAATCTTCATGAATTACTTCAGAATGTCAATAACCTTATCAGAATTTCAGGTGATTCGTCATGTCATGATCCATACCACGTGAAAAATGCTTCATGAGAGCAGTTGACAAACCTTTGCATAACTGCCTTGGTTGTTTACCACTTTCAGAACATAATCTACTCAGGAGCTCGAGAAGGTTGGTGTGATATTTGAAACACATGTTTCATGTCCGAATGGTATAACTGAACACTGTGATTCTCAACAATACACACAAAATTTGCGTACTTAGTATTCGCTTCTCTGCACACACACAGCAAACGTCTCAAGCGGTTTGCAAGAGCATATACAGCAATTCTGACCCAATGCTCAAATTAGCCACTCAAGAAGCCAACTAAGTTCATGACGGTAACGACGGCCAGACTTCAATTGTCCCCCTTAGCTACCTCTAAGCAGTGTGCTAGGATACTTGAACAACGAGATTGCATTTGATTTTCTAAACCAAGTACCTGAAGGAACTTAACTGCCTGTGGCCAACATACCACCGCACCTGAGATCGATGACCACCATTTGTCTGAGCTTTGTACAAAAAGGCTAAACTTTCTATCAGGTGTCCCATGAACTACGGGACAGGTTCAGTACAGAGTTGCTCGTGAGCACACTTGGACCAGAATTTTAAAAGACCTGTGAAGTGATGACTTGAGGATAAAGCTAACCAAGCAACTGTCTTCAGATACCAGAAGATGACCCCTTGAAGGAGAGTTGATTCTCACACAAATTTCGCGGTTCTAGGCTGAAGTCCGAGTATAAAACTGACCATTCATGTCAGCTTACAATATCTCAAAAATGACACGAAACTCCAACAAGATTAAAATGGACGGGTTCAGATATCTTGATTGACACTCGAAATGCTAGAGTGCAAACCGTATGTACAAGTTATATGCCTAAACACAAATCTGGTTGATAGAACGGGCAGGGTTTAACTATTCTTTCATACCCCACACAATAATAGGGACTACTCCAGTAAGCCACCATCAGGACGTCTTGTATATCTACAACTGAATATCTCAGTCTATGGACTTCCAGTCCAGAATTTCCAGCAAGCACAACAACTCATTGTCAGTACTGGCGACATCTGGGAAGTCCAGTTCGATGCCAAACACCTCTTGGCTTTCTCCCTCGCCAGCATTCAGTAACAGCATCGCTACCCAAACTCTAATATTTGACACAAACGGATAGAGGGGAGAAATTTGTAGGTACTCATAGGCGTGGGCAAGGTTTCCATGGCCGTCCACATAATCGAAACCCGCCTTGTCCACAATACATGCCACGCGCTCATCATCTAGGCGTCTCACCAACAATGACACCATAACACAATCATCGAGTTTCACGGAAAGGCGCGGCGACACCGCTACTGTCAGCTTGTACGTATCATTGTGGATGTGTGTGCGCATAGTCTCACTGATGCCCTGCGGATCAGTCTCGATTCTGTTTCTGACAATCCCCCCCGGCACAACCGTCGAAAAGATTGATTGCTCGTCCGACCAAATGTCCAAGTAAAATTCCAAATCTTCAAATGTCAACTTAGGGGCAGGCATGCTTCGACTTCGAGGCTTCCTCGAAAACCTCGAGTACAAGCTGAAATAAGAATTCGGTGAAACCTTTGCCAACGAACCCTTGGTGCTGCGCACAGAGGGCCATCTCTTCGCACAGAGCTGGCTCCACAGGTAATAATCTCTGGCTATTTCTCTCCAGAGCTTGCAAACGCACATGCATGCTGCCAGATCCTGCCCTAGCAGAAGCGGAAACACCGCTCTCAGAACCTCCCCTGGTATTGTATCCTGCATCCTCACAGACAACGACTGCAGATCACTACCATATCCCTCTCGCTATCCAACGCTGCAGCCAATTCCCGTCCGATCTCTCCCGCGCTCCAGAAACCCCAAGAATCCCACCCACAAAGTGACCTCCACGTTAAGCTCCTCGCTCACTCCATCAGACCACAATTGTCCACAACAGCACCATCAAATCCTCAACCTGGTGGCAAACAACACACCTCGATTGCTCTGTTCTTCCTTCTTCTCCGACTCATCAAATAATCAGCATCGGCAACGCGTACAGTCCCACAACAAACCCCTGCAGGCACAAATCGCTCCAAGAGAGGCGAAACATTCAGGGAGTAGCACCTAATCGCGGACTGACAAACTATTCACAATCTAAACCCACACCATTCCGTCCAGCAAGCCACACAATTTCCTCGTCCGCCTTCGCCCCAGGCAGAACTAAAATCTACCGTCTCGGACTCTCCGACCACCAAACCCCACCAAACACAACTGACCTGAGAATGAACAAGAGAGAATTGCTGTGCTGGGGCCGCAGCGCCAAACAGCAGAAATGCTGCAGTCCGCTTCGGTGCGAGACAAGTGCGGAGGATGGGCCGGCAGCGTAAATATTCACTCGCCCCGTTTACCCGCGGGGCCCCGGCAAAAGCTAAAACGAAAAACCAAGGCGCTCGATTGCTCGTTTGCTTCCAACGTTTTTTACTCTCCCAATTTGCCATCCGCGGTATTGTGCTTGTCCTTACCCGATCAGAAGCAGGTGAAACGCTGACCTGTCGGCACGCGTAACGGAGTAGCCTGGTAACTTTCGCGAGACCCACCGCAGTTACTCACCACCTCGATTTTGTGAAAGAACTTGTTCAGCTACTACGGATGTAGTTGGGGCCCGCTCTGTCTTATTTTTCCACTAAGTTCCAGGGCCTCCGGTTTAGCCTTTTGGCGCATTGGAGCCCCTAAAGATTAAGGGATTTCAAAGACCCTCCCTCTGCCCGCTTACGGCCGTCACATTCATAAGCTTCAAATATGAATGCTAGATAACTAGTAATTGTATTATACCAAATGTGGTTCATGTTTAATTGTTCACCTTAGTAAATTCAGTCAGTGGGTTCGAAGGCTATGTTGCTTGCAACACAGTTCATTTCAAGTTGTTGTACCTTGAATGTTGGAAAAGACAAAGAGGAGAGCAATAAATCTACTGCGAAACCTAGTAATATAGCAAGAACGTCGTGGATACTCCGTCAAGAGGTAAGTGGATGAAACCAATCAGATAATGCGGTTCTAGCCCCAAAAACCTAATGAGTAAAAATCGGGACAGTGCAATTGAGTATTTGAACTTTCTAGGTCAAAGTGTAACCACACTTTGATTGAGAAAATAATCATTTAACATGATTGATCTACACGCCGATGTGTAGAGCTACCTAAAGGGAATAGACCCAAGAGTAGCTCGAGGAGATAATGTTTACGCAAACTTGAGAGGGGTGGTCATGTTTATTCATAGACGGTGTACGAGATACGTGCCCGATCTGAGGGGATGTTATGAGTAAGCTCCCTTTATCTCAGCACGAGGAATTTATGAAGAAAGGAAGGAACTGGTAAAGGGTTTTGACCCGATAACCCAATCCAGAGGTGAAGGCTAAGACGAGTTCGGATGAAGCGCGTGGGTCATTCATTGGGTGCACCAGGTCGACGCGTTATGATCAGATTTTGTGCACAGCGATTCTCTAACTGTTAGACGAGACCGGTTACGTTCCGGCAAGTAAAGGTTCCAGTCTTGTCTCCATACCCGATAAAGCTCTCCTGTTCAAAATATTGTTTCTAAGAGTCAGGAACGCCAAGTCTTCCTTTCTTTGTCCTCGACCTTCGTCTGTTAGAGTAAAGGCCTTTGACCCTGACCTTGTTGTGTTGCCTGAATTGGGACACTCCAACATATTTTAAATTATCTGCTCGCAGCTGAGACAATGTCATGCCTCAGTAACTGACAACATGAAATCATGTTGCATCCTGTATCGTTGATATTTATCATATAATTTTTGGATCCGGTGTTGAGGACCATGACCTCAACCGTTTTTGGTCGAATCGGTAAGTCAATTCAACAACAGATTATGTTTGCTGATTTTTTCCACTTTCTTTCGCGAATTCAAGATTCTATCGGTTATTACGAGTGGTTCTTATCTTTGACTCAAATTTACCTATTAGCGCTTCCCTAAACAAGATCTTTTGATAAGCTCGAAAACTGGCACTGAAAATGTTGTCTTAAGGACCCAAGCTTAAAGCATTATTTAATATATAAAATTTTATACCAGCGATGTGGTATAACATGTTGAGACTAAAGATATACTGACTTAACTGATAAATGAATACTCTTACTGACTTAACTGTTAGAGAGGATAAGAATATTGTCAAGTTCACATGTCCGGTACTTTCTAGCGAGCATCCTTCCCCTGCCCCCACCTACTTTATTCCTTAAAGCCACTCTCATCAGGCCACGTATGAAAAGCCCTTTGGAATTCCTCGGTGAGTCGGCCTTGATGATCTATGTACTTTATCTTTCTATATTGAGTCATGGGCCCTTTGTTCCACGGTGTAGCTACATTGCAGTTTCCGATACTGAGGCGCTCCGGTAGTCTATATTCCTCACGAGGCGGTAGATTTCGTCTCTCAAATAGCTCCAGGTTGTTCACTTTATCCATGTTTCTAATCACAGCATTCCCTTCCATGGCTCTTTCCACTCTCATGAAGGTTGGCTCTTGTGTCATATGTTGGTATGTCATTTTCCTGGCGTACTATCATTTCTCTCTGTTAAAACGTGAAAGGAAGAAATCGGTGTTATGTATACCTGATAGATACCAAAATGTTTTCCGTTTGAAACATGGACTATGTTTCATTGACTTGTTTTTTATCATTAAATAGCTGATTTGAAAAGAAACTGGAAAAATCAGAGTTTGAAAATCAAAACTGGAAACTTTTATAAGGCCAAAAACTGTTGCCTTATAAAAAATTGCGGTGTTCATTCGTTTTTTCGGAAACCAGCTAGCTCTGGGTTCTAGTGGCATTTCACCCCTAACCACAACTCATCTGTTGAATGTTCAACCTCAGTCGGTTCGGACCTTCACTTAGTTCCAAGCAGTGACATTTGCCCTAAGAAGACTCGCTTTCCCTACGCCATAAAAGTTGTAATTCGACTTTTATTTGGATGGTATGCATTTTTAAGAAATAAAAAGTTGAAATTTAAACCTCGATAAACGACCAAAATAGTAATCTTGTGTGACTTGTCGTACTCTGTAAACGAGTCACATTCCTCGCATGAGGACATGTACCTGCAACTACAAGGAACTCATGCCTCTTCCTCCGAGAAATTTAATAAACGTCGTGCTCTGAAGTGCCTTGGATCAGATATCAGTGCTAGTTACAAGAAGACAAATTTGCATTCATTTCGAACTTTTGTTGTTTGCTCTCAATTACTTTCTGATTGAGAGCCCCAAGATGAATTACCTTATACTTCCACTGGGATCAGGTTCTCTTTGACAAAAAAGCAAACCTCGATCACTGCAAAGGTAACACTCCAGTTACAAACTGCAACCGCTATCAAATATGAGTATATTACAGAGAATCAACAATTGTTTATACTTGAAGCTAAGTGAGTATGACAAATTTTACTAACTTTGAGTACCCACTTCCAGTTTAGATCAAAAATGACAAAACCGAGGAAACTCATACACGGAAGGATGACGATACGCCGAAATTGTACAAGTCATTTTCGGTACTGAAGAATTTATTGCTAGTTAATCTTGTAAAAGAATCAGAGCTTACCAATATTTTTAAATCGTTTCTTGATAACTTAGATCAGAAGATGAGGACCATGAGAAAAGACCATTTCGTATCTGATCACAAGGCCACTTCTGTCTTAATTTCATCTTAATTGCATATATAGATCAGGACTGGTCATGGGAATTCAACTGTATTCTATAGTCAGCTCGTTGTTAGATATTAGTCATAGCCTCCCGACTTTGTTGTTGATATAATCTTTTGGGTCATTTTGTCCTATAAGACCAGTTGAACTAGTAGTCTATCAAATTGGTACCATTTTGTAGTCACGTCTTTTGCATCCAACTTCGAGAACGAGCTCCTCTCTTTACAGTTACTCATGACCAGGATAACGGCGAAGCACATCGACCAGTTTTGAGAAATCTGCTTTGCTATCTGTACATTGATGTAAATTCATACTTTGTCACTTCTCGAGAGGTAAAATGCTAGTCTCCCATTGTACATGCCCTACACTGTTTTCCACACGCATTTGCAAGAGTTATGTGATCTGATATATACTTTGACTACGCCGGCTGTTGCTGCTTCCATTGGTTTAGAATTCAGATATTCCATTTTGGATTATCGTCATTAGTACTGTCCTTATGTCATACTATCTTGATCACATAACTTGACTTCTGCTCTTTAATCCATCAATGTCGACCATTCTAATATTCATGTTTTCAGATGTTTTAATCAAATGTTGTAGGCTCAAGGTGTAAGAACAGATGAGCGCGAACTCTCATGCTATCGGTCATTGACAATCTCTTGAGTGAACTATCTAGTCTGCTAAAATGGCAAATTGTACTTTGACTCAAACAGCAAATATCAGAAGATTTGTGTGAATGTAACTTGACTTAGTAAGATTTATGAGTGCACTCGGGATCATGGTTTAGACTCATCAACAAGTTTAGAACCTGCTTTGGTCGTGGCATTACACATGCCTACGGATTATTTAAGCAGCAAATTGTAAACATTGGCATTGTTTAAGAAAAACAGGAAATTAATCGCCAATATTCCGATTGTGTTCATTTCAATCATGTTCACGTAGTTGCTCTACTCTCCCGCCTTCGTATCACGAAGTAGACACTCCGCTGATAGTTACTGAAAAGAAGACATGCTCCCATGCAGTCAACGTCCCTCTGCTTGGTCATGCCATATACACAGCCGAAACTTTTCGATCATGTTAACTTTGCACTTTGACATTTGCAGGGTAAATTACCGATACTAAAACTTTCCGTTGTGCCCGTTCCGACCTTCTTCAGCTAATCCCGTAACTTGCCTGTAGTTTTATCTCCAACTTATTTCGATGGTCGTTCCAGAAATGAAACACGTCTGTCATCATCAGACTTCTTTACTCAAATCGATAGTCTCACTCGCATCCCAGTCGATGACGGGAAGAAGTACAGACGAGAACCTGACGATTCGTTCTTGGAATTTCCGGTATGTCATGTACCCTACCAGGTTTATTGTAGAATATTGACCGAAGTACCCTCTAGGACAGCTAGCGGCTCCCTTTGGAGGAGGTATTTGACAGAATCCTGAGGACGTGGAACCATTCAATCCGTCAGTGAGAAACTGTATCCTTGTGCAGGGTCATCTGTATCTCGCCATGGCAATCCGCAGGCGACGAGCAAGTGCTGATTCATCACATGCAAACCATCTCGCAGAATTTTCCTGATTAAGATATGGAGATGTGATGAGTGACAGAGTATATTATGACTGCTGAGACTCTTCCCGTGCACTTGGAGCCCTCCTTCTTTATCAAAGTCAACCGAGCCCGAGGCAGAAGTTTTACGTCAGTGCATTCTCTTCAGATGGTTTCGCCCAGCTGCTGCTTCTTCATTTTCCAGCGGCTGCAGTAGATTTTTCCTGTTGACCATATGACCTCGATCTATACAGGTTCAAAGGCTAAGGGAAGTCCAGTTCTAAATAGAACTGGACTTCCCTTAGTCCTAAAAGATGAACGTCAGTGTCATCACCCTAAATTGCACTTTCAGTCACTTGTGATTTCAAGTTGCAAACCAAGAAAATCCTTGCTGTCTGCATCACCTGTGGTTGAAGAAGGAGCAGGGAGTTGTTGCATGCTCGGCTGTGTGAACAGCTAACAGCAGTACATTACGAGGAGCACACTTACAGTTGAAGGGTCAGCTCCTCTTGTGGGCGACCTCGTGGGAATAGCCAGAGGGTTAAGTTCTTGGTGTAGAAGCTACTGTAAATAGTTGAATACTGTATTCTGTCTAATTCAGACAAGAGTCTATTTGCCCACACATTACATCACAACAGGAACTGTGGAGATATAAAAAATAATATCCGGAGGTATAAACATACTCTCAAGTATTTTCGTTATGCTTCGTGCTACGTTTGGAATAAACTACTCAATACTTTGAACCAGGAGAAGATTTGAAGTCGGCGAGATGGTGCTGCAGTTGATCATCCCGATGATGAAGCATTTATCGGGAAAATACAAAGAATCATTTTTCAGGTTGTACACAAGTACAAAGTCGTTTCTCCAACTCGAACTATCATTGGGACTGAACCAATCTGTACAGTACATCGATGGAAGCTCATGCTAGTAAATGAGGTGTTCATCGATGCGGATTTGCACATGAATCCATAACACAACCTGTATGTGAGACGTTGGTGTCTTTTAATCGGAACTACAGTTTAGTGAGTTCCATGAGACTGGTGGGTATGGAGAAGGCATTGAAGCCTGTAGACCAATTTAAATATCTCAACTCGGAGCTACGAAGTCAATGTCCGAACGAGAAGAAGACTGCACTGAAAGACAGAGACATGATATAGCAACGAGTAAATAATATTCATTGACTTCAACGCGTCACGACGTTCACTCAGGTGATTGCTACATATTCTTCTAAGTTCGACTGGCGGACACTTCGGTTTCAAAAGCATTGTCGTGTAGGAGAAAGCGAAGAGGAGGAATAAAACCATGTGATGGAAATTGAATTTGTATTCAGTAAGTCACCATTTGCCTCATCGTTATCTAGTGTCCGGAGTACCAGAATCTGTAATTATCTGTGATATAGAATGTCAACCTTTTCCGTTCCTCCTCCGTCTGATCTGCAGTTCGTCACTTTTATGCAGCCTTCATGGCAATTTTATGGGTGTATCTCCCTGTTACCATATTTCGTTTATCCTTTATAATTTATTCAAGAGAATAATTTTAAGAATTATTAGCATATGGAAAGAAGAAAAAAACCGTTGAACTGAAATAATCAAATTTCCAATTCTGCATTTACGACTTGTTAGATCAATATTCTTATATATATCATATTCTTATGTATTCAAGATTCTTAATTAATTTGGTTTTTTAGGAATAAAAAATTTATTCAATTTTATTTTTTAATTAAAATTTTTTAATTCCATAAAAAATAACATTGATTATATAATATGGATATATTAATAAATAAAATGGTAAAAAATCGTAGCGTCCAATAATGAAATTCAAAATCAATATGATTGTCAGGTGAAACAAAACTTAGAAGAAATTGCATTTTCTTGAAAGGAAAATAACTACTGTTCTTACTGCAACTTTGCATGTCATTGAATCAAGAAATTTAATACAAGAATTTCGAATTTATTGAAATTATATATTTTCAATGATTAATCTAAATAAGAATATATTGATAATGAAAATATCTAGAAACAAATCAAGACTAAAATCTACCAAAAAATTATATGTATATGTATATATATATATATATATATATATCCATGATTGATTAAAATTTGTGGATTTATTTACTCAATTTTATGGCAAATTTATATTAAATAGAAAATAGAAGCTAATAATTTAACAGCAAATTAGAAGTTTATATCTCATAAAGGATAACCAGAATAGGATAAATGTAATATCTTTTGATATATGATGATAAAACATGATTTAAAATATAATTTTTATTTTGTATGTATTCATAAATTTGGAACACAATAATATAATAATAGAAATATTTGAAATAAATATAATAATATATTTTATTATTATTACTACTATTATGGACTCAAAAAATTTCAAGGCTTTATCATACAAAATTATGCATTCTTATTAGTGAATCTAAAATGATTAATATTGATCTTTTACTTTATCTCATATGAAAATTTAATAGAAAGTCACATAACCAGAAAGTTATGACTTGCATGCAATACATGCATGTAATTCATATATGATATATATTATAGATTTTAAATATGTGCTCTAATTATCTAAGAATCAAATCAGGCTAAAATTAAAGGAAAAAATAAAAAATGAATGAAAAAATTATTCAAAATAATAATAATAATCACTATTTGCTACCTGATCAAATAGTAATGTTATAACCACTATATACTATTTAAAAAATTTGTAAATATCAACATTTTATATGTTAAAAGTACAAATCTTTCAATTTCACATATGATTTTAATCAATATATATCCTGTACTAAATTTCAATAATTTTATATCAATAATGATTTTTATAATCTAGCATTCAAAATCTTTTGAAATATGAAATAAAAAATATCAATTAACTTGCTATCAATCTATAACTTCAATGCATAGGTATAAAAAATAAATGGTTAAAGGCTGTTTGTTATGATTCTTGTGTGATAGATAAGTAATATATATATATATATATATATATTAAATGTTTGTAAACAAACATTTATTATTCTATATTAAAAATATTTGAAATAAAAAAGTGATTTATACTCATACAAAATAAGTAGCTTCATCAATGATGCAACTTGTAAACTTTTTTTACCAAATCAAGATATAACTAAACTTATTCTTAATATTAAAATATTTATTTTCACTTTATAATCCGCTGTATAATTCCAATACAAAGTGATTAGTACATGCAATAAGATGTAAAATAAATGTAGTTGGATCAAATATACATATCAAAATTGTGTTTATTTTACTAGTCAGATTTAATAATCAGATTGTATTCAGAGCTATATAACTCATTTGAACATTTTTCATTATTAGATCTATCATGTAATTTAGAAATGTAAATTTGAAAACTTTCTTACTAATGCATGCTTTGAAGCAATGCCATTCTTTAATGTCAATGTTTTTTCCATGTTGAGTTGATCCAATTATGTTAATAAGACAATAATAAAATTTTATAGTTATGTATTCAACATATTTAAAGAAAAACGTTACACACTTTGCAATTCATTCAAAATTTCAAGATCATGGTACCTAGATAATTTTAAATGTCAATTAAAATATAACGTACGGATTAAAAACTAACGACGATAAAATAAATTTGATTTGATCATCTTTTAATCAATATCTTCACTGTTTAATCTTGTAAAAACTGTTATTTTAGTTATACAATATCTCACATGACTCACTGACTAATTGATGAACACAAAATAGCTATTTATGATATGTGATGTTGGTGATGTATATGTAGTGATACTGGTAAGCTACTCTACACTTGGTATGGTAATAGATGTCACTATTGTGGTAATCACGTCTACACGCGACATTTAGAGGGGATGGTTGTTCGTCGCCTTAAAAAGAGGAAAGATATGCTTCAAGTTAAGAGATGTGTGCAAGACCATACTATGCATGAAGAGAAATTTAACATTTATTTAAAGTTCATTGTGTATACTATCTAAGTAAACATGAAACTATCAACTTATATTGAAAGTAGCTAGTGATACACATGAAGAAGCAATATGTTGAATGATGCTACGTAGGATGCTAGTGATGTTCATAGACAATTTCAGCATGATGGTTCGGGAAATCTTAGGTTAAAACCTATACCCAATTGACATACAGTTGGGACTAAAGCATGGTTTCCAGCTTACTGTCAAATTATAAAGCTTGATGGATGCAGTCATCCTTTACGCTATTCACTTGGGCCCGGTTTTCATGTAAAAAAATTTAGACAGAAATCCGTCATAATTAAGTACAGTAGTGAATGTGACATGACACGTGATTATAGTTATTTCTTAGACGTGCAGTCCACATGATCATCCACTACTACTCACTTTCCAAGTCTCGTTAAAATGGGGATGATTTTTTGTTGAGCTTCGGTGTGCTTTTCCTTACTCTTCTGTCCGTGTGTACTATGCATCGCTCCAGCTATGTGGCGTTTCAGCAGGAATTTAAAACCAGTGATCGATGTGAGATGCTCGACTTGTTACTGGTGATTGGACTTACTTACAGTCGTTAGTGGACTGGAGAAGTGAGTGTGAAGTCTTTCACCAAAGCAAGCTGCCCCCGAAAGGTGAGGGACTGACGGGCTCTAGAACCCGTCGAGGAGCCCGTGACGCCGGGAGGGATGAGTGTCTGGAACAGTTCACTGCAGGCGAAGGGCGTCAAAGCCGTCAACACATTTGTCTGTAGCTCGCCCCGTCAAGGCTCGCCTTCAGCCTTCAGCCTTTGCTTGATCCGCGCTTCATCTCCCTTCCGGGCTCTGTCTGCCCTAACTTGGGCTCCAATAGCTCCCACGACAGCAGGGCATTGATTTTCGCTTTTGCGATTTCTCCTCGCAGCGGTAGCAGCAGCTTGGCAGGCCTCGCTCGCTCGCTCTCCCTTTTTCCCGGCTCTGTGTTTCTGGCGGGCTTTACTTTGCGGCATTAGCGCAAGGACTAGACCCTTCTTTTTAGCAATTTCCGTTTGACTATTTTTCGTAGTCGTTGAATGTGGTGAAAACCTTTTGGCCGATCCGTGCGGCGTGTAAGAAAGATTGGTGTAGACCCGGGAGCTTTGCGACACAACACCAAACCTAGACGTCTCGTTCCGTGGGATGGTAGACGAGTGGGATCTTTACGACATCAGTTTCCGGTCGCGCAGACGTCTGATCTTGAGTTTTCTCCGAGTCAGGTTTCTCAGCAGGGGAGCTTAAATTCTATTTGGTGCGACTGCATGCTCTTCTTTTAGAGCACCGAGATAGACGTTCAGGCTAATACGAACGAGAATGAGCCATTACGTGATTTAAAAGATAATTGGAATTCATATTCTCGGCGCCCAGAGCAAGTTCTGTAACTCGTGAATGAACTGGCTTTTCAACACATGCGACGAAGAGACGAACAAATTGATCGGACTAGGTCGGACTAATCGCGCAGCCTTCGTCTACATGTTGAAATGGTGAAAGAGGTTTTCTGGCCATGATCATCTCCTGCAGCGAGTCGTGAAAAAGTGTACAGACTTTCAACTCTCTGGGCGGGACTCTGAAGTATCTCTTTGATAGAGGAAAGAAGCAGGTGTTATGGCAGGGGATGATGACGATCGGTATGGTAGTGATTTGAGGGACTCACCACCTGTACGGAGTCGATCGTATCATAGGAGCCCAGATGATGATGGGAGAGAGGGTTCTCCTCCCGATATTCGTGAAGGAAGGGAGAATGGAGATCGGTATCGAGAGGTATGTGTTACCCACTCTACCGATGATGATTCCAACCTCCCTTTTTGATCGTCAAAATACTCCCGGGGAAGGTTCACTAAATGTATAGTTTTCCAAAATATCGTGTTTGATTCGCCTGTCTCCCTATAATACAATACCAAGACCTACGAAGAAAGATTGACGTGCTGTATTCATATGCTTCAGCTTATAGCCTCTACTAAGTGCATTTCACCGATTTGTCCCATGCATCATTCCTGCGTAATGTAACTGGTAGACCTGATTGTCTTTTAACGACTCTTGTGAAGCTTCTGTATATTATCTTCCGAGTACACCTATCTCCTGGTTTTCCTTCTTTGACCTTTTTAGTCATCTGTGTTTTGTCTAAATTTTTTGTCGCGCCTGTTTAGAAGGTCGTGTCAAGGAATGAGTCTTGTGTTATCGTGCTTTGCACGAGACTTGATCCTCGAACAGTTTTTTTTTGGGTGCTCCTCAACAAGAGCCCGGGCAGTCTTGACACTCCCAGAGCATGAGGTCATGCACAGAAAACATTACTCTCTACGCCAGTTGCTTGTATCTCTACCGAATAGTTTCGAAAGTCTTTATCTTACAGCTGGTCTTTGTTTGGCCACTCTCTTTGAGATTCAGAGTGAATGAGCTTCTTTCAATTTTCAATTAGCCGACTGTTCTTCGCGAACGGTCATCTTCTGGTTGACGCTCATGCAGCTCTATGTACTTGTCTTTTGGATGAGAGGTCAACATATGCCATTTGCATTATGCGAGGAATAGCATTTGTTTATGGATTACATCATATATCACCCCTCGTATCATCCCTCTGAATCCTCAGTAGAATCTGGTGAAATGGAGCGGTCGTTGATGACACCTATCTGGCGAGTTCACCTCTCATTGCGAGGTACTTTTAACCGAGCTGAACACTTTCGTTCTGTCATATAGTCTGTAATTGACAATATCAATCAAAACAAGGAACTGATTTTACCAGTAGGCTTTTTGACTAGTTTCTTCACTGCCAATTGTCGTTGGTAACCACGAGAATTTGGAACCAACGCCGAAGTAAAGGTTGAATCTGTCAGTGTCATGATTGTTTCGGAGATGCCAGTCCGGTCCAATTGAAGTTGAAGTCGCGAGTTTTTGGGATGAGTCTAGCTCTGTTTTTAATATTCTTCTAATGTTTCAAGTTAAATTCTTGATAACAACTGGAACGTCAATGCCGCCGCAGGTGAAGTAAGAAGATTTTTGGTTTAGTTTAACTACAGTTATGCTAATAAAAATACCAGAGTGTTAAAAGCAGTATGCACACCTAGAAAGAATTACTGAACCCTTTAGTTTGCAGTTTTGCAAAGTATTGGAGAGAATGTATCTCTACATTACGGCTGCCACCTCCTCATGGTGACTGGAGTGCCTGTTTCATCTTTACTTCTGAAGGTTTTTTGTTTGTTTGTTTGTTTGTTTGTTTGTTTCGAATGTTGTCTTTTAACAGTCTCTCTCTTTCTCCTCCTTCTCCCCCTCCATCCCCTCTTTCTTCTTTCTTCTTCCTCGCACCTTGTTACCAACACCGCTGAATTAGGGCGGGATTGATGGTCTTTAGGTTATGCCTACGAGTAAGTTCTGTGCAGGAACTGAGAAGGCTTTTGAATGATTCGATTCGTCTAAGCTACACTGTATTAGTATGCCTTTGAGCATCATTCTCTAACTTTCAAGCCTTGGCTACGTTAGTGTCTTCATGCAGACCTTTAAGTAGGTTTTGATTGAAGCAACTTTTTGAATCACTTCTGTATGATTGCCTTTTGTTACTCCACTTTATATGAAATGTGTTGGTATGTAAACAGGGCGCCGGGTCCACAGTCTTCATGCAATGACAAGATATTACTAATCAGTACATATTGGGTAATTGAGTTCAATTTTTTAGCAATACCTCACATCCATGTATTCAACACAGTTTAGGGTATAGCACATTTTGGTCAGGCTCTCATGGTTGCGGTCAACATGGGATTGTGATTGTTGTTACCTGTGTTGGGGTAGCATCCAACCTTATACTCTGTTATCCAAACATTTTAAAGTTCAGCTTAATTAGGACTCATCCTAAGGATGCTGATGTTTTCGATTATCCATCATCCACTGTGACATAAAAGTTTTTATTGAGGTAAATCGTATACAAAATCAAGAGCATTGGCCAAACCTTTTGCGCTCTTCAACGTGGTGCAGTAGTAGTCTTGAGACCAAGCAACATCTAAAACAATCTTCTTCACGTTACCATGTTCCCTTCTTTTATGTGCAAATTGACTAACACGTATTACTTTTCTGCTTTGAATCGTAGCGAATGCCTCGGGAGGACGATAGAAGCAAAGATAGGATAAGAGAAGACGGTGGTCATCGAGAGCGGCGGCGACGAGAAGACCGGGGTGATCGAGAGAGAGATCGGGACCGGGGCGATCGGGAACGTCGTCACCGAGATGATGGCGACCGAGACAGGGTCGAGCGAGAGAGGTATTTCACAAACCTCAGCCTTTGTTCATGGAAGTCAGTCTTCGTCAATTGAAGGAAACATTTTTCCTTCATAGCCAAGTCATTAGTTTCCACCGGTCGTTGCTTAAGACCATAGACCCAACACTCTTGGCAGAAGGGTGCTACTTGTAAGAGAGTGACTATCTTCCGAATACATGAGACGAAGGAGGAAAACGGAAGATGATAATTTGAGAGTGAACTAGGTCATTGTATTGGGGCTTTCTACAAAGTGAGATGAATGTGGATTTTCCGGATACTATCCAAGCAAATAAGTACCAAGATTTTCCTGGAAAGTATGAAAGTGCCAGTAACTTTGAACCAGAATGCATCCCCTTCGATTCTTGCATAAAGGGTAGTGATAACCAGAAACCTTTAACATACTAAATAATTAACTGCGGGGGTAAAACATGCAATGGGACGTAAAGCATCTTGGAGTGAGGTCTTTCGTTTTCCGGTTGCCTCCTAAGTGGTAGCGAATGGAAAGAAACGTGAAGAAGACTTAAGATGTGTAGAAATGGCAACGGAGGAACAAAATGATGCAAAAAGCAAGAAAAAGATGCCAAATAGAAGTGAGTTAGAGAAGCAAGTATGTGAAGAAATCGAGCTATTGAAACAACAGTCCTCGAAAATCAAGTGAGCAGTTTGGAAGTGCCAGTCTCTCGCAAGAAAAGCTTCCAGTGCACATCAACAATATATGAACAGGAAGACTCAAATTTCCGCTACATACCCTGGGCTGCTCAATCAGCGGCTGAAAGTAGTCGTGTTCACTCCATCCTTTTCTACGAAACAGTTTTTCTCCCATATCAGAAAGAGATCCTTGTTATAAAAAATGAGAGAGGGTTTCATTCCCCTTGCTACGAAAAGTGCAAGTTGCTGAAAGGTTCCGAACTTGCTCTCTTGTGATAGTGAGTATGATCCTATGTGGAAACTGAACTTGAATCGCGTTCTCGTATAAGGAACATACGTAGATATTGCATGAAGATGGCTGGTTCGAGGATGATCGCAGTCAGTGGAGGGATCATCTTTTTCTCTCACTCCTTGATAAGCTTCTGCAAGTATACTTCAATGTTCGACCAATAGTTGACCTATAACTAAAGTTTCCAAGTTCCTCCTTCCATTTGCCGTAAATCTACTTATCTTGGTATAAATCCTAAATTTTGGTATCATAAGTTCACAAACCGGTAATGATAAAGCTGTCCTTCCACTTTCGTTGGGCAAACTTTCCTTCGAACTTCGCGAGATGTCACGCCGAAAGACTACTGCATATCATGTGCGTGGTAGGAAATTGGCAATCCCACCACCGAGTACCATGTCTCAACCACTTTACATAATTGAAGATTCCACGCACAAGAATTTTGAAGTATGGGAATACAAAATACGAAGACTTGACCATCAGGCCACTGTTGTCCATGTGCCTCAAAATGGCCTTGAAAGATCAATATACCACATTTCTGAACATTCGCCTCCGTCTCTGGTCTGATCAATGTACCTTATTTATGAACAATTGCCTCCATTTCTTGACTGGCACGCCAGATTTGTTTTGTAACTTTTGCACTGGGTGGCATCCATAAAAATGTTAGGCGAAGATCAGGACGGTTACAAGAGGATCCCCTACATGATTTTCCAGAGCTCAATAACTAGTTTTTCAAGCCTCGGATCTATGTGATAGAAAGAATCGGTGAGAGGAAAACCTTTGGCTTCTCGAACGGATTCACTCCTGTGGCCTTGAACGAGAATTATGTTGTAAGTGTTTTTCTATCACTGTTAACTATCCCCCAAGTTCTCTTGAAATGCCTGACTTCCAACTCCACGGTGTGTTGGTGCGGTGTCCGGTAGAGGGGATCCTTGGGCTACTCCTTGATCGACAATATTGGTTTCACCCCGTTCCCCTTGAGCCAGGACTGTGTTTTCAATGTCATGTATTACTGTAGTAGAAGCCTCTTCCTTCCCTAGAATGCCAAAACTCTAGATGGTCTGAGTGAGCGTCTTTCTTCCCGTACTATTTGGCTGAGAGCGAAGATGTTGATGAGTGCCTCGGGACAAATATTGTCGATGGTCCCTGTTCCCTTTTTTGCATCCGATTCGAGGAGCCAAACCGTGCTTTTTTCCGTCAGTCACCATGTCCAGTTTACCTCTTACTCGTACACTCATCCTCTACTTTGTTGCTGCGTGCTTTTCCCTGTGAGCATCTTTTAAATTGCTTCTGTTCTAGGTACTCTATGTATGCTTGCCCTAGAATTTCATCTACTACTTCAGTTTGAATGCTATCCCAAGCCATTGCGGTTGAGTAAGTGTTATGTCAAATGTTGATGAGAGATTTGAGCGCCTTGGAAATCTCAGGTTTTATGGAGTGTCGGGTACACAAATATCAGCTGATAGGCATAAATCTCAGACATGCTTGTTGGAATTTGCTCTCGGACTCTGGGAAAACGGGTCCAACCTTCCAATCCCAATATCCAGATATTGCACACTGCCCAATCTGTGTCGAGGAGCTCCTCCGAGTGGCTTGGTGCCCTAAATAGGGGCGTTAACTAAATCTTCACTACGTGTCAGAGTGATTCACCCAAACGTGAAGCTCAGGAAGATCAGCATTCACAAGATGAAGCAAAACCAGAATGTCTAGATGAAAGACTCCAAGATGTACTATGTTTTTGATGAGTGCTACCTCAGACAAGTCTATCCAAATCACGTCTGTTGGGACCTTCAGAGGGATTGTCTGATATATTGGGCGTATTTTCTGGACACTTTTATGATTGCGTATATATCTTCATGTGATGCATTTCCAGTTTGGGATCTTGTACTCAGCTTAACATCCAATAAGGTTCGGTTCAGTTGCAAGTTGATGCGAAGTCTACTCTAGCAGATATTTGGCAATTACCGAACAAACAGAAGCAAGCTTCTTGAAGAACGCTCTTTGTCCGGCAATGGCGACAATGAACAGCTAGGAAGCTAGCGCCAACAAGAACGACTGGCTTCATATTAGGATAGGAGTACCTAAAGAATGAGATTTACTTAAAGGCCAGCCTAAGGCTCCATCTTGATAAGCCAACCTTTAGGATTGTTTCAGATAAGATTGTCACTCCGATACACTCGGTCTGCCAGAGCGTGTAACCTGTAGGCATGACCTAATGAAGGCATTTTACATCGTGTTCGAATTTAGAATGCACATTCAGCGACTGATGACTTCCCCTGTTTGCAGGTCTCGACATGATCATGATCGAGATAGGGAGCGGAGACACAGGCATAGATCACGCTCTCGGTCACAAGGTCGATCCCGAGATCGCCGTTCACGGTCTCGATCAAGATCTAGGGATCGTAAAAGGTACGCCTTTGAAGCCCATTTGTGATGTTTGCTGCGATTCTTATTGAGCAGATTTGCATAAGAAATCCTGTGTGAAGCTGCACGAGATGAGGAGTTCATAAGCAGAATTCAGTGTGTTCAAACTCACAGTACGAAGGTCTTTGAAGAGGTCAGCAACGTACAATTTTTGGAGCACCTTGTTAGTGAAAGTCATGAGTGCAACAATGAAGCATGTGACTCAGTTAAAATTAGTGAAGCTAGTGATCTTCAGTTTCTAAGTTATTTTTTTGGTGGGTTGTCCTTTCCTTGTTTTGGGGTCTTGGGGTGAAGGGTCTCTGTGATGCAGAAGCCTTTGGTGCCAGTGTTGCAATGTTGTTTTGGAACTCGCTGGAGCCAAAGAAAGTTCAATGACCTAGTAGTCGTAGACACTTTCTAAATGTACTTGAATCGCTTAGTTCCTTCATCTCTTTAGATTCGCTCGTGAATTCAGTTTCCATGGAGTGTAAAGACACTGATTTTTCTCTTGACGCAATATGGCAGCAAGCGGACAAGTGGATTTGACATGGCACCTCCTGGTGCCGCTGTAGTGACAGCCTCTGCAATTCCAGGTGTGTGAAGATCAAGTTGTCAAATTTCGGGACTTGGACATGTTTTCAAAATATTGGATGAATCAAGATACCCGGGCTTTGATTGGACTTCGATGCATGTATATATTCCACTCCTCGGTGGTGTTCACAATCATTTGGTTGTTTGATAGGTTCTTTTGACTTGGAAATGCAAAGCTAGTCACTACAGTAGTCAGCTGTTAGGTTCAGTCGATCTTCAGCGTCTTTGTGCTTTCATAGGTTACTACGAGCATCTCGAATTTTTTAAAGCAGACGAGTCATACATCGGTGTAGCAACGTTAAATGTTACTGCTTTCATTTCCCTTTGATTAGAGAATGAGTATCCTTACCGCTGCATTGAATCATCATGGGTGGACACTGAAGAAAGTTGTGCGCTCGTTCTTTGTCTTTCTTTGGATGGTCTGTGTTTGTTGTGTCTGTTTTGTTTGCTTTGTGGTTGCGGATGGCATCACGAGCCCATAGTCATCTGTGCCTCTCAACGAACGTGTCTTCGAAGGCTATTATGCACAACGAAGGAGTTTGGTGCACCTTAATAGTGCATCATTGAACACCTCTGCCCACCTATGGTCGTGGCCTTGCCTACCCATCTCTTCCTGCCCGTATTGGAGGAATTGCTTTGTTGTGTCGATGAGGAGTTGGTATACTCTAGAAGTTTGGCTCAACTTCAGATCTGCTGCTCAAGGTGTAAAATTATCTAGAGCCTCCATGCTTTGGATGCTTGCATGGATCCTTAGGCCTCAAGGGCAGCCTTTAGTGCAGCAGAGGGCTTCTGGATATATGGCATTCAGTGGCTGACCGTGCATGAGATTAGGTTCAATGCTCAACCCACAAACAGGGGTACTACCATCAACGGCTGCGGGTGCTGGAAGTGCCTTATCATCTCTAGGTACTTCTCAGATCCTAAATACCAAGTTGACTCTCTGCGTCGTCACTGTTACTTGCTTTTAGTTGTTCACCTCAATTGCGCCGAATGATGATTGAAAGGTCTCGAGTGTCACTCGACCTCGATCAGGATCTTGTTCTCAAATCGGAATATGTTCAATCTTAAAGACAAAATTGAGTTACACTTCAGATTCGTTCTCTGGAAGCAGATCTGCATATTCATAGTACTAGACATATATGCATTTGGTGCTAAGGGCCAAGAAAGCTTACTTTGTTTGATTCTGCAGGCCAGATCCCAGGGATGGGTCAACCTCTCCCTGGTGTCTTCCCGTCGATGTTTCCTTTTGCTGGTGGGACACAGGTATATATTCGGCCCCAAATTTCGTATGTTGAGGTGATCGACAGGGGTTGCTATCTAACTACAACTTCATGTTTGGTGCACCTTTTTCTTGGATGTTTCAACTATTTTGTCAGGCCGACACAAGTGTTAGGTGGAGGTTTGCCCAAAAGGGTAGAATAGTGTTATTTTTAAGACTGCGACGTGACATGAAGGTTGGCAAGTGGCTGCTTCAGGCCATGTATCCTTCATGATGCCTTGAGCATATGGTCACATGCTTTCTGTACCATATCGCGCGCGCTCTTCATGCTTAGAAGAAGTCGTGATTCTAACTGTCAACTCCTTTGCAGTTTGGAGGTCTATCAGCCATGCCTGTACAAGCATTGACCCAGCAGGTGTGCTCTTCAGCTTCTACAATTTACCTTCCGGGACAGCTTACACGGGGAGATTTTTGGATCATTCAGACCGGATCTCCTCCAATTAGCTTTGTTTGGATGGAGGATCCCGTACTCCATACCTTTGTAGCCTTGACGGAAGTGGTACAGAAGCTCAAAACGTGTGGGGACTCCAGCTACCTATGGCGTTCAAAACACAAGAGATGTGACCTGGTGGCGCTAGCCTTGTCATCGTCCTCCCTTCATAGTCTTCTAAGCGAGGATCAGTAAATCCTTTGCACGTCATCTGTTTGCGATTGGTTTCACACCCCAGGTTATCCGGTTGTAGATACTTTATCTACATAATATACCGACCATTTCTCCTGGTTAGTTTGTTTTCTCGTTCATACTTTTGCAAACATCACTCGACAGAAACTTGAAGTCCAATGGCCTTGGCGCCTGAGCAGCACTTCAATTCCTTCTTACAAAGTTTCGAGAACAGGTCAACTTCTTAAGCTTGATAATGTTCGGTACTAATGTTTCCCCTACCCAACCAGTTAATGTCTGCTGGAGGAAAGTTCAATTCCTTTGGTGGATTGTTCTTTGAGGTGAAGTTCAGCACTTTGTGCTTCTTGTTATTTCGGCCACAGAAGGATATATTCCTCCTTGTTGCTCTGTTTTCCTCTTCAAACAAGTTCGATGGAAGTTAGGAGCTAACTACGGTCACTACTAATCTCCACATTACATGCGAGCATGTCATCTCGTTGAACCTCGGGGCTAGGATGGTCGGCAAGTTTAGGTTCGTGCGAGGGTTGATTGGTACTATGTTTACCAATAGTAGTGAACAGAATATGTACCTATCCTGGAACGATGTCGACTATACTTTAAAGCCTTGAATTCTTTCCTGTGCTCTAGTAGGCGAAGGACCTGTTAAACGGTGAACTGTGGTAGAAATAGCTGTATCTTTTCTACCTGAAAGAAACCATGTTTCATTCACGGAGTTACATCTCCATGGCTTTGTTACATCCAGGTGTAACTTCCTACTTAAAAGTCGATATATTCTGGCTCGGGGTTTCCTCTATTAGCAATAAACCGCTTGGCTGTATGAGGGAAGACACTCGAGTTCTGATATCTTGGCTGCTCTGCTACATCCAAATACTAAAAAGCATTGTATACCGGGTCACCTTGCCAGGTTACAGACTGCTCCATCGTAGAGGCTGCCCTGCCATAGGAGATGTGACTTGTTAAACATCTCCTAATATCTAGTGCGAGTGCGTTTTCTTTCGAATTTGAAAGTTGTCTGAGTATGATCAACTTTTGGGTGTTCTTGCCTAGTCTCTTGCCGTCGCTGACTTTTAAACATTCATTTACCATGATGCAGGCTACAAGGCATGCCCGCAGAGTCTATGTAGGAGGGCTGCCCCCAATGGCCAATGAGCAGGTCAGGTTTTTCTGCTTCGTTTTTATGGGCTTCTTAACTCAAGTCTGCGCGTTTTACGCCTATTTTGTTGTCGATAAATCAAGTTACTCTTTCCTTGTGCCACGCATGAGATGGATCATTTGTGGCTTTTTTCTTCTGTATGTCAATATTAATGTTTGAACCTGTTTACTTTACATACAGAGTGTTGCTACATTTTTCAGCCAAGTGATGGCAGCTGTCGGCGGTAACACTGCCGGCCCAGGTATTACGCTGTGTTTTAAGGAGTGTGGGTGAGGGCTCTGTCGATTGTGTATAAAAGGAATGCAATGTAATTTAGACATGAGTACTTTCTATGCTACCTCCTTTGTGATGTATTTGTCTTCTTCAGCTTACCACTTCTTACTTATCTTCTAACTTGTGAGTTTTTCTTTATTAGGGGATGCTGTTGTCAATGTTTACATCAACCAAGAAAAGCGGTTCGCTTTTGTAGAAATGCGAACGGTCGAGGAAGCTAGTAACGCCATGGCGTTGGATGGTATTATATATGAGGTGCTAAGATTTTGCATTTTTTTTGAATGCTTCACTTATCGTCTTAGTTTCTAGGGTTATCATGGTTGTCTTCCATTCTTGACGTGCCAAGGACAGGATTTGGGTCTTAGCAGGGTCCTACGAAGAATATCGATTATAGTTGAAGCTTGATATGCGTTTGCAATTTACCTTCAAAAGTCCAAAGCTTTGAATGCATCATCTTCCATATTTCTGTTCGTCAAAACCTACGACCAAGTTGGAACCTAATGAATGGCTCTGGAACTTGATGCATCAAAATATAAAATTCTTCTATGTATCCATATGTGTTGACCAAAGCCGTCCGTTTAGAACAAGTGGGACCTTTCCGACGTGTTTTAGATTCGATAACTTACAATTGCTGTTTTTTTTGAAACTCTTTGTACTATTTACCTTGTGGTGGTCAAAACCTAATGGGCTAGCATGAGGCTAGTATGAATGAGCTCTGTTAGTTTCATACCGTTCGCGTCCTTTCGTTTGTTTGGTTAAAAATCTCATGCATGTCCAAAACTTTCTCTTTAAGGTGGGATCATCGCCTCACACGATTCCACACTACTGCAACCAATGACATAGCAGGGCGCTCATGTTTATAGCAGTTTGTTTGTCGGTTGGTAGTCCTTTTGCAACCGGGTTGAACCAAATCCACACTTTGTTTTCGACTAGGTAGAGTTAAGTGGGCTAAACCACGTCTAAGCTTTCTCCAAACCAAGTATAGCAAACCTGTTTTGGTCTATTGGCAAGCGAGTTGAACTAAATTGACAAATTTTTAACCAGGTATAGCAATTTTTGGTTATTTGATAACTGGGATAGGGTTGTACTGGTTTCAAACTAGGTCATTTGAATTGAGCACGATGTCTTGCTGGTTGTGTTGATTTTGCGTGACCTGTAAGGGCGTATTGGTAAGTATCTAGCAGCGGGGTGAAAACGATCTATGGTCTTTTTTAGCAGTGCAAAAGCTGTGCAGATTAGTACTGTCCAACAGACCATGGAGTGTTCCTCTCTCACCGCTAACATTGCCGAGGGAGCGGGGAGGTTCTATAGTCTTGTAAATATAGGTGTAATAGGCAAACACCAGTGACTACAGTTGCTTGTTTGTGCTGACATCTAATGACGGCTGATATGGTTTGCGGTACGAAATCTTCATACTTTCTCCTTCGCATTCATAATCTTTTCGCTAAAGCATTTCCGCACGTTATCGCTGTTAGTGCATCAAGTTCAGTGTTTCGTATCTTCGCGCTAGAAAGCGAGAAGATACGAAACACCATTCTAGTGTTTCTTGATCAATTTGCTTTTTATTCCTCCTTCGTTACAACAGCAGACCATGCGTAGTTCTTTCTCACCTCGCTCACTGTTCCTTCAAACGTTTCTTTTGTGGGCACTGTCAGCCTGTTTCTATCACTGCTGTTTTTTCACTGGACAAAATAAGGCCATTCTCAGTTTATTTATATGTGCTCTATATTGGAGATCTGTTTTTTTTGGAAGGACCCGATCTTCTTATGTAAATAATAGATTGAGGCTGAAGTATATAGTACAGGGCTGTACACTTCAATCGTAAATGCGTTGTTTGTATGCTTTACGTTTTTTTGTGCATGGACATCCTTGCTTATTGTAGATTTCACTGTGTTTGACAAGTCTTTCGGAGCCCTATTGTCATATGACCTCTGTTTGCGATTTCTCTTTGGCAGGGAGTATCTGTGCGAGTAAGGAGACCTAGTGATTATAATCCATCCATGGCTGCAACTCTTGGCCCTAGCCAGCCAAGTCCGCATCTGAATTTGGCAGCCGTTGGACTTACCCCTGGGTCTGCACTCATATAATGTTTGCTATCAATTTACAGTTAGTACTGCTGGAATAGCGTGTTAAGCCTCAAACTACACATCTAGTCGTGAATGTGAAGTGATGGCAGCTGTGCATTGTGTCGCTTCTGACAGGAGCCGGTTGTTGCATGTATTTACACTTAGTTCTTGGTGATGTGGAGCAGGGCATCTGGTGGTGCTGATGGTCCCGACAGGATATTTGTAGGGGGTCTGCCATACTACCTCAGCGAAGAACAGATTATGGACCTTTTATCCTCTTTTGGGTACGTGACCACGACGGTCTCAGCGTGATATGTTGTTGTTATTGACCACAGTTTTTTTACCCAACAGCAGGATGCTTACCCATGTTTACATAGCTTTCATTGAAGTATCTTCAACTGCAGTATCGTCTTGTAAAGCGTTCGTCACAGGATAATTCATCAGGATTTGACTATCCCTTACTTGGTCTATTGATGTAGGCCCTTGCGCGCATTTGATTTGGTGAAAGATCGCGATACTGGCAATTCCAAGGGTTATGGATTTTGTGTATATCAGGTGATTACGCGCGTCTGTTTTGCCCATTCTCTGATCTTGAAACAACTATTGTCACTGATCGTTGTTGGCCTTTGTAGTAAGTTGTCGGGAGTGATATGACTCATGCGCGTTTTCTTCGGAGCAACGTGCCAGTGCGTCATCTTTGAATATTTTAGAAAAGATTCTTGTCGGTACAACGGAGAAAGTTGTTTTCAGCATGCTTGACAAGGATGATGCTTTATTGTGAAATGTTCGCGACTCCTGCAGGATCCTTCTGTCATGGACATTGCATGTGCAGCACTTAATGGATTGAAAATGGGAGACAGAACTTTGACCGTGAGAAGGGCGTCAGCTAGGTTCGTGGCCTTGTTTTGATTGGGCTCGTTAATAAGAAGGCTCGAAATGTTACTGTACAGAATTTAGTTTGCCATAATAGTTAGGTCGCATTGATTCTTGATATCGTCTATTATATCAGACTCTATGAATCGTGGGTCGATGCTTCACATGGATTGTGCCCTGTGTTGTTTAGGTTTAGTCCTTTTTTCTTAAAGTATGTGATCAATTGGGGTCAAGAGGTTACAAGTCGAACACTTATCCTGACGGCGCTTCATTCTATTCTCATAGAAGGAAGCTAGAAGTTGCGTCGACTTCAGGAGTTGATATATTTGCTGCACTTTTTAGGAGTCATTAGTAATAATAGTGTGGTCATTTGTGAGTGCGCAGTCGAGGCTGATATTGGTGGATGATATGGTTCGTTGTTCTGTTTGTGACAGTGGTCAACCGAAGCCGGATCAGGCTAACGTTCTTGTCCAAGCCCAGCAACAAATAGCTCTGCAGGTGCATAGAACTTCTGTGTTTCTGCAATTTCAGTCGAACTTCAATTTTTAGGAATAAAGGTTCACTGCAAGTCGATTTTGACAACTTTGTCCCGCTTGCGAACTTCAATTTATGATTTGCTCTTGTGGATCTGAGTCTGAGAGTTTGTGGCTTTGTCTGTTGGCTTGTTCCAGATCTTCTCTCAGGTCAGTGAAACCAGGTTTCGTAAGCAGTTGAGCTGTTTTGCCTTCTTATTAGTATACAGATGGACAGATGCGGACAGTGGGTAACTTGTTTGGTGCCTTGCAGAAGCTAGCACTCCAAGCAAGTGGGGCAAATGCCGTGTCTCTTGGTTCGATGGGAATGGCTGCTGGAATGATTCCTGGTATGGGTTCGAGCATGATGTCTGGTATGCTACCCGGTATGGGTGTCATGGCTTCAGAAGTACCAACCAGAGTTGTATGCTTGTCTCAAGTAAGTAAACTGGACTTCCATCTTCTTTTGCCGTAATTGTACGGGCTTCTTGTAAACACCATGTATACTTCTACAGCCTGGAGTTAGCCCAACAGAAAGCCTTGAGTTTCTTATTTACTGTTCATTTCCGGTTTATATGGTCAATGTATATGCTTGGTGTGGCTCAGCTGTGGGTGATGTACCTTGCGCCGGTATGCATCTGTTCGGTTGTTGCTCAGGCTTCTGTTCTGTTCTTTATCACTGCACCGATTATGCAATAGATGGAGACCCTGTACTTGTACTACCCGGTGATCTACTCTATCGACCCTTGCGTGTTAATCTCTTGTGGCTAATCACGTGTTATTCGAATTGTTCTCTGCTTTTCTCGGATGAGTATGAACTTTGTTTGAAAATCAGTGTATAGATTTGATCCTCTTCCAGATGATTTGTCTCTCTTTATAGCCGGTCTGGTTATCTCTCTTGCAGTTGCCGTAGCTTGCCCACCATTCAGAGTGACCTTCAGATTATTTTGATCAATGCTCCAGAGGTCAGAATTCTGCAGCATTCTAAGTGGAATTCAGCTAGATTGCTATCACTAGCCTCACATCTCAGTAAACCAAACAACTTACAGTTGTGATCCGTAGTTGAGGGAATGATCACTGACGTCTTGACATGATGAATTTTACGAATGAGCAGCTTTCAGGCTCAGCTTTGAGTCTGGACACCAGAGAAGCCTGGATTTGGTGTCCAGAGTTGAAGCTGTCCCTTCACCTTAGTTTTTGGGAATTGATCAGTTACCAAGGTAACCCTAAAGTAAAGGAGAATTAATATGCAATCTAATTCACTAATTTAAATGGGGGAGTTACAGTTTGTTTGGACTCTGATAATAATTCCTGCCTTCAAGTTCTGGTTGCCTTCGATTATCGTGAACATATATATACCTTCGACGTTCTCAAACTCTTTCTGCTCACGTGCAATAAGAGAGAAAGAAGAGGGCTCTATTATTATCTGCTATCTCTTTTGATCGATGATCGATGATCCTCAATTCGTTCCTTTCAAATCCCAAGTGTGCTTCTCTTAAAAGTCAGTCAGTACTACACATGATTGTAATATCTTACAGTAAATTTTTCACCTTAGGTTGTTTCCCCTGATGAGCTCAAGGAGGACAACGAGTACGAAGAGATTTTGGAAGACATGAAGGAGGAATGCGGGAAGTATGGTAAGCAAAACAAAATGAGTTCCTGTTTGGTTGATAGGCGTATTGGTAGTTGGATATATTGTAACATCGGATTTGGGAAATTTGTGCAGGTACCCTTACGAATCTTGTAATTCCTCGACCGAGTTCGTCAGGCGAGGAGGTTCCGGGTATAGGAATGGTAAGCGCAGAATCCTACCAATCTTGTGAGATTATTGCCTTTTAAGCATTCTTCTCACTGACGATATCCGTCTCTTTTTACAGGTGTTTGTGGAGTATATAGACACACAAGGATCGGCGAAAGCCAAGGCAACCTTGCATGGGCGTAGATTTGGCGGCCACACCGTGATCGCAACGTATTACCCAGAAGAAAAATTTACACATGGTGATTACGGAGGATGATATCGTTCGGGTCGGAATTCTTGTACACCAGATCTTCTTTGGATCATTTATCTGCCCTCTCTTCCGGAGCTGTTGTAAATGTTGAGATGTCCATCCTCGAGAGCTTTTTTGTTTTTGTCCAAATCTACGGATGCGCCTTTAGTAGTAGCTCCTATCCGTGCTTGGTTGGTTCATCGTGGACCTCCATTCTTGCTGTTGTACTTTTTTCTCTTCGATTGAAGGAAACAAGCAAAACTACTTTTGATGAAAGTAAACGATCCACGTCCTGAAAGGTTATTCTGCAGTTACGTATTCCGAGTGAAGTTGAAGTGTTTCCATTTGGTGTGTTTTTTTCTCTGCTCTCCAAGGAGTGACGAGGGATCCCGTTTCTTCTGACCGGGCTTGATGCTTAATTTAGAGTTGGGTGTATTTGTCTTGGTGGTCAGTCCCAACATCACTGTTCTTGCATTATGTGCATTAGTATTCATATTGTAAGTCTTATCTATGATGTAGGTTTTCCGTAGAAAGTGCGACTACCATCTCATGTCTAGAGTCGAAGCCAACCCGATAGTGTTGGTTGATCTATTTGAGATCTATTAGAGTCTATTTGAAGTCAACTAGAGCGGGAATGTTGGATGTGTGTACGAACTCATTGTGCACGGATTGTACCGTATATTCTGTCTTTTTGACTAAGGTGGACCAAAACCCTATTTCATTGAAAGTAATTGTCCTGAGTTTAGAGTTGGAAGGTCAGCCCACGGCCAGAGCGGATTTACTAAACTTATGTGTGCAGAGCCGAAAGAGGAAAAGTTGAACGATGAAGTCTCTCACACTAGTTTGCAGACTTTCTTCAGTGACGTGATTCAGACCTCGAGATTGTTTCATAGAGCTGACGGTTTTCAAACTTTAGACAACGAGTAAGATTCCTTGTGATTCAGCACCATGTCCAAGCTCTGGAGGTTTTATATTCCTTTGTCTCCCACGTCGGACAGTGACCAGCTACTGGAACCTTGTATTCGGAAGAGCAGGGTGGAGGTTCACAAAAGGAAGGTCAAGTTAGTCTTTAGGGTCGAAGTAATCGTTTTCTTTCTACAGCACTAGAAGAGTGTTTTTTAACCTTCTTGCAACTTGGCGTCCTTTCGGTTCTTACTTGGCTAGGCGTCGAGTTGTTTTTCTTGGTTCGTACGTAGACTGACAACTTAAATACCGAGCTTGTGCGAACTTGGTTACCATTGCTAAGTAAGTCGGAGTTTTTTTTCAACATATGTATTTTTTCTATATGAAATAATACTTAAATCCTTCACACTGCACCATCAACTTTCTTCAATTATGGGAGTATACACTCGTATGATGTTTTTTTCTCGTATTCTGAGTGCCGGGGGTGAATTAGATGCGCAATTAGTGAAGGGCGACGTATGTATTTGAGCGTATCATCGTCACCATCTTGCTTCAAAGTCGGAGACTCCTAATGAAAAACTTAAGAACGAGTTCGTAAAAGCGGGTTTACTAATGTCATGAGATGTAATTTCCTAATCTCACTCAATGCTGTTCTGTGTAATGCAATATCTGATGGAAAGAATATTTGAACCAAAGTACACCAAAATATCTTCACAGAAACGTTTAATCTTACAAAAACGAGATTCATTACCAAAAAGTAACTACAAAAAACTTTGTTTTCATTGCACTATAAATACAATCGAAAGTGACAACAAAAAACATTGAATAAAAAAATGAATACATTTTGTAAACAATTGCTACTGTGACGAAAAGATATATACTCAGTTTTAGTTATATTTTGATACATACTTGGTGTACAAGATTTATTTACTCTAAAATATCAACTTCAATGTAAAATATTTAAACTCAACTTATACTATCGAAATTTGGCAAAATGGCAGAATGCTATATTGTAGACGTTTTTAATTGGATAATTATGACCATTTTACTTGTTTTGATGCTAGAGTAGTTTTATTATCCAAATGTTTCACTTTAATCAACTTTAATGGAAAACATAAGTACATAAAAATGACATAATGACAGTTTTCCACAATATTTACATAGTGTGAAAAAATTTAATCCATATTCGTGAAAAATGTGTGTTTTTTAATATAAATTTTATTTTGCTTTGCTGTATTAAAAAATATATCAAACTAGTAAAACATAACAACCAATACATATATAGTGTAGGTGTCAATATTTTGGAAGTAAAATAAATAAATATTGTAAATAAAACATAAATTTTGATCATAATTATATAAAATATAAAAAATTTCTAATAAATTTTCAAAACACAAAAATATATATGAATTAGTTATGATTACAAATATTGATGGTTTAAGATCATATATCTCACAAATTTCATGAGATGATGAAACTTAAATTTAAATGTGTGGAGAGCATAGCCAAAATAGTCAATTACTCAAGATAGAAAAAATGCAGCGAGCTGTTGATGAAAATTCCAAAATGATGATTAGTGATTCCATGTAATAGTATTATACTAGTCAAAATCATTTCCTATTATTTCTAGGTTATTGTAAAATATCTAATTAACATGTTTTCATTGCTCTATGTAGAGTAAAGTATTGAGTTCACAATTAACTGAAATTGATACTACGTTAAGAATAAATAAATTTTAGATTTATTTGTATTCATAGTTGGATTATAGATAATCTATACATAGATCTCATTACGATACTATCGCAGTTTAAATATTTAGATTACAGCCATCCAGACTCCGGGTTGATGACTGGTCCTTCATACGCGCATTGTACTGCTGAGTCAATCAACTTCGACTGACTTAGTAGTCACTAAAGTTGAATGTATTGAGCGAGAGAAGTTGGTTTGAAGATCGATTAGTCGACAGCTCTATTCTTTCTCGCCTTTTCACTCGATGTAATGTTTGTTGTAAATTGTGGATGAATATGGCCATAAAGTCCACAGGGTTGTAAAGCATGTTGTGATCATTACAAACCATCGAAGTAGCGAAATTTCCATTGAAAGCCACTTGGCTGTTGTAATCCTACTTGCTCGTGATCAAAGTGTACTTAGATAGTTAAAGTACTGCTCGAAGCGCAATTTTTGTTCCAAAGTAATAGCTACTGGACGATCCTCGAGAGGGACAATTATGAAAGTGAAAACAACAGGATTATCCTTTTGGCAGAAGAAAAGTTGTGCACAAAAAATCTTATGTTACGGCCAATGTTCTCGAGATGTATTTTTATCTAATTATTTCTGAATTGGGCGAATAAAGCTGGTAAGGTCTTTCTGAGAAAGAAATACAATCATGTAACGAGACTAGCTCAACTGTAAGAAGCCTTTATGTTGAGCTAGTGAGATACATCTGTAAAACTTGAAATGTTCTTAGTGTATGGGATTGGGTAGGCCACTTGGATGTCAAAAAAGATCCACCTTATGGATCCTTTGTGTAACTTGGATAATTTATAGTAAGAAGAAAAATCTTGATAGAGCATGCTAAGCACAATGTGCATGCATTAAATGGACAATATAGGTGTAATCATTGTCGAACATGTCAGCAATTTTTGCACGATTTACAATAGTAATAGATTTGCATTAAATTGGGCAGGCTACAAAGGCTAACGGTTGCTTTTTCATAATAAAATAGTTGCAACATTTCACAAGAAAAATCAAAAAACATATAAACACACATATCAAAATGCCAACACTAAAGTATGTAATTCGTCAATGCGGAATACATTCACTATAACACAAAAACACTTTATTTGTAAAATACTAAAGGTATAGTTGAAAGCTTTCGCCAGCTATTTTTTCTGATTATAGAAAAATCTAGATTTCAATCAGGGTTTAACTAACCTAATTTAGATTAAAGCTGAATTTACTACTCATGCACTCACTTTCAAACTTAAATAATTGTCTTTTTAATTAAGCATCTTTGCATCAAACTACCACATAGGTTATGCATATGTTTTCAATGTTGTCAATACGGTTGTTCAATCTTCATCTTTCTTTATTGATTGAAAGTGATTGTTTAGATTTAAAGTGAAATACTTTCAACCTTTTTAGATTTATTTTATACTTTTAAACCTTTTTATACCTTTTAGAAACATCTTGGTTGAAAGATTATTCTAATCTAGTCATCTTGATTGGTAGAATGTGATTTTTGAAGATTAAATTTAACAACAATATTTTTATTTTATCAATAAATCTTAAGTTTTTTCTTCTTTTGCTAAAGTATTCTAATCTTGTCAATGATATTTTGCAATTTAATAAATGACTTGAATGATTTCACAACAAATATTTCAACCTGAAATATGAAACAATAATAATATACATTAAAGAAGGAAATCAAAAATAGCATCATTTTTTTTAACATTAATGAAATTGCAAATATTTTATTATCGGCATATTTTTCTTGTTTTCTAGCATTTATGACTAAAATTTTTAGTTACTTGAACTACAAAAGTGTTGGAATTCTTTTGTCAAATTCAAGCATGTGCATTTTTTTTTTCATAATCAATCATTTCCTATCATCATCTTATGCACAAAAAATTATTTCAACAAATCTTGATGTAAAAGACTTTTTTTGATTCCAATTTTTGGTATAATTTATCTGTATACATGTACCATCTTTAATCAAATCATTTAGGTTCAACCAATAGGCATGTAAACCTTAATGAATTTATTTCGCTTCCACTAATGTTATCTTATCCATTCATGAAAAAATTGATATATTTCATATATGTTTGCATATTTGAGACTTAAAAAATTAAAAATAAAATTTTTTTTGTTCTGTTCACAACCTTACTGTTAATTCATGCAAATGTTGAGAAAACTCTTTTGTTGATCATTGTAATGTTTGTCGTAACTTTTTTTAACAAACCTTAATTTTTAAAGATATATATATCAAATAGAATAGAATGTAATGAGATATGGACAAAAAAATTAAAGGTATATAATAGTCTTGTGAGAAGAAATCTTATTCGCATCATAATTTATTTTCTTTGCATGATTTCATCAAAGATATTGTAAATGTTAAATAGATTGTGCATCGTTCAATTTTCCAAGTGAAAACCATCTGTATGGACTTTTTGCTTTTTGTTTAATAAATATATCCATGATATTAAATTTTAGATATGAGATTTTTTTCCCCAATATAACATATTCAAAGACTTTTCATTTATTTTTACGCGCAAATTCTAACACAAACAATTTCATCTATACATGAAATTAAAAAACAACACACATAGTTTATTTGAAAATATTTTGTTCAAAATAATATGTTTACATCAACCTATTTAAAAAACTACAGTCTTGGATCATAAATCAGAAACCTTGACTTGGATTTTGGCTCAATTAAGCGAATTTGATTGTGTCATCTTCTTTTGATATTTAGAGCTTGATTCGTGACAAGAGTGTGAGAACTCAATTTCTTGTGAATCCAACTTCATTTAGATGATACTATTTGCTTCTGATGTGTTCATGTACACCAACAACCCTTCCTTCGCACAGTTTCGACATGTTCATTCTGAAAATGTCTTGAATTGAAATCCTTCCCTACTTTCGGGCAAAAACATCCAAACTTTTCGAATGTCAAGTGACAGAAACACACATTCAGATTTGTTTCTTTCCATTCATGGCTATCCAGAATTTAAATGTCAATGTAGTTTTTTATTTTGGTTTGGAGGAATGTTGTGGGAAGGAGGTGAATGCCATCACCAGTGTGGCGGGCAGACACCGCTCTTTTGATTTGAATTAGTTGGAAAATAATAATTTGAAGTCTAGTTTTAGGTAATTGCGGGGATCTCAGCCCCTCTATCTTCCCTCATTATTCAGGAACTCATTCTGGTCTGCACTTGAAGTTGAGCAAAGGGAAACATTCCGGCATGAACGAGGATCGGAGATTCCTTCATTCGCAGTAGCGGATACAATAGCACTAATAAAATGCAGGTTTCGAATCCACTACATCCGAACAGTAATGTTACCAATCCCATAGCCTAAGCTCTGTGGCAAGACAGACCTGACATATGATTCATTCTTGTCTACCAGAATCTTTTAAAATTCTTTCATGTCCTTCTCCAGCTGCTATGCTTCTACGAAGTCAAAGAAGAATAAGTGTCATGAAGGCCAAACTGGTCGGACAATCACATGTTTGAAGGCACGGGTCAACAGAGGATACAATATAAACGGTGTAGCATTGAGATTGAATTTCCAATGTGCTCCACATGTAGAATGAACCACAAGCAAAGTCAGTCTCGAACCACACATGCATTAAGATGCAAAACTAATTGATCAGATAAATTAAGACGCCACAATGATAAATGCG